TCCCCAACCAGCACCGTGATGTTTGGTGAGACAACCCCCGTGATCTACGCGGCATGGGAAGGACTGAACACAGCACTGTCAGTCATTCATCGTCGTCGTCCTCATCATCAATCAATAAATGCTCATCTATCCACTGCCGAATGCTCTCATCATCATGCTTCTCTCTCTCTCTCGCTTGATCTATGAAGAGAGATGCAGCGGTCCCATTCGGCTTGTGCACACGAACTGCTCAGCTATATTCCCAAATGGATTCGTCCCTCATCTTGTGACACGAAGCCGATAGCGGCAATAAAAATCAATTAATTGGGGGGGGGGGGGAAGGGGTGCAGGGGGAAGACACGAAGGAACAGGAGAACGAGGCTTTGTTCGTGCCATATTTTAAACAGATGTGATAATGTGGGTGTCTGGTAGTGTAATGGCGCCGGTTTAATGCCCAGGGCCAACGATTACCATGGATACCTCCTGGATGGTCTCTCGGGTGCCCAAATAACAAGGACAAAGATTCCCCGTATAGCCTCAGCAGGCTTTGTTGGGGCAAGTGCTTGTTAGTGCGCGCGCACACACACGCAGCAAGCACCACCACCACCACCTGTGCGATTAGTGGGGCGCATGAAACAAAAATTCAAGGAATGTATCAAAAGGCACGATTTGGTTGTGAAGAGTACCAGCGGGGTCGTTGTCATTTAGGTTGATTGGACAGCTGTACGACGTCCCTTCATCATCATCATCAGCTGCGATCAATTAATCAATCGCCGGGATGAGTCTCCTCAAGTCTCCGCCATCGTCTCAAACGTTTTTGTTGCGATGCTGCAATCAGCCGCATGCAGCGAAACCTCCCCCCCCCCAAATCCCCTCCAATGTCCACCGCTCACCTTCGCCTCCCCCAGTTATAAGACGACTCTCGCGATGTGAAATCGACGACCGTGAGTCGCCGGTCGCCACCACCCTAACACGTGGCTGGTTCCGTTTCAAAAGGCGACGGCCGCGAACTCAGACGGGGATGTTTTGCCGTCGTGCGGCAAAACATCCCCGTCGTTTGGGGGACATCCATTTGAGTCGGTCCGCAGAAATCTGCCAAAACTTGACACCCCCCCCTCTCTCCGTGTAGGCACGCGGACCTTTTAACCGCCCCCCACCCAACTTGCGTACGTACGCCTGACGCACCCCCCTCCAGAATCCTATAGAACGGCCGACATTGAATCCACGCAGAAACGATCAAGGATGAATAATATGAACGTGTTGAAGCAATCAGACAGTCCACCGCCGGACCATCTAACTCATTTGAAGGCCAATGTAGACAAATTATTATCGAGGCTTCACCCCCCCACCCACCCCCGTTTCCTATGCGTACAATGTCAGTAGACCCCCCCCCCCCCCATACGCATGCTACGCATTTGAGTTACCCCCCTCCATGTGTAGGCACTAAATACAGTGAGGGAAAAAAGTATTTGATCCCCTGCTGATTTTGTACGTTTGCCCAGTGACAAAGAAATGATCAGTCTATCATTTTAATGGTAGGTTTATTTGAACAGTGACAGAGAATAACAACAACAAAAATCCAGAAAAACGCATGTATAAAATGTTATAAATTGATTTGCATTTTAATGAGGGAAATAACATCTTTGACATGCGTTTTTTCTGGATTTTCTTGTTGTTATTCTGTTTCTCACTGTTCAAATAAACCTACCATTAAAATTATAGACTGATCATTTCTTTGTCAGTGGGCAAACGTACAAAATCATCAGGAGATTAAATCCTTTTTTCCCTCACTGTAGATGGCCCCTTTCCTTGCGAGTACCGTGACCGGGGTTCGCTCTCAACGAGCCCCCCACCCCCACTCCTCCCTCCCTCGCCCTATCGACTGAATTGCAATGAAATCGACAGCGGGATCGACCAAACGTTGGCTATTTAATTTAACGATCACGACGTTGGTTGATACAGCGCCTCTGTTGCAGGGTTGGTCCCAGATGTCTTGTGACCCCCCCCCCCCCAATTAACTCCTAATTGTTTTCCTTTTGCTTATTCATTTCCATTTAAAATAAACCTTACTTAAAAATTATTACGTTTGAGATAATTCAATGGGGGGGGGGGGGGGGGGGGTCACAAGACATCTGGACCACTCTGTACAATGTACTGCTGGATGAGGGCCTATACCCATGCCGCGTCGGCCACGTGGGTTGTTTGACCACACTTCACGGTGGTCAGTGTGGATTGGTGAAGGGGGGGGGATGCAACTCAGGTCACAGGGTTCATAGGGCAGTGCACTGGCTCCTACGCAATCGCTCTTAAATGTAGGTGCTCAAGTCAAGTTAGGTTGATTCGGTGTAGCCAGTTTGGAACGTAAGAGAGCAGGGGTGAGTCTAATTAGCACGAGTGACCTCGCCCACCGCAGTGACACAAAATAAAGTGCAGTAACGGCAATTGAACAAATAGAAATCAGGACAAAAGCAACTATGGTGCGAGGTATGAGATCACTCTGTCTGCGAGCCCCCGGGGTTCAGCCGTCCGTGATTCAAACCGGCTTCTAAAGTGAAGCCCATCGATGGCTTCTTTCCAGTCATCAAATGACTACGCACGAAGCAAGCCAATCGCATAAAATAAATTCGTCGAGGCGATAAATAATAAAAATTGACAAATACGCATTCATATCCGTCCCGGCAAAACCAATTCTTTGTACTAATTGCTTACAGAGGCCCATCGGCTCCACGGCCTTCTGGGAGGGCACAATTTAAGAAGCATTCATTCAGCAAAATCGCTGAACTGGTTTCGATCCGCAGTGTCTCATCAGTAGGGCCAGGTTGCTCCTATCAATGCCGGTGAACTGCCAGGTATTATAGGCAAAGACTGGATTTCAGATGTGGGTCCTAGTTTGACGCACAATTATATATTCCACAACACAAAATAATGACTAGCGTCGTTATAATTATGGAGAGCATGCACAATTAACTAGATCTGGAGGCACAATATCTCCTTCGTAAATCTGTGTAAAAAAAAAACGTTTATATTTTGTGTGGAGGGAGAGACATGGGAATGAGGATAATTGTCTGCTTATGTTTCATCACATACATTCCATTTGCTCGAAATTTAAAATTCTAAATGTATTTGGCCCGCAGCTGAAGGGTTCTTTATTCAGGGCATATGAAAGGAGAATGCATTGGATATTGAGGGGACTTTTCATAAGTTGTCACGGGACTGTATTCTTCAGGGACCTTCTCTGATACAAAGGGGGTGCGCGCTGCTAGCTGCGAGCGTTTCGAGTGAGTTGTTCTTCTTCTTCATCATCATCATCACATGACTCCCAACATTTTATTACACACTCGGCGACGCAATCGCGAGACGGGCGCAGACGAGGGCTGCGAGACTGCGACTACGTCGTGCCCTCTAGCCCGAGAGGCATCACACCATCTAGCCCGAGAGGCATCACACCATCGAGCCCGAGAGGCATCACACCATCGAGCCCGAGAGGCATCACATCATCTATCCCGAGAGGCATCACACCATCTAGCCCGAGAGGCATCACACCATCGAGCCCATCACAGCCTCTAACCCCTCAGCACCCACCCTTGTTTCCACCACCCCATCTAGCCCATCACCCCATCTAGCCCATCACGTACTCTACCCCATCTAGCCCATCCCATCACACCCTCTAGACCATCACTCCCTAGCCCGAGAGGCATTACACCCAGGATCGAACCGATCACGTCCTCTATCCCGCTAGACATTACACACACAAACCACTAACCCAAAATTTGTGATTAATCAAAGATCCCCCGTATAGCATTTCAAAGGCTGTTGGAGCAAGTGCGGTTAGCGAGCACCTATGACTGCTGGAACGGTACACGAGTGGGTGGGTGACCAACACCACGCCCGACCGCCTTTGTCCTCCCCCCTCCCCCCCCCACTTGAGGCTGAGTCGACCTGGCGGCGGGGGGAGGGGGGGAGGCCCAGGGCCGGTTCATATAATCGTCACTGGTGTCGGCCCCGAACGGCAATCGAATTCGGATCGCCGGGTTCGTAGCGCAGCGCGCTAACCGCGACACCACCCCGCTCCCCCGTGACTCATCGCGGACACGCAAACGTGCACCACTTCGTGCCGTGCGTGTGTGCAGCACCTCCGCGTAGCGGGATGCGTTCTCCCCACGCATGCATTCTTCTTACAGCATCCATATACATCTCCCGAACACCAGACATCGCGTTAAGTTAACCCTCCCGGTGCCATTAAAGCCATCGCCTCCCTCTCTGTCCGTTTGCACAGCGAACGATGAACGTCACGAGCGACGCGTGCGCTAAATAAACAATTGCCGCGGTGCTTCGGGATGCTTCTGTGCGATGAAACAATGAGGCGATGCACCCGTCACGTAGCGCAGAGGTTACATAAACACCCACACACAAGGACAGAGGCACCCAGATAATATAGAGTCTTGGATTCTCTAAGCGCGGTCGTCTTTGTCTCCCTATTGTTTACGTGTTTTTTTATTATTTCCCGACACCGAACCGGGTGCTCTGTGCGAGACGGTCTGAATGGACCCACGATTTAGCACAGATTCAGAAAATCCCAATCGCGCCCACTGATGTTAGCCGTGGCCGGGAATGCAGCGCGGTGCGCGCGAATCACCCACTCCACACACACACAGCAGCACACAATCAGCCATGGTCAATCAACTGCTGGATGAAGGCCTCCGCAAGCCGTCGCCATCTCTCACGGTCTTGCGATTCAACTATAATAAGGAATTATCTTTAACGAGTTTAAACATGCATTACCTTTGATTTTTTTTATTTTTACATCTGCACGTGTATGTATGAACACCAGGCATCACCCCAACGCAAATAACAATCGACTGCCAGGGGTGTGCGTTTGTGCTTTGTGTTACAAAAACCAGCGCGGGCAGAGAGAGAGAGAGCGCGCAGGACCCGATGGTTTCCGCTGCCTTGGAGACAGAGAAACGAGGTAAGGAATGGATACGACGAGGGGGGAGGAGGCAGATGAATGAATTCCTTACCGCTCGCTCCATGAGCTCCGAGGACGGCAACGCAGCCCAACAGAAGCAGCAGCAGCAGAGTGGTCAGGCTGCCATAGCCCCTCGACGGCATCGCGGATTTTGCACAGTGGAGCGCGGCGAGATGAGAGAGGAAGATGACCGAAGGCACCACCACCACCCTCCTCCTCCTCTGCCTGCCCTGCGCTGTGTGCTCGAACGCTGCTGCTGCTGCGGTGGTGGGTTGGTGGTCTGTGTGCGGCTCTCGGTGCGTGCGTTGTCTGTACGTGTCTGTGCGCGCGTGTGTCGCTACAGCATAATTCGCTGTTCTGATACCCAAGAGATTTTTTTAAAATCTGCAAATGGGAGAAAAAAAATCCTCGCGAGAGATTTGATTGTGTACGATCGAGAATTTGTACGTGTGTCTAGATAATGAATGAATGAAACACGACGGTAGTGGGTTTTTTGCGTTTAATCAACGCTTACAAAAATGTTGTAATTGTGTCCGATGTTTATTTAAACAATTATGGTGTTCAAAAATAAATAAGCTCACAATTCTAATAAGGAAACACGCGCGCGCGCGACAATAGCCGGACTGATCGCCCAAACGGCTGGATGTGAATAAATGAAGGCTCTTCTGGAACTGATTTAGCCGATATTTCGCTCGTGCGCTTCCCGAGAAAGGCAGCGTGAAGCTCCCACTGCTTGTACAGCAGGCAAGCGACTACGGCAGCATCATCATCAGCAGCAGCAGCGTTGCTCGCTTGCTGAAGCTCCATTGGCTGGGCGCCGCGCGGGAACGCGGGTTCATCCCATCGCTCCACATTCAAATGAAAGCCAGACATCCGGTGATACTACTGCTGCCGCTGTTGTTTGCGTTGGCGGTGGTGCAAAGGCACAAATATCAACAACGCAACTCGACACATTGGCCAACAACACTTATGTGGCCTTCAACGGCAAAAATAATAATTACTAGGTAACGTTTCTAACAATGGTTCCTCTTCATAACACACATTCAAATGAGCTCATCTCATCCGGAGATTCACTCTCATTTGTAACAGGTGATTGGCGTTTTTTGAAAATGGGGGCGCGGGGGGGGGTTAGAGTTCTAACTGTGCTGGTTTTTCCCAGAATCCATTCGACACCAAGTGGTGGTGATACCATCACGGCGCTTAAACAAGGCTAGCTACACTTTGAGGCTAACGCGTGAAGTGTGGAAGGCTCGTATGTATGCTGAACTTCTTTCGCACAGTACGTAGCCAACCGTGTGAATCGAAGGTGCGGTCACGACACAGACCCCAGGTGCATGTGGGCTGAGATGATTGACAGTTGCACCGCCTGTGTTCCTCATTGTGCCAAATTGTTGCGTTATATTCACCCGGCGCTCCGCTCATTGTTCTGAGCGTTGCTCCTCCGCCCAGGAGCGGTCCTTCACGCCCCTCCTCCACAGAGGCCGATCTTGAAACCGCCGGTACCAGTAATCGGCAAGTCCACTCAGCTCCACGTCCTCCATCTCCTTCCTTTCCAGCCCGTCCCGTGCCAGTTTAGCCCCATATATTCAGCCAAATAGAAACACAGACCCCCCCCCCCTCCCGTATAGCCTTTAAAAGACTGTTGGGGCAAGTGTTGTTAGCCAACACATACTCTGGAGCCATACGCTGAACCCTGCACGTTACTTGCCGATGTGAGCGGGGAGCAGTCACCACAAGGGGTTGCAGCTGTAACATAATAATAATAATAACAACAACACAAGCGCATACCCATAGCTGCTATCGCAGCCAACGCCAATGTGAATGGGTACTTCACGCGGCCTCAAGGCGCACCTGGCCTGGCACGGGCGCCATGGTGACTGGGTGACACTTAGAGGCGAATGGCGGTTATTGGTATGGCATGGGACAACCTCGGGCTTTAGGGGTCCCTGTGTCGGCGACGGAGGGGCAGGCGGAATGTGGGAGATATGTCAACTCTCTCACTATGTAAATGCTAAGACCGCAATCCCCCCCCACACCAAGTCACTGCAAGCTGGAGTCCTTGACTATGTGTTTTCCTGATGTACCCGGTTTAATGTTGACCGAATACGTGGCGATCTGCAGCAGAAGGATGGAAACGGCCGCGCACCAAGACCTTGGGAACGAGCGCTTCTCGCTAGGAGTCATTTAAAAAGTTTATTAACATTTTTTGATTTGAAGCTTTTGTGACTGCAGGGATTCATATTCTTGGTTCTTTCGGTAAAGTCACGTAGAAGGGAAACAATAAAATAATACAAATATAAAACAATAAAATTCTCACGACGTTTCGACTGCAACACAAGCAATCATCATCAGGTGTGAAAACCACAGCAAGAACATTTGAAGAAAGTGGCGGTTTTTTTCTTTTTTTAACGTTAGTACTTGGTGGCAAAACCCTTGTTGGCAATCACAGAGGTCAGACGTTTCTTGTAGTTGGCCACCAGGTTTGCACACATCTCAGGAGGGATTTTGTCCCGCTCCTCTTTGCAGATTTTCTTCAAGTCATTAAGGTTTCGAGGCTGACGTTTGGCAACTCGAACCTTCAGCTCCTTCTACAGATTTTCTATGGGATTAAGGTCTGGAGACTGGCTAGGCCAATCCAGCACCTTAATGTGCTTCTTCTTGAGCCACTCCTTTGTTGCCTTGGCCGTGTGTTTTGGGTCATTGTCATGCTGGAATACCCATCCACGATCCATTTTCAATGCCCTGGTTGAGGGAAGGAGGTTCTCACCCAAGATTTGACGGTACATGGCCCCGTCCTGTCCTCTCAGCAGAAAAACACCCCCAAAGCATAATGTTTCCACCTCCATGTTTGACGGTGGGGATGGTGTTCTTGGGGTCATAGGCAGCATTCCTCCTCCAAACACGGCGAGTTGAGTTGATGCCAAAGAGCTCCATTTTGGTCTCATCTGACCACAACACTTTCACCCCAGTTGTCCTCTGCATCATTCAGATGTTCATTGGCAAACTTCAGACGGGCATGTATATGTGCTTTCTTGAGCAGAGGGACCTTGCGGGCGCTGCAGGATTTTAGTCCTTCACGGCGTAGTGTGTTACCAATTGTTTTCTTCGTGACTATGGTCCCAGCTGCCTTGAGATCATTGACAAGATCCTCCCGTGTAGTTCTGGGCTGATTCCTCACCGTTCACATGATCATTGCAATTCTACGAGGTGAGATCTTGCATGGAGCCCCAGGCCGAGGGAGATTGACAGTTCTTTTGTGTTTCTTCCATTTGCGAATAATCGCACCAACTGTTGTCACCTTCTCACCAAGCTGCTTGGCAATGGTCTTGTAGCCCATTCCAGCCTTGTGTAGGTCTACTATCTTGTCCCTGACATCCTTGGATAGCTCTTTGGTCTTGGCCATGGTGGAGAGTTTGGAATCTGATTGCTTCTGTGGACAGGTGTTTTTTATACAGGTAACAAGCTGAGATTAGGAGCACTCCCTTTAAGAGTGTGCTCCTAATCTCAGCTCGTTACCTGTATAAAAGACACCTGGGAGCCAGAAATCTATCTAATTGAGAGGGGGTCAAATACTTATTTCCCTCATTAAAATGCAAATCAATTTATAACATTTTTTGACATGCGTTTTTTTGGATTTTGTTGTTATTCTGTCTCTCACTGTTCAAATAAACCTACCATTAAAATTATAGACTGATAATTTCTTTGTCAGTGGGCAAACGTACAAAATCAGCAGGTGATCAAACGCTTTTTTCCCTCACTGTATATACAGTATTCTAATGCAAGGATGAGAACCTAAATGATATGAATTGCTTCCATGTATTTATTAAAATGTTTTAATTGAAATAGAACAATCAAACATATAACAATTGTTAAATTAAATAAATAAAGTAATAATACAAAAATAAAACAATTCCAATGAGAAAGTAAGAGGACTTTTCAAATCGCAGCCTTTGCGATCTGCTAATCGCGTTGTTTCAAATTGCGATTTCCATTTGAAATCGCTTAATCGTTCAGTCCTAATTGGAGACCCGCCAGAGGGCATGCCCGTCGAGTTCGCGGCCAGGCCCGGTGGCAAATTGAGAGGGTCGCGCGGGTCGAGCCCCCCCGAAGGAGTTGCTCGCGGAGACCCGCGATGATGGCACACGAGGGGCCTGCCGGTGGCCGGGGCTGCCCCGGGGCAGGCCATCGCCGTGCCAGCAAGGCCCCAGGTGGAGTTGGCCCACCAATTCCCCCACCCCGCTCGCGGAGACTTCGCGTCGCCTGGCACTGCGAAGTCCGGCACAGCACACCAGGGGGTGCACGTACACACGCATTTCCACATGCCACCACGGCGCTTGTGCCAGGTTAGGTGCACTTTGAGGCCACATTAAGTGTCGAAGGCTCGCTGGCAGGAGGTCATACACACGTACAAAGACTTTAACAGACTGTTGGGCAAGTGCTGTTTGCGAGCACCTATAAAGGCCGACATGGCACGCGAAGGTGTGGGTGGCCAGCTCCATGCCCCGCCGCCTTTGTCTTCCCAGTAGTGATGTTTGCACCCCGCACCAGGTACTCATTTGAGGCTGAGTCGACCTAGGGGAGGATCCCGTTGAGATCAACAACAGCCGCCCTTCGCCACTAAGGGGAGGTGATGTCACCACGGCGCTTGTGCCAGGCCACGTGCACTCCGTGGCCACTCGAAGTGTCGAAAGCTCACCGACTGCAGGTCACGGGACAGATCCAGGTGCCACGGGTTCAATGAGATGACTGGCAGATGCACCAGCTGTGTTCCCTGCTGTGCCAACTTGCTACATTTTAGTCGCCCGGCGCACCGCGCGTTGTTGTGAGCTTCGCTGCTCTGCCCTACGCTGTTGTTGCGAGAGCGACTGCCTCCAACTGCCCACACATACAAAACAAAGACCCCATATAGCACTTAACACACTGTTGGGGCAAGTTCTGTTTGCGAGCACCTATGAAGGCCGGAAATGCAACACGAGGGGGTGGGTGGCCAACACCAATCCCCGGCCGCCTTTGTCTCCCCCAGCGGCGATGCTTACACACCCCACCGGGTGCTCATTTGGGGCAGAGTCAACCGGTGTTGGCCGTGAGCGGGAATCGAACTCGGTTGGCCTGGGCTTAGCAGCGCAAGCTCCTCAAAGACTCAACGACCCCCTCTCCCGGATAGCCTCACGAGACTGTCAGGGCAAGCGAACTTTCCCTGACCGCTCCCCACACGTACATACTTACGACGCACACACAAACATCATTGCATGCCAGAGAGCAAAAACATGTTTTCAAACTCTCTCGAGCCTCAGGGCGGTTGGCGAGGCAAGGCGTGTGTGCGTGTGTACGGGCGCGGAGCGGTGGTGCAGCGGTTAGCGCGCTGCGCTTCGATACCCGGCCACCCGAGTTCGATTCCCGCCCACGGGCACCAACGCCAAGCGATGATAATTATCTGAACCGGTCGTGGGCCTCCCCTAGGTAGACTCGGCCTCAAAACGATTACTTGCTGCAATGTGAACATCGACAAAGGCGACCGGGGCGTGGTGCCGGCCACCCACACCCCCTCCCCCCTCCGTGTGTCACAGTGCCGGCCTTCATCGGTGCTACTCGCGAACGGCACTTGCCCCAAAAGTCTGTCAAGGCTACACGGTGGGGGTGGGACCTTTGTCTTTGCTGTACGTGTACCCGTGGGGTACTGCGGAGGGGTGCGCTGGGGTTGTCCTCTGTTCAAATGCATCTCGCCGAGCCACCCCCACGCTCCTACACGGTTACTGTATCCTCGTACGTGCGTGGACTTTAAAACTCGGGGTGTAAAAGGTTACAAGAGGCGGTTCACGCGTGAACGCGTGCGCACGTGCGCGTCAACACGTGCGCGCGCGCAGTCACTCCGAGCCGATAGGCAGACCCCAGGCACCACCGACTCGAGCCTTCGAGGCTGTTTTGCAGGGGACGGGGTTAGCGGTCTTGGCGACTTAGTGTCGTCTAGCAGCTATACTTTGTTTAGATAATATAGAGTTAATACATCGCGCACACGCGAAGCCACAATAATAACGCACGTAGGCAAGAACACAGCACATTGACAACAACCGTCGTTCGCCACGAAGTGTCGCTTGTACCAGGCTAGGTGCACCTCGGGTAACACAGCCACCCCCCCTACACACTAGCAATCGCACGCATTAAATAGGCGCAAGTTAGAAAGCACGCTCACACGGCATAACGCGACGCATCGGAACACCAGGGGCGTATGAACGGCACCACCAACCGACTGTTCAATCAGTAAGGGATGCACACTCACGACACATTGACGCACACAACAACTTATTATCACTCACACAACACAACAGATTCACACTCACAACAGATTCACGCACACGCCAACTCATTATCACTCACACAACACGTTCACACTCACAACACATTCACACTCACGCACACGACAACACATTCACACTCACGCACAAAACCCATTCACACTCACAACACATTCACACTCACGCACAGAACCCATTCACACTCACAACGCATTCACACTCACGCACAGAACCCATTCACAACAAATTCACGCACACGACAACACATTCACAACACATTCACACTCACAACAGATTCACACTCACGCACACGACGACACATTTACACTCAACACATTCACAACACATTCACGCACACGACAACACATTCACAACACCTTCACGCACACGACAACACATTCACAACACATTCACGCACACGACAACACATTCACGCACTCACACACTCGTTCACACAATGTAACTCATTCGCGCAATAACTCGCACAAGCAAGAACAAACGCAACAAACTCTCTCGCTGCCGTTACAACACTCACTCTGAAGAACAAGGGCAGTGATAGCGAGCACCTGTGAAGGTACACGAGGGGGTGGGTGGCCAGAACCACGCCCGGCCGCCTTTGTCTCCCCAGTTGCTATGCATGTAAGTTGAACTTCCCTCGCACCGTACGTAGCCTACCGTGCCCATCGCAGGTGCGGGGGAAGGACAACAAACTCAACACAAAGAAGCAGTTCTAAAGAAATTAGTTGTCCATCTATTTTGAGGCTGAGTCGACCTAGGAGAGGCCCAGAACCGGTTCAGATATTTGGTGATCCGAGTTCGGGAATCGAACTCGGATCACCGCTACACGACCCCGCTCCCTTCAAAGACAAGCCAAAGGAGGACACACTGACTTAGACAGACACGATAACCCACACAGGTACACACCACCACTTCAAGTCCTCTCTTCTCTCTCTCTCTGCCCGTCGCTCTACACCGCGTGCAGATCCGAGCGAACAATGTCTCTGGAGGAGTATGACTATATCGTGGTGGGAGCGGGAGTGCAGGGCTCCTTCACGGCCTACCACCTCCTCGACAGCAGGCCCGGCTCCAAGGTTCTGCTCCTTGACCAGGTGAGATGATATCGACAGCCCTCCTCCCACCCCGAGTCCACTACGTCAGAGTGGTGCTTGATGGTGCAAACCCCCCTTGAAATCCCTAAATAATTATTCTTTCAAGCGGACAAACCACCACCTTCACACATCTCTCCCTCCGCGTACACGTGTGTACATTTGTACACATACCCATCAGCCACACCACCTTCCTTCTGGTCGTGCACAATTTCTTACTTATAAAATGATTTCTTCCACTACATTGGATTTTTATTTCAAGATGTTTTCAGCCCCCAATTAATGCTGAGTTGTGTTTATTATACCACGTGGGAGGAGGAAACCGGAGCTCCCGGAGAAAACCCGTGCCCTGCGCGAGGGGGAAACACTCAATCCCCGTACAGATGTAAACAGATGGCGATAGGTCCACTCGCAGTCCTGCCCTATCCCAGCGGACCAGGGTTTGGCATCTTCTCATCGCCCATAGGAATGGAGTTTCACAACATTCGTGCGATCCACCAACCCTCCCTGCCTCCACAGGCGTGCCTCACCACCGTTTAGCCAGTAGCGCATCTACGCGTAATGCTATAAAAAAAAACAAGGAATAAAAACCATGCGTAGGCATGGATTATTGTCTCTCTTTCTAACATGCGTTTGTCCTCGGAGGTATTGTAAGTGGTAGTGGTATGAAAACGGACGGGCAGCTGTCAAGAGTTAAAATCTATGACACCGCTGGAAGATGAAAAGCAGCGACTGGTTGTCAAAACCAAACCGTGGCACACATCGGGCAAGTGGCCAATGCTTCGCTCATTTGCTGGCGGCATTCCGGACACTGGCAGCATTGCTCCCGTGGCCGTCAACTGGCCAGCCAACGTCGCTCAGTACCCTGCCGTACAAAGGAGAGCAAATTAATTAAGCAAGGGGGTCCTTCATTTAGCTGCCAGGCTGGCTTAGACTAGGGGATTATTGGCTTAAGGCACTGCCACTAGAGTACAGCGTCCATTATTCTACCCAACAGTATATTCTTACACACCACCGAGATGAATCAAGGCGAAATGGATGCGACGTTGCCAAAGTAATTCCTGGGAATAGCGTTCCGGATTCTTCCGCTTTTGTTCCGGCTGAATTGAAGACACTTGAGTTCGTTAAATATGCGATTGGTGCCACAGGAATTTCCACCGCCAGCGCACGGGACTGTAAAGCAGGAGATGAGTATTGCCTTGGCGTTCATTTGGGCAGGAAATAACTTTGGCTTTCGAGTTACGCACACGTATTACTTTCGTTCACCAAATTATCCGTAGGCCTAATTAAGCGAGAACGCAATGACGCAAGGGTGAAGTACAATCGGCGCTGATCTCGTGCAGAAACATCGTGCAACAATATGAACAACAAGCAAGAGTTAGTAGGGCAAATCAATGCCCTTTCGTTTAACGTGTAAACTAGCCTCACATCTCGTTAATAATTCTCACATGGATTCACAACTGCAGTCGTTCCAGTGGAAATTGAGCTAGGGGTTAGAGTATGGGTGGCTGGGTTAGGGGGTTGGGTATTTAATGTGGAAATCTTTAGCGCCACGGTGGCGAGATGTTAACTATTTCGCCTGGTATACAGGAGGTTGTGGGTTCGAACCCGACCCTGACGCCTGTATATTTGGAGTATGCATGCTCTCCCTGTGGTCGCATGGATGTTTCTCTAAGTCCTCGGGGTTTTTCCCTCCACATTTAGAAACAAGCATTTAGAGTATTTGGCTGCTATAAATTATCACGTGATAAGCCACTTCGTTGAGCTATCATTTGTGGCCAGGTCTCTTCCGAAAAAGTGTAATATAGCTCAGTTGACCTTACTTAGTAAAAGAAAACGTTTGTATTTAGTTTTTTTTATTTATTAATGTGGGGCGTTGTAGATTCAGTACGCGTGGGATTCCGCCTACATGAAAACAATCATGAATTGGCCGACAGCACCTTAATACATATAGGACCGCTGAGCTTGTGCAATTGTTGGCACCTGTTCATCGCGTGGCTGCCATCCCGCTGGTCTGTGTTGGTTCCTCCTCGAGCCTCCGAGTTGGTCTCTATGAGAGCGAGCGAATACTGTGTGGCGCGTTACACGTTGAAATAGATTATTAGCACAGACGCAGGGTGATAGATTATTATTAGCACAGAAATGGAATCTTGAATCTATATTTGTGCGGAGCTCTGAGGGGTTGGGTCACTTTCACAGGAAGCCAAGCAGTCTTGAATAGAAATGGTTTAACACAACTCAGCGAAATGGTTAAACGACTCCTGCAAAACGGTTCATACTTGGTGAGGCTTTTCTGGGTAAATAGAATGCCTGTGAAATGCCACAGTTTAACAGACTACAATTGTTATCCACATGTTATCTGTATTTTCTCATTTCACTCGGACGATTCCTGCAGGCTGCCTCAGTGATGAACACTCGTGCCCCGCCACAAAAAGTCCCTGGGTTTGAGTCCCCACTCGGGATCCTTTCTGTGTGAAGTTTTGTATGTTCTCCCCCTGTTGTGCATGGTTATTCTATGGGTCCTTTGGTTACCTCCCACAGCTAGAAACACATATCCTAACCTGTTTACGTGAAGCATTTCAGTGCTAAACGTTAGCCATAGGCTACTGGACAGAACCCTCCTGCAACAGTGTTGAGACTCAGTGAGGCTTTCCTGGGTATACAACCAAACAAATATATACAAAAAACGGAATAAAAACAATTGCCAGCTCTAAACTCAAAACACAGTAATAATAGAATTAGAAAAGAGCGTATACATTTCTCAAATCATCTGAGATTTAATGTAGAAAAACATTTGTGGTCACGGTTTGTTTGACTTCGATCAAAGGTCATAGGTTTTACATAGCTGATCATTAATGCTATAGGTGCCTTGTTCCTTCCAGTAAGAATGAGGCCTGCCTGAGTCCCGGTTCTGAACCACTTAAAATGACTGAGGTGCCGTGAGCAGCAAACAGACTAGCAGAAAAATAAATGCAGTTTTTTTTTCATAATGTAGATGATATTTGGCCCTTTCAGATGGCCCCTCTTCAATGTGTACTGTGTCCTTGGTCACGTACTCCTTTGGCTTATTGAGATGTTCTATATATGTTGCAAATATGGTATACACATCTGTAACAATTACAATAGTGAAAATAATTTACAGCTGTCAATCCACTGGTAGATGACGGCTTTTCATGCCATGTCAGTCATGTGGAGATTTGTTTGACCATACTTCACCACGCTGTTGAGTTCGGATACCAAATCACCACTGATTTAGTCTGAGCCAGCAATCGAATTCAGGTCGCTGGGTTAATTGCGCAGTGCGCAAGCCACTGCGTCACCACTTCATGTCTGTGGTTTATGGTATCAAATGTATCATGCGCCGCTGCGGTGTGGTGTTGGTAATAACACAAAACATGGCACCGACTATAGCCTGTTCAATCGGGTGAAAATAAATATAAATACATTTCTAGAGGTGGCTCTGGAGATCAGCGCTGACTTGGCACCGCCGAGATCCTGGGTTCGATTCCAGGCAGCCGCCTGGGATTAAATGACTGTAACGTCTCAAGTGGAAATGTCTTTGGTCAGTTACCAATGATGACACGACAAAAGAATCACGAATTTGGTGTTGCACTTAATGCGGCTAAATTCCGGCTCGGAGAATGAAACATATCTGTTTGACTGTCGTACAAAGACTCGCCGATAACGAATTATCTCTTTCTCTGCAATCCCTCTCCATCCCCGCCGTTATGCCACCCACCCCTCTCTCTCGATCTGCTCCGCCGCAGTTTCCGTTGCCCCATTCCCGCGGAAGCTCCCACGGACAGTCGCGCATCACGCGCCGCGCCTACCCCGAGCTGCACTACGCGCTCATGATGACCGACTGCTTCGAGGCGTGGGACAAGCTCGGGAGAGAGACCGGCTCCACCCTCTACACGTGAGAGCGACAGGCGACGACGACGTTGGCATGGACCCTGGTAGCAGTTTGCCGCACATTTAGAAATGCCTCGCACAATGTTTCGCTTTTTAACTGAGGCGCGAAAGGGAGCCACCCACGGTGGTGGTGTAACGGTTAGCAGCGTGCTGGACTCCAGAGGTCGCTGGTTCGATTCGATCTCACGTTGCTGTGGTTCACATGATTTGGCTAAATTCCAGCCATGAGATTTCAAAGGGTTCAGTTTGTCGTGCGATGAATAATGATTGCTCTGTGTCGGGTCACGTGTGAGAGTGAAGCGACACCGAGTGTGGGTAAGAGACGTCGCTTGAACGGATCTCAGAAGCAGTTCCGTGGAATATGCTTCCACGGGCCGTTCTTTAACACACCGCGGCGACGCACCGCCATGCGAGAGTTCCGCACGGACCCTCTGTCTAGTGACACGATGCACCAAAAGCTCGATAAGTGCACTTTGCAATAACTCTTGAGAAACAGGCAGTTAAAAAAAAATTCTAAGAAAAATTACACGGACATTTATGGATGATTACACCGATTTATACCACCTGGTAGCACTGCAGACCGTCATCATCTAATCAGTGTGAGGTGTCGTGGGGGAATTGAGAGGCGAGCAGATGATACCGCTGATTGAACACAGGCAAGCTTACCCGCGTGAGGGAACCGGGCATGTATAAAAGCCAGCCACCTCGAGAGAACACCTAATTTAATTCACGGAATTTGTCTGAAATTGAAAGTGCAGTCGGTGTGGCATACAAATGACCCCATGGTAAAGCCGCCTGGCCTTGCAAAGAGACATGTCGCGTTACGTTGCGTAATTCCGGGCAAAGGGTGAACACTGCCCTCAGTGCTCACACTGGGTTTTTTATGAGTGCAAAAAAAGACAAAGATCCCCCGTGTAGCATACACAGGCTGTTGTGACAAGTGCGATTAGCGGGAACTTATGAGGGCCGGTACGGTTCAAGAAATGGGTGGTGCGGTGAACACCACGTCTGGCCGTCTTTGCCTCCCCAGTGCCGATGTTTACACACCGCAACTATAGGCACACATTTTCTATGCAGAGTTAGCCTAGGAGAGGCCCAGGGCCGGTTTCAGACACCACTCGTCACTGATGTTCGCCATTTCTGTGGAATAGAACTCGGGCCGCTGGGTTACCATTGCGCGGTGCGCCAACCACTAGGCCACCCACTTCATCGGTTTGATGGGTTACACGCACACGCGAGTCGCGTGACCGATGACAGAACGACAAGAAACGGAGGGGGTCATGGGCACACTTTCAAGAAACCTCAATGCCTCAAGAGGGCACCAGTTATTACGAGTAAGGTTGTATACCCAGGAAAGCCTCTCCGAGTCTCGTGGCTCTTTCAGGAGGTGTGCGCTTGTTTTTTTGCAGTAGGGGGGCGATATTTGCGATGCGATAATTCCAATTGAGTAATTTTCCAATCGAGTGGTAACCACGTTTGCCGAGGCAGGGCCTCATCACACGTAGTGTGTTTCAAGATCTCTCGTGGCCTACGTGAACGGGAGGCACCAGGCATAATTTCCCTTGCTTCTTGTGTTGATACAAACCTTGAAGCGTCTTAATAATTATCATTATCAGCAGTCATGGTCTATCCATCGCCGGATGAAGACCTCTGCTATCCCCAACGATCATACGAAGCAGCAACCCATGCCAGCGCCTTGCACACGAGCCAATTTCATCACTCCATCTCCGCAATTAATGTCCTCTCAGGCGCGTTCCCTCCCCTCGGCCATGGTGGGGTGGACAATAAGTACAATTCTTTGTTGTCCCTTCAGAGCCTTAATCGAGTCTCTAGACTATTTCAGGAGAGATGCGCGGGTAACACTTTTCCCCAAACTGCTCGAGGCAGTTTTGCGCGAGGGATAATACCACAACCACAGCGCCCATAGGTAAAATGCAAGAATTCACGCGTCCCAGAGTGTGAACTGGATAAAAAAATAAATGCGCAGATCAGCCGAACGGCAACCTACTTTCTGTACTACCTCCAGCTGGCATCCACATCGCATGCACAGCTGGCTGCCTCGTTCCACCCCCCGCGTCGCAGTTAATGATGCGACTCTGTCCATCTTTCTGTTTGGGGCACCGTCCAGAACGCTGTTCCAGGAATTATTTTGGCCACGCCACATCCATCTCGCCTTATTGTACTCGTGATACTGCGATGGTGCATGCAGTGGTGTGCAAGAAGGCCCAGGAGCACGGGGTGCGATCAGGTAGGATTGTTGTGGATAGGCCGGGTGGTGGTGGCGCTAGCTTGCGGAGGTGAGCGTTGGTGTACCACACAAATGTCGTGAAACTCCATCCCAATGGGCGTCAAGGTCGCCATACCCTGGCTTCCCTGTTTTATCTACATTTGTACGGGGATAGAGTGTTTCCCCCTCGTACACGTGAGTTTTTTCTCGTTACTCTAGTTTCTTTTCACATGTATAATCACTCAATCACGGAGTTAGTCAAACATCTTAATATAGGACCAAAGCTTGGGCAATTTTTGGTGCCGATTGTGGCTGCCTTCCTGCTTGTCTGTGCCTCTGAACCTGAGGAAACTGTGCAGTGTGGAGGCTGACTAAATTTATATTTTCAATTACAATTTGCAACAGCCTCGTTAATTTACGCGAACACACTCCATCGGCCAGTTGACCTTCATTTCCAGATCCTCTTCGTGACACCGCAGCGCCAGAGCATTTACAACAATAGGGGGGAAGGGTGGGGGAGACAGAACACAACGCAGAGCAGTACACATCCACAGCATTCCTGGCAGGCCAGTAGAGCAGCAGCTCAGCATGCGGGCTACACCGTGAAAGTTACGCTATGTGACTGGACAGGCGCACGGGGTTGCTGATGCTGGGCCCTCGCGGGCACCCGGAGCTGGAGGCCACGAGACGGGCGCTGGAGCACGTGGGCGCGCGGCACGAGGACCTGGAGGGTGAGGAGCTGGCAGCTCGCTACCCGGGCCTCGCGTTCCCTCCCAGCGCGGAAGGCGCTTCCACCGCCGCCATCCTGGAGCCGGACGGAGGGGTGCTCCACGCCCAGCGAGCGATGTCCGCCCTCTGGGTGAGTTTGCGGGGAGGAGGAGGATAAGGGTTTGCCCGCGCGTAGTGGCGCTGGCTTAAATGGATCGGCAGCTCCCGAGCATGTTCCACCACCACACCTCGTCGAAAGCATTCCACTGTCTTGTGTGGCATTCTAGCTAAGTGGACCCCCCTGTGGCAGCTATCCCTGTGCATGTGGCAGAGGTGATGGATAACTATCGTTTCTAAGTGCTATGCCTCGTGTGGCTACGTGGTGGCCAACAGAGGGCAGCACAACACAATCGATTGTTACACTGTACTTCTATGGCCCGAGACTTTACCAAAGGGCACTGACCAGCATGGCGCAGCATGGTTAAATAACCATCATGACCTACACGGACGGCATGGCGAGGTCCTCGTCAAGCAGTGGATGGAAAATGTCCGGGCAAGGAAAAGTGTCATCCCCCGGGAGACGAGCAGGTTTGGGAGTTTTCTTTTTCTAAATCTCTTCTTGCCATCCACCAACCCTTGCCTCGGGAGCGTGGGATCACAGGTGGCTAGCATGCCCCGCTAACCATCATTATGTAACAAACGAAACACGAACTTTAACATATGGCTTTGTTGTTAGATGGCAACAATAAAATAATCAATGTTTCCTCGGAGTTACTGACGATTTAAGTTAATTCCAAGGGAGTGATATTGCTTGAAAACGCATTACAGCACTGACTTAATTAAAACAAGAATTTCTGCTGAATATTCATTACTTTAATTGCGTTAGAATAATTTACGACTCGGCGATGTTTCAGTGTGAAAACTTCCAAAGTACTGAGCTCACTCATTGCACTGGACTGCCCAGCTACTAGACCTCTTAATTGATTCGTTCATTCATGTCGGTTGCCAGCTTCCCAGCAGTGTGGCCCCACCAGCTCATTCCAGATTGTCTGTGCGAATCGCCCTTACCTCACCCGATTCTGTCGGATCTTGGAAGCTACGCAGGTTTTAGCCTGGTTAGTACTTCGATGGTAGACGGCCTGCGAATACCAAGACGTTGTGGGCTGAGGATGCAAGGTGACCAGCAGAACAAAAATTGGACTCTTGAATCTGTTTTGGTGATCATGGCAAAATATCTCAACACAAGGACCACATAGCTTGGGCAATTGTCGGCGCCAATTCCGGCTGCCCTCCCGCTTTGTCTACGGTTACTTGAGCCTGTGTGCGCGTTAAAACATTCCAAATCGTTATGCGATGAAATTTGCATGATTTTACGCCTGCTTTGTGAAATTAAATTATTATTATCACACTGCTTGTCACTCATTGGCCGTCTTTGGTTCTGCAAGTGAGTTGAAGTGGGATGGATCCAATGCCTGGCCAGACCTTGGCCCAGGCAACAACAGCAGCAGCTAAAAACTAAACAATATTTATTTTACCAAGGTAAGGCCCACTTAGCTGCTATATAGCTCTTTTTCAGGAGCGACATGGCCACAAATGATCGCTCAACGAAGTGGATTATCACATGGAAATGTATAGCAGCCAAACACTATAAACGCATGTCTATCCTAAATGTGGAGGGAATAATACACGCGACCACGAGGATAGAGGCAAGCAAACTCCAAATTTAAAGCAGGCGTGAGGGTCAGGATCGAGCTCACGACCTTCCTTGCATACCAGGCAAGGTAGTTAACATCTCGCCACCGCGGAGCCCCGAGCTGTTGTTCCCTGCCGATAGTCAATGCAGCTGCTGCTATGAAATGGCAGCCGCCCCCCCCCCCTAGCAGAGGCTCCTCTGGGCAAATTGCCCTCCGCCTTGATGCCCATCCCGTCCATTCACCACCTGTTTGCGTCACGCATCCACCGTCCATGGCAGCCCCCCACCGTCTGGAACGCAGCCATCATCGCCCCCCCCACCACCTCTTATCGCCCCGGCTTCGAGCGACACTGAGCTTGGCTCCGCGCCTTGGAGTCACGGTCAGCATGTCCGTCAAAATATTCCTCGTTATGAATGCCATTAGTATTGCTATTGTGCCAAACGGGGGGTGTGGGGTAAAACAATTTTCCGTGTTATTTTGTTGACTGTAACGGCCAAGGCATTCCTTGCCTTGGCTGTCATTCCGTCGTTAGTCTCGGCCAGCAGCCATCGCCCCTTCCAGCTCTGACTCATCCTGCCCAAGCCCCACATATTCCTTAATAGTTAAAATTAAATCTCTAAAGTGCTGTGTACGTTCTCTAAAACCTACTTCTTTCCTTTTTTTTGTCTCTTTTCGTAATGTAATTTGCAGCGTGCGCCTCCGAAGCACCTCTCCAGCCACAGTACAGAGTCAAACTAATTTTGCAACGATACATAAATATGAAAGGACACGTGCGAGTGCGAAACTCACTTTCGTAGGCGAACGTTATTGGAGGAGGAGACAAAATACGTGAGTATGTTGAACGAGCACAGCAGGGAGCTAACGAGCGTCCCCGCCAGGCCGTGGCGATCCTCCGCCCCTCTTGCGCTACTCACTACTCGCGACGCTGGGGTCAGGGCCGAGGTTTTAAAATCAAAACGACGAATTGCGATCGCCGCATTGATTTTTGCGGTTGTGCCGTACGGCTCTCCGATGCGTTTTAAAGGCTGAACCGCCGCGCTATTCGGCCCGACGAACGGACGTTTCGCTCCATGTGCCTGGAAGCTTATTTGCCAACTGAACAGCTCCCGAGTTTGGTCTGCTCCACGCACAGGCTTCGATGACACACTAATAAAACTGTGGCCGGCTCCCTCCATCGACCGCTTTGGCTACCGCGAGCACCTCTCCCACGAGTGGGGAAATTACAGACGGCCCCACAGTGCAGCGACCGCGGCCACCCGAACCAAACGATGGACCAAATCGCGAACTGCATCGTTCTATTAGGCCCGCTCTCCGGCGGACTGGACCAGCGTCGGTTGCGTTACTCCCGAAGCTACTCCTGTCACGTGCCTCACAAGCTTGAAACCTGGACGTGTAATTTACACGTACCTGCCACGCGCTAGGAAACTCCCGGCACGTGGATCTGAAACGTCGGGGACACGAATTCCGAAAAACCAAACAAAAAAACAGGGTACAAACCCGAAAGCACACCAGAGAGGCCCTGGATTATTCACGACCTCCCCCATCCCCCCCCCCCCGTTACCCCAACCGCCGCTCCTCCAGCACTGCAAAAAGATATGTATGGATGATGAGAGAGGATGCATTGTAGTCTTTCTTTTTGAAATGCAGGTAATGACTTGAGATGCTTGTTGTCAGGGCAGTGTCCCTCCCAGGATCGTGCACACACATGCGGAGAGACAGAGAGAATCGCCGAGGAGGTTCGCCGGTCAGTGGCAGATCAACCACAACGCTGCAGAGCGCTTGGGTTTGATGTCTGGATTTTCGCCATCGGAGCTTCAGCATGTTAATTCACGGCCTAATGAGAAGCACACGTGGCCCAAACATTCACAAATATTCGTGGACGATGATGTTACGTTAAGTCTCTTCTCCGATAACGCGGCAGTCGTTGCATTCCTGAAGAACACTGCGTTATGGAATCATCGCGTTGTAATAAGCGTTTTTTCAATGGCAGTTAAGGGGGTAGTAGGTTTCGAAAACACTAACATGACTGACATTTTTCATGAAAATTTGTTAAATTATTGTCGATTTTTAAGTGTAATTTTATAATTACTATGTTTTAGTTTGATAATATAAGTAAATACATTTGTTTACGAAAAAATAACAAAATGCACGTCACAGCTTTAGTCGCTAAGCGATAGAAAACATAGCCGTGGATTAGGGTGAAGGGAGAAAACGATGAAGCATGTGACGGGAATCGCTTCACAGATTTTAACGATAACATTTTCTCATAAAAAAAATTGTAACCACAAGAAATATTTATGAAATGTAAATAAACTTAGATAAAAAAAAATGTACACTTACCGCAATAAGATACGATGGTCGCTTGAGATGAGTGGTGGAGCGGGAGATGGAGTCATTGTGAAGATGAAGGAGGAGAGGGTTGAGATGACTCAACCATTGGTAGATCATCTGTTGATTTAGAAGATGGGAGCGATTCAACCTCTGCTAGGTCATCTGATTATTCCGATAATTCAACCATTCCTGCATCATTTGGCGACTCGGGTGAGTGATCTGTTTCTTTTGGAGCTCGTGGTCGAAAAAACGTTGAACCGGCCGATGAGGTGCCTTTGGATGTTGACGGCGCTGGATCTTCAGGGGTTTTGGGTCCATCTGGAACCAAAAATTGATCAATCTTCCGCTGTTTGGTGGCTTTTCTTTTTTCTTCGAGGAGCTCAACGTATGGGGCCAGCTGAGCCTTTATTGCTGGGAGGATTTTTGCACTGCGCTTCGCATTGCAGTCATTGTCCTCCAACTTTTGCATGCCCCGTTCAAAGTCTTGCAAAGCTGACGACAGAATAGCCGCAGTTAGTTCACGGGGTGGCGCTTCTTCAGGATCACCATCGTCATCATCCTCCTCAATTGCTGCAACCACCTCAGCAGTCAGTTTTTGCAATTCCTCCGTCGAAAGTTCCTCCCTATGGGACTCCTCGGCACCCTCTACTTTCTCGAATCCTGCTCGCCTTGCTAGCGCCACGCACTGTATTTGGATCTTCTTCAGTTGTTCCTGCTGCGCCTCGAAGGCCCGAAAGTCACGAACGACGTGAGGCAGAGCTTACGGCAGACGCCATTTAAGCACGGTTGCGTGATGTCTGTCCAGGCCTCTACGATGATGTCAATTGCCTGCTTGATGTTAAACGACCTCCAAGTCACCGACGCTTGGCTTATTCTCTCCATCCGTAGCCTCAATCAGCATGGCAAAGGTGCGCCTCAGATAGTAGGCCTTGAATGCAGCAATAACTCCTTGGCCCATTGGTTGCAACAGTGAGGTTGTATGAGGTGGCAAGAACACAACTTTGATCTGCTCCGATAAATCAACAATATAGGGTGGATGGCTCGGCGCATTGTCTACGACTAACAATATTTTGAAGTCCTGATTTTTTCTCTTGCAGTACCTTCGCAGCTCGTCCTGCAATGTTTCCAACACGTAGTCCGTGAACATTTGGTCAGTCATCCAACCCCTTTTGCTCGATCGGAAATGTACCCCAAGGTCAGCCCTTACGAAGCCTTTGAGTGTGCGCGGGTTAGCCGAGTGGTGTACCACAACAGGTTTGAGCCGATAGCCACCACTCGCGTTAGCTCCCAACATGACCGTGAGTCTGTCCTTCGCTGCCCTCAAGCCTGGAGCTGTTGCCTCCTCCTTGGAGGCATGGGTCCTGGAAGGCATCCTCTTCCAACATAAGCCCGTCTCATCAATGTTAAAAATGCGATCGGGACTGTAGCCACCTTCATCAATAACTCGGTTCAGGGCGTCCGGGAAGTTCGCAGCAACAGCTGCATCTGCACTCGCCGCTTCGACAGTCAATTTCGCATTGTGCAAGTCGAAGCGCTTCTTGAAGCCCGCAAGCCACTCGCTGCTTGCGTTAAATGGTTGGACGTTGTCCGGCTTACACTTTTTCTTGAGGTCTTCATAGATTGAAAGGGCTTTTTGTTTTATTGTCAAGAAGCTGGGGCCCGATCTCCTCTTTGTTTGACTCTCTATCCATAAACTAAGAAGCCTTTCAGTCTCTTCGACGATCTTGGGCCTGGCCCTGACGCTCCGACTTGCACTTATGTTTGTTGCAGAAACACAACTTTCCTTAATTTTTTTCTGCATCGCGACGAAGTGCGCAACGTGGATTCGGTGAGTCCCGTTGTGCGAATAATGTCATGTGTTCTTTCGTTTCGTTCGTACCGCTTTATCACATCGAGTTTTTGTTCAAGAGTTATGGCTTTTCTTTTCTTCACTTCACTTCCACTAGCACCACTAGCAGAACGCTTCATACCCTTGCCACTCATTGTAATTAAAATCAACTTGTATGCAAAGCGAGACGAATTATATTTGGTAAAGCACAGTCCGTGATAACAAGTGAGATGCGTACGCAGGCTGAACAAAGACTGAGGCACGTGGGTAGCATCTAGAAGCATCCAGCAGCATCCCGCCTCGTGCGATGCTACGCCGAGGCAGCCGTACAACCGCTTATTCCTACTCGCGCGCGATGTAGTTTCGTTCACTCAATCGCGTTATATCCGATTCACATCCGCGTTACGAAAAAAACATGTTTCCTAATAAATTCATCGCGTTATGAAAACACGCAGCGTTATAGCAGGACGGACTGTACTTAAAAAGAAAATTAAAGTCCGTCCATATTATTTTCGTTTGCATTTCCCACCCCCCAATTTTATCCCAATTGTTTCGCGAGACAAATAATCTATACTCTTGGGTTCTTTCGGTAAAGTCACGTAGCATTGCATCACCCCATGTTAGAGAGCGGCCAACGGAAGGATATATCACAGAACCACGACTGAATCCTCTCCCAAGCGAGCTATGAGCCACACACTAGGGTGCAGCAATTACCTAAGAGGCTCTACAGCATTAGTTTAACAGGCCCAACGCTGCTAATGAGATCCAGATAAATTGAAAACCCATTCAGAGTTTGCCCGCTTCCAACCAAATGCTGTCATGTGCCACGGAAATATATCTGAAATATATTTTGTATGCGAAGGAAGACTGGTTTTTTTTGGTGTGTTTTGTTTTTAAAGTGATTTCACGACGTTTCACCCGCGTACATTCAGAATAATGCAGCCGTTTGTAATTTGCTCAAGTCAAACATTAGAAGCCACTGTGTATGTGTGCGCGCGTGTGAAAGCGTCTGCACGTCAACCCGGTGCTTGAAATTCAGAGCGTAATCATTCATAATTTACACCCTTCTTCCTAACCTACATACAGCAGATTGTTCACGAGCGTGCTGCTAAAAAGCAAAACCACGCAAATTTACAACAAAAATAATAAAAAAAAATTCAGGATTTTAAAACGTGCGGCGTTATACACACGTCTCAAAAAATAACATCACACACCCGGGGCCCACCCAATATATATTTAAAAAAGCCACCCAACAACAACGCTCGTGCAAATTTGATCTCGTTCGGAGAGCATGATGGCCGAGTAAACAACAACAACACCACCCGGCTTCCCTTCCCCTCCCGTTGTGCCTCTGCGATTTCGACGCTGCGCAGAAGAGGATCGAGGAGAATGGCGGGCGGATCCTCGACGGGCTCAAGGTGTCGGCGGTCTCGCCGGGCCGCCGCGCGGTAACCGTGGCGACCGGCGAGGGGCGGGGCCCGCGGTTTGCGGCGAGCGCCGTGGTGCTCGCCGTGGGGGCCTGGGCAGGCGCGCTGCTCTCATCGCTGGGGCTACGGCTGCCGCTGCAGGTACCGCCCCCCGCCGCGATCGCCCCGCCCCTCGCCGCGATCGCCCCGCCCACCGCCGCGATCGCCCCGCCCACCGCCGCGATCGCCCCAGCCGCGATCGCCCCGCCCACCGCCGCGATCGCCCCGCCCACCGCCGCGATCGCCCCGTCCACCGCCGCGATCGCCCCGCCCACCGCCACGATCGCCCCGCCCCCGCCGCGATCCCCCCGCCCCCTTGGCACCCCCTGCCACCCCCCCCAACGTTCGTTCATTCATTCAAACGTTTCGTTTCGTTCATAAATGTTTTTATTTATTCGTGTGGTAGCTACTCTGTGGTTCTTTCGGTGAAGTCACGTAGGGAGACAAATAATAGATCACGACTTTTCGATCGCCACACAAGCAATCGTCATCAGGTGGGACAACCACAGCAAGAAAACACAACTGCTGACGTAGGGCGTGAGGTCTGCCGTGGCACGAGGTTATATAGTAGGCCTCGCCTACGTCAGCAGTTTTTTTTATTTCTGTGGTTGCCCCACCTGATGACGAATGCTTGTGTTGCGATCGAAAAGTTGTGATCTATTATTTGTTTCTTCGGTCTGTTGAATTCTCGTCTCTCATCTCCTTGTTGTATTTACCTCCATGATTTGTGTTTTGACACCTGATGAAGATCGCTTGTGTTGTGATCGAAACGTCGTGATTGTTTTGTTTTAATATAATTTTATTGTATCTCAACCTACGTGACTTTACCGAAAGAACCAAAGAGTATGGATTCCTGCAGTCACGAAAGCTTCAAATCAAGATTCGTACGTTTGTTGTTTGTTCAGTCATGAATTTGTAGTTTGTTTATTCGTTCGCCATCAATTCGTTAATTCACTAAATTTCGTTTATTTTTTGGTTCATGTGCTCGCTCATTCATTTGATCGTTCCTTCATTAATTTGCTCTTCCATTCAATCGTTTTCCCCTGCATTAGCAATGTGGAATTTCCAGCGCTCACTCAGTTCCCTATTCCTTCGTTAATTTATTCTTTAGTTCATTCTCCTCTGCCATGGGAACGTGGAATTTCCACCAATGGCCCTTCGCTGAAAATGGGGCCCCCATGCTTTCATTGTTTGAGTGAGAAACCACCTTGAATTCTTCGGCGTATGTTTACTCGTGACCCTAAAAACATTTCCGCACCCCGGCATACCACATCCAGTATACATCATTGCCCTGCTTGTGGCTGCTAGTCACATGGCTCTTCCAATCTACCAACGACCTGGAAAATATTCAGTTGTTTTAGACTCTTCCGTCCTCTTTGTTCAGCTTTGTTTTCAACTTTAGCCAAATTGTAACATGAGCATACAATTTGCATACACTGTAAATAATTAATTGTCACAAATGCTTAAGTGCAGGTGAGTATGAGAGTCACTTCGGATGTCTGGTCAGTGGTGAGTATCGAGTGGTGAGCGCCTGGTGAGTCACGCGTGTGATGCGTGTGTCGGGGGTGTGGTGAATGCCGGGTGAGTGGTGAGTGTGCAGTGAGTGTCTGGCGAGTAGTGTCAGGTGAGTGGTGTCAGGTGAGTGGCGAGTGGTGGTGTCAGGTGAGTGGTGCGTGGTGGTGCCAGGTGTGTGGTGAATGGTGTCAGGTGAGTGGTGCCAGGTGAGTGGTGCGTGTGTGGTGAGTGGTGTCAGGTGAGTGTGTGGTGAGTGGTGTCAGGTGAGAGGTGAGTGGTGTCAGGTGAGTGGTGTCAGGTGAGTGGTGAGTGTGTGGTGCCAGGTGAGTGGTGAATGGTGGCAGGTGAGTGTGCCAGGTGAGTGTGCCAGGTGAGTGGTGCGTGTGTGGTGAGTGGTGTCAGGTGAGTGTTGTCAGGTGAGTGGCGAGTGGTGGTGTCAGGTGAGTGGTGAGTGGTGCCAGGTGAGTGGTGTGTGGCAAATGGTGCCAGGTGAGTGGTGAGTGTGTGGTGAGTGTTGTCAGGTGAGTGGTGAGTGGTGTCAGGTGAGTGGTGTCAGGTGAGTGGTGTCAGGTGTCAGGTGAGTGGTGAGTGTTGTCAGGTGAGTAGTGCCAGGTGAGTGGTGAGTGAGTGGTGCCAGGTGAGTGGTGAGTGTGCGGCGAGTGTTGTCCTGGCTGCTGCACTGACCCCGTTGTGCGTGCAGCCGCTGCGGGTCAACGTGTGCTACTGGGAGGAGGAGCAGCCGGGCTCGTACAGCGCTGCCTCGGGCTTTCCGTGCGTGCTGGACGTGGCCTCTGACCTTCCACACCACGTCTACTCTCTCCCAAGCCACGAGTACCCGGGCATGCTCAAGGTGAAGAGGGGGGCTCTCTTGTTCGTCGTCCATAAATGACGTCACGCACCCGGGGGGGGGGGGTCAGACATTTGTGACGATGTGTGACGAGGGAAGAGGGGGGTTTGAGAAATGTGACGTCACATCAAAATGCGCGACTTTAAATATAGACAACACGTTCTACTTAATTAAATACTTTTTAATAAATGTTTTATCCTACAACGTCAGAGTGCAGCGCCACATTAAATACGCACTACAATGACAATAGTTTAAAGCGATTTGAAGCAAAAATTTTGATTTAAAGCTTTCGTGACTGCAGTAATTCATATTCTTAGCTATTTCGGTAAAGTCACGTTGAAGGGAAACAATAAAATATATATTTACCGAAAGAGCTAAGAATATGATTTGAAGCATGTTTTTTTTGGGGGGGGGGCAGAGCTTTGTGACGTCATTTTTGAAGGGGGGGGGTCTGACTTTTTGTGACGCCGTGTGACGAGGGGGGTCAAAAATCGTCCAAAATCGCGTGACGTCATTTATGGACGTCCCATAAATCGCGACCGTGCCGGTTGGCCGATTGCGCCGTGAGAAAGAGATAGCCTCAAGGGGCAGTGGGTAATGTCCCTATATGGACCCGTAACAGTAAAAGCAAAAGTGATTTATTGCACGAATAACACAAACTAATTGCTCGTATCATTGTGGAGCGCGCAGGTGATAAGATTTAAAAAAGGCAAGCAGACAATGCGTCTCATTCCGTCGACCCCCGTCTCTCCACGTAAACAAATTAAAGTATTTTTTGTCACATTCCATCGGCCCCACGGCCTTCTGGGGAGTGCAGCACATTCAGCCGCCTTGATTCGGCACAAGCAGCACTCTTGACCGGTTTCGATCCGCAGTGTCTCCAGATGTCGTAGCATCCAGATGTCGTAGACGTCTGGAAGTTAGCCGCGGTTGGCTACGTACGGTGCGAAAGAAGTTCAACATACGTACATACAGACCCCCCCTCCCCCTCTTTAAGATACGGGTTCTGGTTCGACACAATTTTATAATCCGTAGCACAAAATAACAATACTGCACCCTCCTCCGGCAGTTCACCGGCATTGCCTCTGCTGATGTTGGTTTTTGGCCACCTGCCCCCTTCACCAACCCACACTGACCAGCACGGTGAAGTATGGTTAAACAAAGGCGTGATTTCCATGGGATGGGGGAGGGCCTTCATCCATCAGTGCAATTGACAAGGGGCTGCAATTGTTTGTTGGTCGATGCCGTGACGTGAAATGGGTTCGCATGACCTCTGAAGCCACTAGAGGCCGCTATACCCTGGCTGATTAAAATCGAGGGCCACGTGGTTTGTCGGAGTGACTGAATCGCCGCCGCACGATCCTCTGTGGGATTTGGTGATCCGGCACCGCCCCCCCCCCGCCCCGCGCTCCCCTCTGCTCGTGGGCTCCATCTCGGACCCCCCCCCCCCCCCATTTCTCCGTGCCACCACCCCCATTCGCTCGCGCCTCCATCCCAAAAGATATCGCCATAGCAACGCCTGCTCTAATTTAACGCCTCCTGAACCGGTTGGATAGAATTGTCAAAACGCATTTTAGTTACAGCGCTCGTGCTGGCGGGGTTAGTTGTGTGATTATGCAACGGCTGTTTTGGTTGGGGGTGGGGGGGAACCACCCAGAAACTTTGCTGCAGTGATTTGAGTTTGATAGGACTGCACGAGTCAGTTTAGCGGGCAGTGCAAACTCCTTTCATTATCATCATCAGCCATGATCTATCAACAGTTGTGCGGCGATCCACCAACCCTCGCTGTCATCTCCACAGCGCTGAATTACAAGCAGAAGCCACGTGCAGCATTAGCCAACCACCGACCGGCTCTGCCGTCGCCCGTGTCGACCTTCAAGCAAGCTCACGCTGCAGGGTTGCTGGAGCTGACGACGATGACCGTCACGTGAACTCCGGTCATCCTCGCAGCGGCTTTTGGCTGGCCATCGAAACAAAGACGGTCACCGCATCGCGCGCGTTCAGATGCGCTTCTACGACCGTCTGGAAGGCTCTTGCGATTATAAGGAATCCACTGCAGCGATGCACTTAAATCTATATTGATAACTCATCTATTTAGAACGTTTTTTTTGTGTTCAGTTTGTTGTCCTTCTCCCGCACCGCTGATGAGCACGGTTGGCTATGTACGGTGCGACAGAAGTTGAACATCATGACGGCGATGAGGACGACGACGACAATCACGCTGGGAGTGATGGTTTTCCCCCGGGTGTGTCGCCGCGCAGGTGTGCTACCACTACGGCACTCCGGTGAACCCCGACGCGCGCGACCTGGGGGCCGAGGGCGACACGCGCGACGTGGAGGCGCTCCGCGCGTACGTGTCGCGCCGATTCCCCGGCCTCGTGCCCACGCCGGCCGTGGTGGAGACGTGCATGTACACGGTGAGCACCGCACCTCGCGCGGACACGTGCGCACAGAGACAAAGATCCTCCGTATCGCCTTCAACAGACTGTTGGGGCAGTTGCTGTTTGCGAGCGCCTGTGAAGGCTGGAACAGCACACGAGGGGGTGGGTGGCCAGCACTGTTTACACACTGCACCAGGTACTCATTTGAGGCTGAGTCGTCCTAGGTGAGACCCAGGACCGGTTAAGATAATCTTAACTGGTGTTGGCCGTGAGCGGGAATCGAACTCGGTTGCCAGGTTCGTAGCGCAGCGCGCTAACCGCTACACGTGTACAGCACACACACACAAAGACAAAGATCCCCCATGTAGCCTTTCACAGACTATTGGGGCAAGTGCTCTTCGCGAGCACCTTTTTAAGACTGCCAAAGCACACGACAAGCCAGCAGCACGCCCGGTCGCCTTTGTCTCCCGAGTGGCGACGTTTACTACACATCGCATCAGGTACTCATTTGAGGCTGGGTCGACCGGTGGCGGATATTCCTCGGCCGATGTTGGCTGTGAGCTGGAATCGAAGTCGGGTCGCCGGGTTTGCGCGCTCGCAGCTCGGCGAATGCGGCGTTGATTCGCGGCGGCAGAGGCGGCAGAGGCACCTCCGTCACCTCAGATCTCATTTTCTTTTGCAACCTGGCCTCCCCCCACCACCACCAACTCCGCACATCAAACTCCTCCCGTGCACCGATAGGCTTCCAGCTGCGTGCCGCAAATTACCCCCCCCACCCCCACAACATTATAAATAAAAAAAAAGATCAAGCAAAAGCCCTTTACCGCGAGCGACTAAGCGGATAGGTCACACTTCATGGCTACTATGGTCGCCTCTGTTGTTGTTGTTGTTATTGTGAGGGGGGGGGGGAGACGATGACGTTTGTAAACGACGGGACGATGGCGGCCCCTGGCTGGTCATTGCGTCGTGCGTCCCCAGAACACCCCCGACGAGAACTTCATCCTGGACCGCCACCCTCTGCACAGAAACATCGTCATCGGCGCCGGGTTTTCAGGTACCAAATTTTTAATTCTGACGACGGTTGGGTTCTAATATGGCGGCAGCGGTGACACCACCACCACCCCCCCGGTGCGATTCCTGACCACTGTGAAATGATCCGTAGCGAGTAGATGTCCGAACCCCCCACCCCACCCCTTCCATCGCCTCTCTTCACCACTCCGCCTCTGACCAGCGTGGCGGTTAAGTATGCTCAACGCAACCTCCACGACCAAAATTGTAAAAAAATGTTGGCGTAGGCCTTCATCCAGCAGTGGATTGCCAAGGGGTAGCGAATTATTATTTAAAATTCGGCGGAGAACATATTGAAATGTCACGATTCAGGGTTGCAATTTGACCCAATAACTGATTTTTTTTTCATTGTGGTAAATGTAGCGGCCTCTAGTGGTTGCGGGGGGGGGGGGTCATTTGCACCCGTTACAACATGAAGATGGTAATAATTTACAGCCCTTTGATCATCGAGTGCTGGATAAAGGGCTCGCTCACGCCGTGTCAGTCATGGAGATATGTTTGACCGTACTTCACCACGCTGGTCAACGCAGGTTGGTGAAGGAGGGGATGGTGGGGTTGCCTAGAACCGGTTCAGATATCGCAAACAGCCGATCTTGGCAGCGGCCAGAAATCAAACTCGGGGCGCCGGATTCACAGCGCGGCGCGCTAATCGCTGCGCCGCCGCTCCACCACGACGCCAGAGTACCCGGCATCATCTCTTGCATACGTGGTGGCGGGGTGCGACGGTTTTGTCCCACAGTAGCCCGCTTGCTGTACTGCCATATCCTGGGCAAACGAACTCCCAAAGTCCACGTGCTAACTTTGGGGGGGGGGGGGTCAGTCTTTATCCTGCGCTCTCTCTATCCGCGTCTCGCTAACTCAAAAGGGACAAAAGGACCAACAAAAACAAAGCAGGAAGATAAATAGCACTCAATGTTTTTCAAGCGCATTCGGGAAATCAATGGTCATGGGACCCGCCGCTGCTGCAGTCCGACCCGCAGAGAGAGGGGGGGGGGGGGCGTAACACAACGGTGCGATACGAACCCGTCAACCCCTCCACTCTCCCCACCCACGCCGCCCCAATTTGGATTCCCGGCCTACGGTTCTCATCGGTGGCGGGCGATCTCTAATCCCGGTCGTGGTCACGGCTCCCGCCCCCAACCCTTCGCCAACCGAGCAGGGCGAAGCACGGCGTGGGGAGGCTCGCATCCACACAACGGGCCGACACAGTGACCGAAAGTTATCAGCGATGATTGGAACGCAACGTGAGCCGGGGCGAAAACGCGGCAAAAAGATGCGCCGTCGACCTACGGCGAAGACAGCAGCGGCCGCGCCGATACGTCGCGGACAGCGCCGCGCAGGGATCAGAGCCAGAAATCTGACAGGCAATTTTGTTGTCGGGGACGAGAAACCGTGAGGTTGTCGGGTGTATGGACGGACGGCCAGACAGCTCGGCGGCCATTCTTCTTAATGAGGCCACCAAACCTAAACAAAATTCCGTTTCGCTCCAATTCTCAGTTTTTTTTTCTCTCAAAAGGGTGGCAGCAGCCGACAGAAGTAGTTTGGAGACTGTTTGTTTGTAAAGCTGTCAACCTCTCGTGGATTGAGCGGGGACTAAAAACAACAAAGTACAGTCAGTCGTGGTGACGACACCGGGATTGAGCGTGACGACGACGACGATTCACTCGTGTCGCTCGCTCGTTTCTCGAAACGGACGCGCCCGTCACCGTTCAGCGACGTGGCTGATCTTGACCCCCTGACCTACGTGCAGAAAACACGTCCGGTGTGGCTCAGGGGAGCGCATTTTTTTTTTGCTGGAGACATTGAGTGCGCGCTATGAAGTGTAAACTCTGCACCGCTGCTGTTGGTGCAGGTGCTGTTAGCGAGCACCGATAAAGACCAGCATGGCACACGGCTGGCTGGGTGGCTAGCACCACACCCGGCCACCTTTGCCTCCCCAGTGCTGATGTTTAAACACCATCACAGGTACTCATTTAAGGTTTGGTCAACCTTGGGGGGAGGAGGCCAAGGACCGGTTTGGATATTCGTCACCGACGATGGCTGGGAGCTGAAATGGATGCGCGTCGTCGTGTTCGTAGCCCAGCGCGCTAACCGCTGCACCACCGCTCCCCGCCGACGTGCACCCACCGGCCACTGCTGCTGGTACCAGGACCCCCTTGCCAACCACGCACCCCTCTCCCCGCTCACTCTGCAGGCCACGGCTTCAAGCTGGCGCCGGTCGTGGGCAAGCTGCTCGCAGAGATGGCCACGGGAGACGCGCCCTCGTTCGACCTTTCACCTTTCGCCATCGCCCGCTTCCACGCCAAGCCAAAATCTTCGCTGTGAGCCGGAGGTCGCGACGGGGTGGGGGGCAAGGTGAGGGGGGCCTTGTCGATTTCGAGGGCCCCCCCTCGCGCCTCCCAGTCCCCGCAATCCTCTAAAAAACGCCGAGCCTGGACAAGAACATCTTTGGAGTCTGTGGAGGGGGCTCGATGCAAACCCCCGACGATTGACCAGTTTGGCACGCGGCGCGACACGGTAATTGTTCAATTTGAGCGCCCACGTGGAAAATATTTTCTTATTTAGGAATTAATTACAAAGTCATATCCAATCCAATTAACGGCTGTGATGTGAGAGTAAATTTGTTTTTGTGCCCCGTGATGATTTACGGTTCAATTTTGTGTAAATTATTTTTTGCGATGGCGCCCAAGACGGGGGGGGGGGGGGGGGAATGAACACAAAGCGACAAATGTGATGAGGTGAAGTTGAATAAACAGGCAATGATTTGTGCGCGCCTAAAGATAACGTTTTCTTTCAAATAGAACGTGCAATGCTTTCCATGTAACCATACCCAGCTACAGGCCGCGTGCGCGTCATCAAATCGGAGGTAACAATCCTTACCGCAGGGATTGATGCTTGGATGGGTGGCCGCCGTGCGTATAAAAACAGCTGTTGTCATAGACATTGTGGGTAGCGGAGTGCAAGCATGGCGAACTCTTGCCGTCACTGTTCTGTATTTTCTACCACTTTTTGCTCGACCCGCACGGACTAGCGTGGCGAAGGATGACCACGCGTACCCTCAGCTGTGTGCGCGGTGACGGGGGGGGAGGTCGTCTTCGTCCAGCAGCGGAGTGGCACGTTGCGCCGCGTCGTCGTCGTCATCGTCGTCATCGTCACGCGCAATGCAGCAATGAGACGCGCAGCGCACCCAGGACGGACGCTCCGTTTACACAACTTAACATTTTTATTTGCTAAAGAAGAACAGAGAAAGCCCCCCCCCCCACTCCCTGCTCGTTCCAGCTTCGATTCGGCAGCAACCACGGCCAGAGCACGTCTCGAATAAAAAAAAAACCAACCACGTTAAAATAAATTTGAGATCGCGTTGGGCAGCCCCGTTGACATCATCGTACCCGCAAACTCGAATTGACTCTCGCCGTACCACTCGGCGTTGAGGAGGGGGGGGGGGGGGGGTGAGGGTCACACACGAGACCCGTAACAGAGCCAGGCCCCCATCGATTATTGTCGAACCACTAAAGCCGACCGTGGGGGCGGGGGCGGGGAGTTACACGAGCGGCGATGGCGGCGAAGTGCCGCGGGGTCAAAGGGTCATTAGTTCGGTGAGGTACGGCCCGCCAGGCTCGCAAGGCCGTGAAGGACCAGGTGCAAAAGCAAAACAAATCGCAACACGTATCGTTCGTCATTGACGCTGCTGCATGTTGGGGAAGGAAATAAATAAAATAAATACCGCGAGGATGGACCGCGCCCGAGAGGGCGTCCGCCCGCGTAGATGGAGCGATGGAATCGGCTCGTTTGCAGGAGGGTCGATGGATTGTTGCGCCGCGTGGCCGTGAGAGGTGGTGGAGGCGGCGGCTTGGGTTGGCCGTGATCCAGCAGTGGATTGATCCTTGCTGACGATGATGAAGGCAGCGTTAACGATGAATGCGGAGTACTTTCTTTTTTAACTGTTGTTTTTGCACAACGACCAACGCGGATTCCGCACTTTTGTGTGTTCCGTGCTCTCTCTCTCCCTCGCTGTGCATCCTCCCGTTGGGACGGGGCCGTCACGCACGCACAAACACGCACGCACAAACACGCACGCACAAACATGCACGCACAAACACGCACGCACAAACACGCACGCACGCACATATCGAGATCGACGGCATAGTTCCTAGAAGGCCGCCCCAACCCACCCGCCGCTCACCCCCGGGCGCGCCCCCCCCCCCCGCAGAATTTTCACCTCCCATGCGACACCCGAGTTTTGTTCGTTGCTTGTTAACTTAGCACATTAAAAACATATATTTACAAAACAAACTTAGCGCGGTGGGACGCACGATGGGAGGCTCGTCCTAATTTCTCACAACGATAGCAAAATGTTGTGTGTCATTCGGGACAAGTCCCCTGCTTTTTTTTTAAACTTCATTAGGAACAAAAAAAATGTGCCCATGCCCCTGCCCGGCAGTAGGGCCCCTCCACTCGAGTTCGGTAAATTTAGCATTTAGACTGCAAGGCAGACGTACCCCCTAACCTTCTAACTCTGCTTGCGAGGTCACTTTCCGGCAATGCTCATCGCACACTTTCAACCCTTTCGCACAGACATGCTTCAGCTTTCTTCGACTTTTCAACTCAGCGACAGATCCTCACGCGCACCCCCCCCCCCCCCGCGACGTATCATGGGACGAACACATTTTGTCAGGATGTGTCATCAGGCTGGGCGGTGACGGGGCTCCAGCGCTGGCGCGTTAATCCGATTGTCGCAGAGGGTTCACGGTTTGGTTTCCAGCGGCTGCCCTGATTAATCCTGCGCGGGTGTCAGAATCACAATCTTTTTTTACCCTGGAGGAATCCGATGAGCTACGAAGGTCTTTTACACGATGGTCCAATAGGACAATAGCACATCGATGTAATAACCACAATCATAATACTACATGCCGTCTGCTTTCACAGTGTATGCTCGAGTTCCCCTGAGATCCCACATAATTTGAAAATCACCCGCAAATTACCCGTTTGGGATTATACGTAGCAACCGCTGCCCCCTCCTGGCAGACTAATTGCCCTCAGGTCCACTATTGAAAATTAGACTGTCCTGGTCAGAGTTACTTCAAAAAGAGCACAACTTTGGGATTACCAAGATGAATGGCAACGCTACACGCACCACACATCGTGGACCAGGGGACGCTGAGGTTCAGCCTTCAAAGATCCCAACGCCCAGCACGTAGCTCTCTGTACCACGAGCCGTTGGACACGACGTCCAACATTTCGCTTGATATGCCGGGAACTTCTTCAGAAACCCAACTGAGCCCCTCAATGTCTCGCTCGATTGTAAATCACTGGCAGGTGTTCCACCGCAGTGCGATACTGCACCCCTGCGAACACCTAAAAACTCTCTGCAGTTGTATTCAAAGTAGCCTGGCGACTCACATGACATTGCTCCACCCACAGCTGGCAGCAGTGTGCGGAGGAGTCCACCATGTGTTGGATTGGGCAGGAGGTGTCCACGTAAAAGGAACCAACCCCCATCTGGGTATGGAGAGAATCTTGGTATGATCTCGATCCGAAGAAGGATCTAGCAAAGCCTACAACTGGCCATGCGTGTGACTTTAACGCTGTTAAACCTTTGACACTTCCCGGCTAAGCCAATCTTATTCATGCCTCGCATACAAATTCTTTTTTTTAAATCTCCAGTGGTTTTCGTCCGATGGAAAATAAAGATTTGATTGACACGTCGCTCAAACTTATTTTTGCCCAAGTTAATTCTGCAACACAGATACAGGAGGACAAGAAAAAAACGTAACCCCCCCCCCCAACACCAAAATTCACTCAGCTCCACCTCCACTTGCAACCATCTGGTTTTTTTCTTTCACGATGGAACAAAACTCATTATTCTCTTAAGGCTTTCAGGAACGCAGTGCCTCGGGCACTGTGGGGCGGCGAGACGCATTGGAATTTTCTCGCGGCGCAGAAGGCAGCTCGTGACGCTGTGGATGGGCCCCGAAGGAGATTCCCGCGCTGCGGTTCCCGAACTCCGTTCGCGGAGTTGCGACTCCGCTTTTTCACGTTCGACCAAATCTACCATTAAGCCCACGTGTTTAGCGAACCACTACGCCATACGTGCATTTCCCTTTTGACGATTGGTGGATGTGGAAAATCTGGAACGAGCGTAAATACAGCGACTGGATTTGAACAACCGGCGAACCCGAGTTTGATTCCCTCTCACGATCAACACCAGATTATCTATTCCCAATTCAGGTGGAACAAAACCACCCCCCCGCCCCAAATTTCCCTTTGACTGCAGCAGCAGCAATGACGCACACTGCACATTCAGGACGACGCAGCAGACTTGGTGCAAATCACTTCAAGGTAACGTGCCATCGCCATCGACGGCAAATGCCACTCGCGTGCCAACCCCGCACCAAATTGCCTTGGCCACGGTGCTTTTTCCGCTGTCACTGGGGGATAAGGTGTGCGCCGGTGTGCGCCGGTGTGCCCCGGTGTGTTCCGGTGTGTTCCGGTGTGCCCCGGTGTAACGCGAATTCGGCTAAAGCAGTTCGGGTTCTTCAGAAAAAAACGATTGCATCCGTCTTCTTTACGCTCTCTTGAGTGCCGCTCGATCTCGCATCACTTGCCTGGCATCTGCGTCGGTCTGCCGGGGTAAGTTTGTCCGTCGGGCAGCGTCTGAGCGGAAGAAGAAAAACACGAGATGGTGTTAACTTGGGGGGGGGGGGGTTGTGGTGTGGGGGGGCGTTGGTGATGAGCAGGATGAGTGGCGGTGCCGGGCCCATTGGGGATCCTGAGCGGAAATGATCTCATTTATAAATTAATCTTTCACAACTATTTAAAAAACAAAAACTGTTCTCAAGTAAAGTGCTTGTGAGCTTTGGCTGCCGCTAATTTCCAGTGGGGGGATTTAGACATTCATATGGCAAGGCCCAGTCTATCCTCAACCAAGCAAATACAACGACCACCGCGGGCCCTTCTGTGCGCCGCGCGACAGCAGCCTCGCCGGGCGCATCTCGACCAAGCGGCAACCCCCATCAGACAGCGACGGTGGCAATGGATCCGAGTCAATCGTGACGGTCGAACATTAACGACGCAACTTAGTTTATCGTTGGGTGAAAAATAACAAGGGCTAAGAGACAAACCACGTAACAGAGGTTTCTTGGGTTGGATCGTGTAAATCTCAATGCGCCGTTGAACCCGCCACCACCCGACACGGCCAATCAGTAAAGTAACCTCCCAAAAAACACGAAAAACCTCTTGTTATGTATAATATTGGTCACGATATCCTACGTCTTAAACAGGCGAACTACAAAGCCCCGCATCGCCCTCTGGCCGGTACCGTTAGTCGCTGTCCGGCCGGTACAGGTACTTCATCATCAGGCTGTCCACCTCCTTCTTCCTCTTCTTCTCCTCTTTCACTTTCCTCTTGTCCGCCCGGCCCTTGTCCTCCGCATTCCCTCCCCCGTCCCCGTCCCCCTCGTCGCCGGCGGAGCCCCGGCGCGTGGCCGCGGGGCCCTTCTTCACGCTGTCCACGCTTTTGTAGGACACGGTAGAGCTCGTCGAGTCGGACGAGGAGTCGGACGACGAGTCGCTCGCATCCTTCTTCCTCGACTTCTTGCTCTTCTTCGCCTTCTTAGGCTTCTTGGAGGAGGACTTCTTGGAGCTCTTCGCCGGCTTCTCGTCCGAGTCGTCGCTCGAGGACGACTCCTGCGAGCTCTTGCTCCTCCTGCCGCCGTGCGATGATTTTTTCTTCCCGATCGACGACGACGACGAGGGCGCGTTGACGTCCATGGCGGAGTAGGACCTGCGGATCTGCGAGGAGCGCGTCTCCCCGCCACCGTTCGCCTGCACGCTCTTGGCGCCCCTCGCGCTCATCCTGTCGTCGTCGGCGTCGCCGGCGGCGGCGGTGTCGTCGTCCGACACGGCCGAGTAGTTGCGCCGCTTGGGCTTGACGGGCTTGTAACTCAGCACCTCGTTGATGGCCGCCTCCAGCTCGGGGTCGAGCCAGCTGCGGTGCGTCACCGGCTTCACGTCGTCCGTCGCGTCGGTGCCGCGGTAGCTGCCGCCGCCATCGAGGGCGCTCTGGGGCCGCGGTGGAACCGAGAGGCTGCGCGCCAGCGCCGACGTCCGGCCGTCGTCGTCGCCGCCGCCGCCGCCGCGCCCCGCCGACTCGCCGTAGCCCCCGCCTTTGGACCAGGACGAGACGGACGACCGCGACTCGGGGCGCGAGCCTGGCAGGGCGCTCGTGACGCCCAGCTCGGAGCGGCGCAGCGACGACGGCGCGGGGCTCAGCGCGCCCGAGTCCGGCCTGCCGCGACCGACGCTCGGGCTCGCGCCGCCGCCGAAATCGGAGCGCCGTCCCAGGCCGTAACCGAGGCCGACGCCGCCGCCGTCCCCGAAGGAGGCGGCGGACGCGGGACGCGGCAGCGAGAGGGAGCTCCGGCCGCCGAAGCCCGCGCCAGACTTGGCGTCGTCGCCCTCGTCGTAGGCCATGCGGCGCAGCGACGGCACGAACGAGAAGTCCGACTTGGCGTCGTCGTCCTTCTCGAGGCTGGCGAGCGACCACCGCTTGTCGCCGGCCGTGCCGTTCCTGGGGCGACGCGCGAACGGCCGCGACGAGACGCTGGACGCGGCGTCGTCATCGAAGTCGTCGGCGGTGGCGGAAGGCAAGGACCTGCGCCACGACTTGACGTCGTCGAGGTCGTCCATGCTGGAGGCCTTCTTGGACTTGCGCAGCGAGGACGCCTGCTCGGCCGCCGAGTCCCTGCTGAGCGCCGACAGCAGCGACTGGGAGTCGTCGTCGTCCTTGTTGTCGTGCTGGCCGCCCGCGCGCTTGCGGTAGCTCAGCGAGCTCATGACGGACGCCGGACGGACGTCGCCCGCGTCCTTGCCGTCCAGGTTGAACCTGGACCCCGGCCGAGGGGGGAAACGCAGGCAGGGGAGGGGAAAGGCGAGGAAAGGAAGGGAGGAAGGCAAAGGAGGAGAGGAGGGTGAAGGAGAAAGGGAGAGAGGGATGGAGGGAGGAAGACAGACAGCAAAAGGGGGCAGCAGAGAAGATTCAGGTGGAGTTCCGGGCTTCATTTCTCACTGCATATTTGACGGATGTGCGGGTAGACTGGAGTAGCAGGGGCCATAGCGAGAGGTATACTGCACGTGGTGTGCCGGAGGGAGGGGGGTGGAAATATCCTCCGGAACCCGGTTTAAATTGAGGCCTGGGTGTGGTCGGGTGGTGGGAGTCAACTACAAATGGGCGAAAATTTTTACTGATTTCGTCATTAGCTTTAAAAGAGCGTCACCCTTGGGGTCACTCGTTGTGAGTACGTCGCAATCGGTATTTGTAAGCAGAGTGAAAACCAAGACTGGAGGTGTAAAAAATTATATATATATTTTAGAAGCAGAGGGAGAGAGAGAGAGTGAGAGGAGAGCGAGAATGAGATTATACATGTAATGTAACTTTACATCAAATTATGACACGCGACGGAGACAAACTACTGCGGAGCGACGAATACCTCACCACGGGGCAGCCCTTATCTTGTAGATACACGTACTAGGTCATGTGCCGGGCCAGTCACACATCAGTTTCACAGCTTGGTTAACAACAACAACAGAAAGACTGCAATGTTAAACAACAGCGCGCCACCTTCGCATTCATTGCGGCGAACATTGCCGCACTGACGACGCATCGCGAATGTACGCTGCGACAGTGACGACAGAGGTGGTGTCGCGAGAGGACTACACCACCACGCTGTCCCTAGCTACACCACCACGCTGTCTCTAGCTACAACACAACGCTGTCTCTAGCTACACCACCACGCTGTCTCTAGCTACACCACCACGCTGTCTCTAGCTACAACACCACGCTGTCTCTAGCTACACCACCACGCTGTCCCTAGCTACACCACCACGCTGCTCCCTAGCTACACCACCACGCTGTCTCTAGCTACACCACCACGCTGTCTCTAGCTACACCACCACGCTGTCTCTAGCTACACCACCACGCTGTCTCTAGCTACACCACCACGCTGTTCCTAGCAACACCACCACGCTGCTCCTAGCTACACCACCACGTTGTCTCTAGCTACAACACCACGCTGTCTCTAGCTACACCACCACGCTGTCTCTAGCTACAACACCACGCTGTCTCTAGCTACACCACCACGCTGTCTCTAGCTACACCACCACGCTGTCTCTAGCTACACCACCACGCTGTCTCTAGCTACACCACCACGCTGTCTCTAGCTACACCACCACGCTGTCTCTAGCTACACCACCACGCTGTCTCTAGCTACACCACCACGCTGTTCCTAGCAACACCACCACGCTGCTCCTAGCTACACCACCACGTTGTCTCTAGCTACAACACCACGCTGTCTCTAGCTACACCACCACGCTGTCCCTAGCTCCAACACCACGCTGTCCCTAGCTACACCACCACGCTGTCTCTAGTTACACCACCACGCTGTCCCTAGCTACAACACCACGCTGTCCCTAGCTACACCACCACACTGTCTCTAGCTACACCACCACGCTGTCTCTAGCTACAACACCACGCTGTCTCTAGCTACAACACCACGCTGTCTCTAGTTACACCACCACGCTGTCTCTAGCTACAACACCACGCTGTCTCTAGTTACACCACCACGCTGTCACTAGCTCCAACACCACTCTGTCCCTAGCTACACCACCACGCTGTCTCTAGCTACAACACCACGCTGTCTCTAGTTACACCACCACGCTGTCTCTAGCTACAACACCACGCTTTTCCTAGCTACACCACCACGCTGTCTCTAGCTACACCACCACACTGTCTCTAGCTACACCACCAGGCTGTCTCTAGCTACACCACCACACTGTCTCTAGCTACACCACCACGCTGTCTCTAGCTACAACACCACGCTGTCTCTAGCTACAACACCACACTGTCTCTAGCTACACCACCACACTGTCTCTAGCTACACCACCACACTGTCTCTAGCTACACCGCCACACTGTCTCTAGCTACACCACCACGCTGTCTCTAGCTACAACACCACATTGCTCCCTAGCTACACCACCACGCTGTCTCTAGCTACACCACCACGCTGCTACAAGAGCGGAACGTGGCAGCACGAGGAGTGACATATACCTCGTGACGTCTGGTTCTACGGACACATTTATATACAACGACAACAACAAACTCTACACATTAATCAATACCATCGTGTATGTAAAAGTAATTATATTTTGATTTAAAGCTTTCGTGACTGCAGTAATTCATATTCTTAGCTCTTTCGGTAAAGTCACGTTGAAGGGAAACAATAAAATAACATTGTTTCCCTTCAACGTGACTTTACCGAAAGAGCTAAGGATATAGTAATTTATATGTTATGGGTGACGTTTTGGTTAATGCCCCCTCTTCAGAGTCAGTCGGTTGTCGTGTACGGCTTAACACGCGTGGATTCTGATAAGGTTATTGGATTTCCTCTGCGATTAGCAATTTAAGGATGTTGGTGCGATTAAAGTGTTGGCATCTCAAGTGGGACCAACAAGTTCAATGATTGGTCTGGGCCCATGGTGCATTCCTTCAGGACTCACTCGAAGTATTAGGTTCGTGAGACTCACTCTAAGGTTAGTGAGACTCACTCTGAGGTTAGTGAGACTCACTGGGAGGAGGAGGGCTTTAGTGAGACTCACTCTGAGGCTAGTGAGACTCACTCTGAGGTTAGTGAGATTCACTCTAAGGTTAGTGAGACTCACTCTGAGGTTAGTGAGACTCACTCTGAGGTTAGTGAGACTCACTTTGAGGTTAGTGAGACTCACTTTGAGGTTAGTGAGACTCACTGGGAGGAGGAGGGCTTTAGTGAGACTCACTCTGAGGTTAGTGAGACTCACTCTGAGGTTAGTGAGGCTCACTCTGAGGTTAGTGAGACTCACTCTGAGGTTAGTGAGACTCACTCTGAGGTTAATGAGACTCACTTTGAGGTTAGTGAGACTCACTGGGAGGAGGAGGGCTTTAGTGAGACTCACTCTGAGGTTAGTGAGACTCACTCTGAGGTTAGTGAGACTCACTCTGAGGTTAGTGAGACTCACTCTGAGGTTAGTGAGACTCACTCTGAGGTTAGTGAGATTCACTCTGAGGTTAGTGAGACTCACTCTGAGGTTAGTGAGACTCACTCTGAGGTTAGTGAGACTCACTCTGAGGTTAGTGAGACTCACTCTGAGGTTAGTGAGACTCACTGGAAGGAGGAGGGCTTTAGTGAGACTCACTCTGAGGTTAGTGAGACTCACTCTGAGGTTAGTGAGACTCACTCTGAGGTTAGTGAGACTCACTCTGAGGTTAGTGAGATTCACTCTGAGGTTAGTGAGACTCACTCTGAGGTTAGTTAGACTCACTCTGAGGTTAGTGAGACTCCCTTGGAGGTTAGTGAGACTCACTGGAAGGAGGAGGGCTTTAGTGAGACTCACTCTGAGGTTAGTGAGACTCACTCGAAGAAGTAGGTTCGTGAGACTCACTCTGAGGTTCGTGAGACTCACTCTGAGGTTCGTGAGACTCACTCTGAGGTTAGTGAAACTCACTGGGAGGAGGAGGGCTTTAGTGAGACTCACTCTGAGGTTAGTGAGGCTCACTCTGAGGTTAGTGAGACTCACTAAGTTAAGTGAGACTCACTCTAAGGTTAGTGAGACTCACTCTGAGGTTAGTGAGACTCACTCTGAGGTTAGTGAGACTCACTCTGAGGTTAGTGAGACTCCCTCTGAGGTTTGTGAGACTCACTCTGAGGTTAGTGAGACTCACTGGGAGGAGGGCTTTAGTGAGACTCACTCTGAGGTTCGTGAGACTCACTCTGAGGTTAGTGAGACTCACTCTGAGGTTAGTGAGACTCACTGGAAGGAGGAGGGCTTTAGTGAGACTCACTCTGAGGTTAGTGAGACTCACTCTGAGGTTAGTGAGACTCACTCTGAGGTTAGTGAGACTCACTCTGAGGTTAGTGAGATTCACTCTGAGGTTAGTGAGACTCACTCTGAGGTTAGTGAGACTCACTCTGAGGTTAGTGAGACTCACTCTGAGGTTAGTGAGACTCACTCTGAGGTTAGTGAGCTCCCTCTGAGGTTTGTGAGACTCACTCTGAGGTTAGTGAGACTCACTGGGAGGAGGGCTTTAGTGAGACTCACTCTGAGGTTAGTGAGACTCACTCTGATGTTAGTGAGACTCACTCTGAGGTTAGTGAGACTCACTGGAAGGAGGAGGGCTTTAGTGAGACTCACTCCGAGGTTAGTGAGACTCACTCTGAGGTTAGTGAGACTCACTCTGAGGTTAGTGAGATTCACTCTGAGGTTAGTGAGACTCACTCTGAGGTTAGTGAGACTCACTGGGAGGAGGAGGGCTTTAGTGAGACTCACTCTGAGGCTAGTGAGACTCACTCTGAGGTTAGTGAGATTCACTCTAAGGTTAGTGAGACTCACTCTGAGGTTAGTGAGACTCACTCTGAGGTTAGTGAGACTCACTTTGAGGTTAGTGAGACTCACTTTGAGGTTAGTGAGACTCACTGGGAGGAGGAGGGCTTTAGTGAGACTCACTCTGAGGTTAGTGAGACTCACTCTGAGGTTAGTGAGGCTCACTCTGAGGTTAGTGAGACTCACTCTGAGGTTAGTGAGACTCACTCTGAGGTTAATGAGACTCACTTTGAGGTTAGTGAGACTCACTGGGAGGAGGAGGGCTTTAGTGAGACTCACTCTGATGTTAGTGAGACTCACTCTGAGGTTAGTGAGACTCACTCTGAGGTTAGTGAGACTCACTCTGAGGTTAGTGAGACTCACTCTGAGGTTAGTGAGATTCACTCTGAGGTTAGTGAGACTCACTCTGAGGTTAGTGAGACTCACTCTGAGGTTAGTGAGACTCACTCTGAGGTTAGTGAGACTCACTCTGAGGTTAGTGAGACTCACTGGAAGGAGGAGGGCTTTAGTGAGACTCACTCTGAGGTTAGTGAGACTCACTCTGAGGTTAGTGAGACTCACTCTGAGGTTAGTGAGACTCACTCTGAGGTTAGTGAGATTCACTCTGAGGTTAGTGAGACTCACTCTGAGGTTAGTTAGACTCACTCTGAGGTTAGTGAGACTCCCTTGGAGGTTAGTGAGACTCACTGGAAGGAGGAGGGCTTTAGTGAGACTCACTCTGAGGTTAGTGAGACTCACTCGAAGAAGTAGGTTCGTGAGACTCACTCTGAGGTTCGTGAGACTCACTCTGAGGTTCGTGAGACTCACTCTGAGGTTAGTGAAACTCACTGGGAGGAGGAGGGCTTTAGTGAGACTCACTCTGAGGTTAGTGAGGCTCACTCTGAGGTTAGTGAGACTCACTAAGTTAAGTGAGACTCACTCTAAGGTTAGTGAGACTCACTCTGAGGTTAGTGAGACTCACTCTGAGGTTAGTGAGACTCACTCTGAGGTTAGTGAGACTCCCTCTGAGGTTTGTGAGACTCACTCTGAGGTTAGTGAGACTCACTGGGAGGAGGGCTTTAGTGAGACTCACTCTGAGGTTCGTGAGACTCACTCTGAGGTTAGTGAGACTCACTCTGAGGTTAGTGAGACTCACTGGAAGGAGGAGGGCTTTAGTGAGACTCACTCTGAGGTTAGTGAGACTCACTCTGAGGTTAGTGAGACTCACTCTGAGGTTAGTGAGACTCACTCTGAGGTTAGTGAGATTCACTCTGAGGTTAGTGAGACTCACTCTGAGGTTAGTGAGACTCACTCTGAGGTTAGTGAGACTCACTCTGAGGTTAGTGAGACTCACTCTGAGGTTAGTGAGCTCCCTCTGAGGTTTGTGAGACTCACTCTGAGGTTAGTGAGACTCACTGGGAGGAGGGCTTTAGTGAGACTCACTCTGAGGTTAGTGAGACTCACTCTGATGTTAGTGAGACTCACTCTGAGGTTAGTGAGACTCACTGGAAGGAGGAGGGCTTTAGTGAGACTCACTCCGAGGTTAGTGAGACTCACTCTGAGGTTAGTGAGACTCACTCTGAGGTTAGTGAGATTCACTCTGAGGTTAGTGAGACTCACTCTGAGGTTAGTGAGACTCACTCTGAGGTTAGTGAGACTCACTCTGAGGTTAGTGAGACTCACTGGAAGGAGGAGGGCTTTAGTGAGACTCACTCTGAGGTTAGTGAGACTCACTGGAAGGAGGAGGGCTTTAGTGAGATTCACTCTGAGGTTAGTGAGACTCACTCTGAGGTTAGTGAGATTCACTCTGAGGTTAGTGAGACTCACTCTGAGGTTAGTGAGACTCACTGGAAGGAGGAGAGCTTTAGTGAGATTCACTCGGAGGTTAGTGAGACTCACTCTGAGGTTAGTGAGACTCACTCTGAGGTTAGTGAGATTCACTCTAAGGTTAGTGAGATTCACTCTGAGGTTAGTGAGATTCACTTTGAGGTTAGTAAGACTCACTCTGAGGTTAGTGAGACTCAATGGAAGGAGGAGAGCTTTAGTGAGATTCACTCTGAGGTTAGTGAAACTCACTCTGAGGTTAGTGAGGCTCACTCTGAGGTTAGTGAGATTCACTCTAAGGTTAGTGAGATTCACTCTAAGGTTAGTGAGATTCACTCTGAGGTTAGTGAGACTCACTCTGAGGTTAGTGAGACTCACTCTGAGGTTAGTGAGTCTCACTCTGAGGTTAGTGAGACTCACTTGGAGGTTAGTGAGACTCACTGGAAGGAGGAGGGCTTTAGTGAGACTCACTCTGAGGTTAGTGAGACTCACTCTGAGGTTAGTGAGACTCACTTTGAGGTTAGTGAGACTCACTTTGAGGTTAGTGAGACTCACTGGGAGGAGGAGGGCTTTAGTGTGACTCACTCTGAGGTTAGTGAGACTCACTCTGAGGTTAGTGAGACTCACTCTGAGGTTAGTGAGACTCACTCTGAGGTTAGTGAGACTCACTGGAAGGAGGAGGGCTTTAGTGAGACTCACTCTGAGGTTAGTGAGACTCACTTGGAGGAGGGTTTGAGGCTGCCCTCATCTGAGGGGGTCTTGCCCCCGCCCCCCGGGACGTCGCCCGGCGGGCTGCCCTTGTTCTTGGAGAGCCACGACTTGACGCTGTCAACGCGATCCTCCACCTCCGAGTCCGAGTCCTCGTCGCCCCCACTGGAGGCAGCGGAGACGGCGGAGTGGGAGAGGCGGAGAGGGCGAGGAGAGAGGGCGAGGAGAGAGGGCAAGGAGAGAGGGCGAGGAGAGAGGGCGAGGAGAGAGGGCGAGGAGAGAGGGCGAGGAGAGAGGGCGAGGAGAGAGGGCGAGGAGAGAGGGCGAGGAGAGAGAGAGCGAGGAGAGAGAGGGAGGCAGGGGAGAAAGGGAGAGGAGAAAGAGAGAGGATAAAGGGAGAGGAGAGAGGGAGAGGAGAGAGAGAGTGGAGAGGAAAGAGGAGATATAGGAGGAGGGAGCGATAGAGCGGAGGAAAAAAAGAGAGGAGCGGAGAAAGTGTCAGAGGAGAGAAGTGCAGAAGGAAGAAGGGGAATGTAGAGGACATGAAATAAGAGAAGAGGAAAACATGAAGAGAGGAGAGAGTGACGAGAGGGAAGATGAGAGCAGAGGAGAGGAGAGAAAGAGGATGCGGAAAGATGGAGAGGCGACAGAGACATTGACAGGCACAGAGGAGAGGAATGCGACAGGCGAGGAGAGAGAAGATTAAAGGAGGCAGAGGGTAGAGAGGAAAGGCATGGGGGGCAAAAATACAGATTGACAGAGAGAGGATAGAGAGGAAATTAGAGACGAGGGGAAAGGGAGTGACAGAGCGAGGGAGGCAGAGAGGGGAGGGGGAGAAGAGAGGAGATTAGGGAAGGGAGCGACAGAGCGAAAGGAAAGAGAGACACAAAGTCAGAAGAGAGAGAGAGACATAGAATGACAATGAGAGGGAGGGCGAATGTAGAGAGGGAGGACAGGAGGAGGAGGAGGAGAGACAACCTCAGGATGTGCCAACGCGTATTACACCGGGCGGAAATGACAGCGCCGTTGGGGACGACGCAGGAAAAGCGTGCGGTGGCATAACGACATTTCAAGCTTGCGGACGTTCCCGATGCAGTCCACCGAGGGGTTGAGCGGTTTAATCCGTAACCCACGGGTCAACGTGATGGAGATTTGAACTGAAGCTACAATTCCAACGTGAACATCGGTTATATTTAATAACGACAACAATAATAATCACGTCACGTGGTATTCGCTCGCTCATATAGAGAGAGGGAACGACTGAGAGGCGCCAGGAGGAACCAAAGTGGAGGGGGAAAGGCTGAGCAGCCACGCGGCGAGGATCTTGCGCCAACAATTGCCCAAGCTCTGAGGTCCCCTAAAATATGTCAAGGTGTCATCGGCCAATTTATGAGTGCTTTACACGTGGGGAGCACCCGGGGAAAACCCAGGCGTCCGAGGGGGCAACGCTCTATCCCATACACCTGGAAAAGGCGGAGTTCACACCTTCGCCGTCCCGTCCTCTCCTGGCGAGCCAGGGTACGGCGGACCTCCTCGACATCCACAGGGGGAGGGAGTTTCATGACAACATCTGTGCGGCGATCCGCCAACCCTTGCTGCCGCCTCCGCCGCCGCTGCTCTCCACTGTTCTGGACCACAGGTGGCCACGAGCAGCAGCGGTGCCACCACGGCCCGGTTGATTCGATTCAACCAAAACAACCCCACCCCGGGGGGGAGGTCACGTGTAATGGCAGAGTCCAACAGAGTTTGCGGTGCTCAAAAACAACTAAATGGGCTTTGAAATGAACTGAGAAGGGTCCGTTTTATTTATTTATATTTAAATTCATTGGTCGGGTGGGTTTGTGATGGAAGATAATTAAAAGATATTGATTTAAGTAAATATACAAAGTTGCGGCTGGACACGCCAAGTGTGGAATTAAACGCGAGTTTAAATAAAAAACTTCACGTCTTTAACGGCGGCTATCTTAAACCGCATTATAAATCGTTGTAATTAATAGCTGAGGATAATCGCTTGGTAACATAACAGCTTAGTGTAATCAATCGGTCGGTACCATTAATAGGGTTAGCGGGAGTTCATTTTTAAACGATCCAGATCCGCGTTTCGACGTATCGTCCGCGGCGTGCGCCACTGCAGACGTGGTCGCGATTCGGCAAAACGAATCCCGCAAAGGGAGGAGAAACGTTCGGCAATGTCGGCGCCCGACGTGTGACGTTCGACCGAGCCGAGTTCGCCGAGTTCATCGCTCTCGTGCGCACGCGCGTTGTTATTTTTATTAGTACTACTACGATGTCCGGCATAGAGAGTGGCGGGGGGGGGGGGAGATCTCACGTTTTGTTCTTCTTCCGCTGGTACTTCGCGACAAGCTCCTGCACCCTGTAGGCGTCGGGAGAGGTCACGCCGAGTGCAACGAGGAAGGAGGAGGAAGAAGAGAAAGAGGAGGAAATAAGAAGAGGAGGTCGCGAACGAGAGGTGGGAAATCACAGCAGACGACAACTGGAATTCAAGCGTAGCTCGGTCGACAGTGTGAGTTCGGGGGGGGGGGGGAATGTAAATAACGCGTAGAAGCTCATCACACGTGACTGCGGAACTTTAAGGTAAATGAAATCCATAATTAATATTGACAGCAGCGTTGATTTAAACGAGCAAGACTCTGCACTGGTTTCGACCTGGCGACACCCTAGCTGAAGGCCCAAAACTGGTCCCGAGTTTTTTTTTTTGCTTGGGTTTGGACAAACGCCGACGGATGGCGTTTGGGTCTCAAGAAAGCCGCTGGGGCTGACGGTATATAGATTTACCTCCGGCAGGTCGACCGCTGCGATCTGGAATGAGCGATAAACAGAAGTCGGCTTCGTTCGGTGAAACAAAGCGTGGGGGAGGAGAAAAGAAAAGAAAACAGTCGCGCTAAAAAGGCCACGGCGATATTTGATTTGCTCATCCGGAGGGGGCCCCCGTTGCGTGGGAGTCAATTTTTAACCCCTCAAGAAACGCCAACGCAGCCACCGCCACTACTGGCGGAGGTTATTTTACCGTTTCAACCCACCCCCCCACCCCCCCGGCGGCCCCCACTCACCCACCCCACCGTAATCTCGTCTTAATAAATCCTGAGCTACCTCTGTGGTCAGCAACGCTAATTTCTCAACGTCCGAATTATTTCCGCTCCTCGCGCAAATGTTTTCTTTTTCAGGGGGGACAGCAAGGCGGAAAAAAATGAAAGCAAGCATCGAACAAAAAATAAACGCAGCAACAAAAAAAACAAATCCCGCCTCAGTATTTTCTGTACGCGTGTAGCCGCATAAAAAAAAACTATCATCTCCAAAAACCTCTCAGACCTCCGTGGCTTTTTCTAAGTCCTCGGTCGCGGTGAAAACCAACCGCCTGCCACGGCGCGCTCCAGCCGCAGAGAGCCGTGGGGGGGTAATGTCTGCCGACGAGAACGGCCGACTCGTTTGGCCCGCCGATGGGCAATCCTTGGTGACGGTGAGACAAACGTCGCCCGCGCAAAGCGGCAGCGCCGCCGCAATCAAGCGGCGGGAGGCACGACTACGTGGCTGTCATTGTGTCTCTCTGTCGCCGTCTGCCTTTGTGTCTCTCTGTAATAATCTCGTTTCCGTGGGACAGACAGTCCCCTCGCCTGAGTCGACTCGAGTGCACTCGCGTTGGCCTGGTTTTCCCAGAAACGCTTGTCTGTATGTCTGTCTGCATATTTGTTTTCTTGTCTGTCTGTCTGTCTGCGCATTCGTCTGTATGCTTTTTGGCTCGCCATCGAACAAAGACGGTCACTGCATCGCGCGCGTTCAGGCGCGCTTCAGCAGTCGTCTGGGACGCTCTTCCGTCGGATATTAGGAAGCCACCAGAGCTATACACTTTTAAATCATCGAGATTGAAAACTCCTTTCTTGAGAACTGCTTTTTGTATTTCGTTTGTTGTCCTGTCCCTGCACCTCCGATTAGCAAAATAAGTAAAAAAACGAATTGATCTCTCTGCTTGTCTAACCGCCTGCCTGCTTGTCTGCCCACCCGCCTGTCTGTCCGTCCGTCCGCCTGTGTAATCGTCCCTCTGCTCGCTCGCCCACCTGTCCACCGCCTCGTCATTCTCGTCGCTCGCCATCTCGTCCTCCATGGCCGCCTGGAGGTCGCTGATCCTCTGGAAGGAGGCGTGGAGGTCACTCTGCAGGCTCTGGTTCGCGGCTTCCAGGCTCGCCATGTCCAGCTCCTGTGGGAAAATCATTTTAGAGAGGGGGGTTGCAGAGGGCCGTGGGGGACTGTGGGAGGCCGCTCCCCCCCCCCCCCCCCCCGATGGACTTCGCTACCGCGGGCCGGGGCTCAGGGGCGACACGTATCGAGAGGGCTGCGGCGAAGAGGTACTGAAGGGTTGATGCTGGAAGATGTTGGTGATGAAGATGACCATGCCGAACATGCTGCTGCTGTTAATCATATACTACTGCTCATGACGACGACTGATTATTGTCATTGCTGCTACTGGTGGTGGTGGTGGTGATGACAGCAACTGTGGAGACATCTATCACATCGACCGATTACGCTGATGACGATGCCGACGAGGATGACGAGGATGACAACGACGATGACGACGGCGACGACGGTGATGCCGAAGACCCCACCAGCTCGTGGCGCTTGCGGTTGGATTCGCCCTCGCGCTTGGCCAGCTCCGCCGCCTCCTCCTTGACGTCTCGGATCTGCCTCTGGAGCCGCTTGTTCTGCTCCCTCTCGCGCCCCTCGCTGGCGCCGCGCTCGTCGCGCTCGCTGCTCACGCGGTCGATGTTCTCCTTGAGCCGCAGCGCGAGCGCCTGCAGAGTCCCGCCGTCATCGGCGTCGTGACGCATCATCGTCATTCAAGGCACACAGACGCACAGGTGCACGGTTAGACAGGCATACAAGTGCACGCGTGCACTCAGACAGTCAGACACAAAGACAACGATCCCCCGTATAGCCTTAACAGACTGTTGGGGCAAGTGCTGTTAGCCAACACATACTCTGGAGCCATACGCTGAACCCTGCACGATACTTGCCGATGTGAGCGGGGCATGGGGCCTCAGGGGGTTGCAGCTATGAAGGCCGGCACGGCACACGAGGGGGTGGGTGGCCAACACCACACCCAGCCGCCTTTGCCTCCCCAGTGGTGATGTTTACACACCGCAACAGGTACTCATTTGAGGCCGAGTCGACCTAGGGTAGGCCCATGACTGGTTCAGATAACGGCCGCTCGCGGGAATCGAACTTGGGACGCTGGGCCCGTAGCGCAGTGCGCTAACCGCTACACCGCCGCTCCCCTCAAGTCAGACGCACAGGCAGGTGGACACACAGACACACAGATGAACAGATGTATGGATGGGCAGACTGATCACACATACACACACAGACAGTCACAGACACACACAGATGAACACACAGGCAGATGGAGAGACACAGACAAGACAGACGGACACACAGACACACAGATGAACAGATGCATGGATGGGCAGACTGATCACACATACACACACAGACAGTCACAGACACACAGATGAACACACAGGCAAATGGAGAGACACAGACAAGACAGACGGACACACAGATGAACAGATGCATGGATGGGCAGATTGATCACACATACACACACAGACAATCACAGACACACACAGATGAACACGCAGGCAGATGGAGAGACACAGACAAGACAGACGGACACACAGACACACACAGATGAACACGCAGGCAGATGGAGAGACACAGACAAGACAGACACAGACACACAGACACACAGAAACACAGACACACAGACACACAGAAACACAGACACACAGACACACAGACACACAGACACAGAAACACAGACACACAGACACAGAAACACAGACACACAGACACAGACGGTACGACGGCGCCGTGCCTCGTAGCGCTTTATCTGCAGCTTCTCGAACTCGAGCTTGGACTCGAGGTCCCGGATCCTTCCCTCCTGGCGGCTCACGATGCAGCGCTCCACCATGGACTGCTCCAGGAAGGCAACGCGTGCTTGGAGCACCTGCACCTGCAGCGCCACACGACACACGCGAGCCACACGAAACGCGCTCACGCACCGCGCGGTCACGGGTCTCGCGGTCACGCTTTCGCGGGTTACGCGACGCGGTTTCACGCGCCGTGCTGTCAAGTGGTCCACAAGACACGTGGTCACGTGTCACGCTGTCACGTGGTCAACGCGACGCGCGGTCACGTGGTCAACGCGATATGTGGTCACGCGACGCGATCACGGCCGACGTAACCGCGCGGTCACGCGGTCCACGCGCCGTACGGAGGACGTCCGATTGTTACTGTGAGCCCGTGAGTCGACAGTTCCTAATGTCTTGTGACTGCTTTCACGAGCAGTTGCACCGTCTGTCACAATACTGCTGCTGCTGCTGGTTGTTGTTGTTGTTTTTGTTTCGTTGTTTGACGACGACGCCGCCGTTTACCTTCTCCTCCATCTCCTCCTTCTCCCGCGCGGCGTCGCCCAGGTTGACCTCCAGCTCGTTGATGTGGGCCAGGTCTGTGGACGACTGCGGACCGAGAGAGAGAGAGAGAAGGGTCAACCGTGAGAAAGTGGCGGACGCGGATAACTTAGCGGAACGCTTCCGTCACCCGACCGCACGTCGCCGGTCGTCGCTCACTCCGCGCCCACCGCGGTGAGACGCCGCAGCTGCTCGTCTTATTGCAGGGAGACCGGCTCTCGCCATAGGACTGTGGAATTCCCACCCCTGGTTCAGGACTGCCAATGGCGATCTGGACCACCGCGCTCCGTTTCCGTACGGCGTCCAGAGACCCCGCGTTTAGACGCTTTGTGAATCCGCGCGCCGCGTTGTCATTGTAGGAGCAAATAAAATGTCGCAAGATGCCTGTTTGTTGAGTCAAACCAAGTTTGTTCTCTATTTTCCACTGCCTGCAGAGGAAGGTCAATTCATGTGGAGCAAACATTGCTTATAGTTGATTGCATCTGCGAACATTTCTTTTTTTACTAAGCATAATGGGATTATTACGGTGCCGATGAGCAGCAAGAGTTCATTATTTTTAACACGTTTAATAAACACACTCGCTAATTACGCATCAGAGAAAAAAAATATAACATGGAATTACGCAATGCTATAAGCAGCCGAGCTATGGTGGAGCGGTGGCGCAGTGGTTAGCGCAATAATGAACGTCCAATCAGAATACAGGACGAGCCAATGGCTATGATAACACAGTACAGGTAACGTCCAATCATACCACAGGACGAGCCAATGGTAATGATAACACAGTACAGGTAACGTCCAATCAGACCACAGGATGAGCCAATGGTAATGTTAACACAGTACAGGTAACGTCCAATCAGACCACAGGACGAGCCAATGGTAATGATAACACAGTACAGGTAACGTCCAATCAGACCACAGGACGAGCCAATGGTAATGTTAACACAGTACAGGTAACGTCCAATCAGACCACAGGACGAGCCAATGGTAATGTTAACACAGTACAGGTAACGTCCAATCAGACCACAGGACGAGCCAATGGTAATGATAACACAGTACAGGTAACGTCCAATCAGACCACAGGACGAGCCAATGGTAATGTTAACACAGTACAGGTAACGTCCAATCAGACCACAGGACGAGCCAATGGTAATGATAACACAGTACAGGTAACGTCCAATCAGACGACAGGACGAGCCAATGAATAAAAATCGCTTTTAGAGCTACATTTAGAAGTAAGGGAGCACTTTGAGAAGTCATCGACATGCAAACGATGTGCTAATATATGCACGCGCGGGTGAGCCTGGCACCTGGGCCACGAGAGCCTTGTGCTTCTTAATCAACTCGTCCAGGTCCTCCTGGTCTTCATCCACCCTCCCCTGGAGGTCCGTCTTCTCTCTCTGCAGACGCACCATCTGCTCCTCCAGCTGCTCGCCAGTCCAGCGGCACCAACGGCACAAACGACGACGACAACAACAACATCACAGCCGGCCAAATCAACAAACAAACAGACGAACAAACAGACGAACGGCGGTGCCACCACAGAGGGGGAACGGTTTCCACGGCGGGCACAGTAAATGTTTGCGTTGAATCCTTCATGGTGCCCGCACGGAGGGGCGCCGGAGGTCTTCCGCGTCTGCTCCGCCCTCTCCTGCCACATCTGCTGTCGTTTTCACGCCGCATTTGCCCGTTATGTGAGCGACGGAGACACGACACTGGGCCCGGGGACAAAGGCGAGGCCTCGCCGCCGCCGCCGCCGCCACCGCCGTCACCCCCCCCCACCCCCCCCCCGCCATCCCCCGGCCGTGATGCACGAGTGTATGGCGCAGCCAGAGAGCCGGGAGAGGGATGGCGAAGAAGAGAAGAGGCGGGTGGTGGGTGGGCGGGTGGTGGGTGGGTGGTAGGTGGGTGATTGGGTGGGTAGACGGGTGGTGGCTGGGCGGGTGGTGGGTGGGTAGACAGGTGGTGGGCGGGCGATGTAGGAGACGATCGCCAGAGAGGAACGAGGATAGAGCGTGGGCGTCCCGTGAGGGGGGGTGGGGGGAGTGTGGGGGGGGGGGGGGGTGCAGGTGAGCGGCTGTGTCCACAAGCGTGCCCTGTGGGTGAAACTCCGAGCGCTCCCTCCAACAGGCAGCAGAGGCGGCAGCCATCGGGGGGGGTGGGGGGGAGCCCCCCTGGATAAGATCGAGTCGTGAAGTCCCGACAGACGGCTATTGATCTCCCGACACGAGGCAGAGCCGGAGGCTAAAGAGACAGAACCCGGGAGAACAAACGGGGACGAAAAAAAAATCAATCCGCTCTCGGTGGGGGTGGCCGCCTGCATGCCGCCCAGCCTCCCACGGTGGCAGAGCAGCGTGGCTGGCATGGGGCCCCTGGTGCAAGGGAAAGAATTCGGGGTCGCCCCACGATACCTCGCCAATCTCGTCGAGGAGCGCAGTAAACATTCATCGGGAGGAACTCCGGTCATCCTCGGTCACCGCATCATCGCGCGCCGCTTTCGGACGCACTCCTGCGTCCGTCTGGGAGTTTCGTGCTTTTAAATAATCGAGATTGACAAACTAATTTCTTTACAATTGCTTTGCGTGCGTTTAATTCGTTGTCCTTCCCCACGCACCTCCGATTAGCACGGTTGGCTACGTACGGTGCGGAAGAAGTTCAACGTACACGCGTACCCCCATGACCACCCCCCACCCCGCCCCCTCTTCAAGCCTGGTGCCTAGACCCCCACCACACCACCGGTGTGGTGGCGCCGCAGTCCCCCCCAGGCCCCCTCCCGACTCTCACCGCCACTTTGCTCCGCATCATCTCCTCCAGCTGGTGGTGGAGGTCCTCCACCTCGGCCTCCAGGACCTTGCGGGCCTTCACGGCGGCCGCACACGCAAACTCCGACTCCTCCAGCTGCCGGCGAGAAGAGGGAAGCGGCGGTCAGGACGACGGGAAGCAAGGGGGCACGTGCGCAGCAGCGTGTGGGTTTGACCAAAGGGCAGGGCAGCTGGGCAGTGAGTGAGTTAAGCCAAAGTGCAGGGCAGCTGGGCAGTGAGTGTGTTAGACTAAAGGGCATGGCAGCCGGGCAGGGAATGAGTTAAATATTGGAGCAAAGCATCTAGGAAGCAAGTGAGTTCAATCAAAGGCCAGGGCATGTGGGCAGCGAGCCTAGTTAAACCAAAGGGCAAGGCACCTGGGCAGTGAGTGAGTTTGATATTAGTGCAAGAGATCTGGGCAGTGAATGAGTTCCACGAAAGGGCAGGACAGCTGGGCAGTGAGTGAGTTAAACGAAAAGGCAGGGCAGCTGGGCAGTGAGTGAGTTCCACGAAAGGGCAGGGCAGCTGGGCAGTGAGTTCCACGAAAGGGCAGGGCAGCTGGGCAGTGAGTGAGTTCCACGAAAGGGCAGGGGAGCTGGGCAGTGAGTGAGTTCCACGAAAGGGCAGGGCAGCTGGGCAGTGAGTGAGTTCAATCAAAGGGCAGGGCAGCTGGGCAGTGAGTGAGTTCCACGAAAGGGCAGGGCAGCTGGGCAGTGAGTGAGTACAACGAAAGGGCAGGGCAGCTGGGCAGTGAGTGAGTTCCACGAAAGGGCAGGGCAGCTGGGCAGTGAGTGAGTTCCACGAAAGGGCAGGGCAGCTGTTGGGCGGCGAGCGAGTGGAACGGAAGTTGGCTGGCGACGCGACGATCGCTCGGAGCGGCTCTCTCGACTCGCCTGGTTCTTGAGCTGCGCGATCTCCCGCCGGCTGGGAGCGCTCTCCTTCAGGTGCTCCAGCATGGTCTGCGCGTCGGCGAGCAGTGCCTTGGTGCGCCGCAGGTCCCTCCTCAGCCGCTTCTCCAACTCGAAGTCCCTCTGCCCGACCTGCCCCCCCCCCCGCAATGAGAAGGAACGTCATCAGAAGGTCCTGGGATTTTGTTTGTTAATGCGTGAAACGCCGTCGAAGAGTTCGTTGTCGTTGAATTTTATCTATCCGGCAGCGGCAGTTGTAGAAAAATAAACTGCTTTGTGTGCAACGCTGCACGATCCGCAGTGCACGGAGCCCCCCCCCCCCCGCCCCCTCCCGCACGTTGATTAAGAAGTGTTCAGCCGATTAATGAGTTTATCATTCAAGCGGGAGGACCCCATAGCACCCCGAGAAAAACTCAATGCATGCCGGGGGGCGCAAGGTCCCGCGCTATGAAAGAGAGGAAGAGATGACACCCCATAATAGAGGTTTTGTATTTTTTGGGTTATGTCGTGTGAATATGAATGCGGCGTTAAACCCGCCACCACCCAACACAGCCAATTGGTGAGGTTTCTCACGTAAACAGAGCGTGCCAATTGGTTACTAGTACAGCACACAACGGTTGTGTGTTTGAGAGTAAAACCCACGACGACATTTACAATTCGAGTACTGTAACGTTTCGCCAAGGGATTACAACAACCAGCATCATCAGGCGAGTGGCTCACAAGTGACGACATCACGTTTATCCCTCCATTTCAGACCAAGCAGGAGGATTTCTCCACAACTCTGGCTGTCACCTGATGATGCTGGTTGTAATTAATAGCTAAAACGTCGTACTCGAATTGTAAATGTTGTGGGTGCTGTACTCGTCACGAATTGGCGTGCTTTGTTTACGTGACAAACCCTTTCTAATTGGCTGTGTCGGGTGGTGGCAGGTTTAATGACATATTTATATTCATGCTACCTAACCCAACAAATACCTCGATTAGAGATATTGATCGCAAAAGCCTCCTGCGTGCTAAACCGAGATGACGGCTCGTCCACGTTTGCCGAACCGTCTTCCCCTGGCGAGCCAGGGTACGGCACAACCTCCTCAACGCCCAAGCGAGGCGAATTTCCCAACAACGTCCGTGCGTGCGGCGATCCACCAACCCCTCGCTGCTGCTGCTGCTGCATCCACAGCGCTGGATCGCAAGCAGCAGCCACCTGCAGCAGCAGCAGTAGCGTAGCCACCGCCGCTCGGCCGACAGCAACCACAACAAGAGTTGTTGAGGGCAACGGGAGGCAGGGAACGTGGGCGGTGGAAACGGTGGACTGTGAATAGTTACACGATTAGTTAGCTGTCGAGTAACGGGCAGAAACGCTTCTTGTGTTCACTCGCAGGCGGCTGCAATCCGGATTCTAAATTCGGGATGTCAGCGGTGCCGGCTCGGCACTCTCGAAGCTTCTGAACAGGAGTCCATTTTCCAGCACTCCGTGTGAATCGCTGTGCACCGCTTTTTTTCTTCGTCTTCAGTGTGTTTGTCCTTCCCCCCGCACCTCCGACGAGCACGGTCGGTGACATACCGTGCGAAACGAAGGCACATACGCGCACGCACGCATACACGACGGACGGGCAGTTGGCAATAAGCCCCGCTCGAGGGCGGAGCGTTTGTGAATTCGCTCCTGACGTGAGTAAACGGAGCTCAGCACCTGCTCCCCCAGCAGAGCCAGCTTGCTCTCCAGGTCTCGCTTCTGCATCACGAGCTTCTGCTTGTCCTCGTGATCCTCCTCCAGCTGATGCTCCAGGTGCCTCAGCTGCACGCAAAGACAAGCGGTATACATATATATAAAAACACACACACAGACACACACTTTGATGCGCATGATAAACTTTTGGCGTCCGACGGTTTGACTTTGTCATAAATGTCACCGTTGCATCTGCGGCCCGGTCTCCTAGCGATCGAGAGCTCAGTTCAAGGGAGTCGGCTGTGATGCCACTTTGCGGAACAATTTCCCCGTATTGATGCGCAAACTCCTGCAGCAAATTGCTGCTCCACTTCGGGTGGCAAATTGTCCTCACTTCGGTTGGGGGTCGACGTTCGAAGTGCGGACTGCGACCCTCAAAGGAACGGCGCCGCTCTCCCCGTGCTCCCCCCCTCTTACCCCCTTGATCCGTGGATCAAACAAATTACTCGAGACGCCCGTGTATGGCAGCCAAGAGCAGTTTGTGCAAACGACGTAGCAAGAAGTCGCGCGTTTTACGCAAACGGTCCTTCGCTGACGATGCGCAATGAATGAATTCATTCGAAGCGCAGGAGAAAATATTGACTCTGAACAACCGACCCCCAATCCCGTGATCAAACATGAGGTTTTTTGTGGGTTTGTAGCAGCGCAGTGCACTCACAGACTCACAGACGACACTGGCAGGCAGATACCCAGACACTCACACCACCGTCGTCGGGGAAGAGAGAGAGAGAGGGAGAGCGACAGGTTGTTTTTCAAATGAATCTCGGACAACAGCCGGCGGGCACTAATTGGCCACGAGACGTCACGGACTTGTTTCTGGATCTCGTCCGCTTTGATGACCGCGGCAATGCTTGGGATGCAAAGAAGGGGATTTACTATATAATGATAATAATTACGACGTATTAACCCAGGAGATCGGCACTGAGTGACAAAAAAAATCCTTTTACAGGAGGGTCCCCCGACATTGGGATGTTTGGCCAACACCGATGACCCTGTCTGTGCAGCCGAGTATTTGGCTGCTATAAATGTCCACGTGACGATATGCCACTTCGTTGAGCTATCAATTGTGGCCAGGTCGCTTCTGAAAAAGAGCTACGTAGCTCAGTGGGGCGTTTACCTGGTTAAAAAAAATCGTTTATAGTTTCATTGTTTTAGTTTGACTATGGGAGGGGACCGACACAGAACAGGGAGCAGAACAGAAATCCGAAGGGGATGAGGCAAGAGGATGTGGGGAGGGAGGTACCCGTTTCTGGCAGGTCTGTCGTACGTCCTCCACCTCATCTTCTTTGTTCTCCACCTCTTTCTGGTGAATCTGCTTCATCCTCTGCATCTCCATCTCGTTCCGCAGCTTGTTCTGCGTGTGCAAGAGGTTGGTAAGCGGTGAGTAGTGTGGCCGTCGCAGTCAGTGGTAAACACAAACATCCCCCCGCCCCCCCGTGTAGCGTTAACGGACTGTTGGGGCAAGCGCCGTTAGCGAACAGCAGCGTCTATGAAGGCCGGCACAGCACACGAGGCCGCAGGTGGCCAGCACCACGCCCGGCCGCCTTTGTCTCCCGAGTGGAAATGTTTACATACTGCACCTATAGCTAATTTGAGGCATAGGGGAGGCCCAGGACCAGTACAGATAATCGTCACTGGTGTCGATGGCCACGAGCGGGAATCGATCTCCTGGTCGTAGCGCACTCGTGAATTGGCCGAAAAAATATCTTGATATATGGAGGACCCCAGAGCTTGGAGCGATTGTTGGTAGCGCCGGCTCATCGCGCCCTGGCTGCCGCTGCCTTCTACCTGGGTCTGTGGTTCCTCGGCGATCGTGAGATGCAAACTGCATGAACGGCGATGCTTTGTATGAAACCAAACATCGAGACAGAGGCACGCGGCGGATCACGGCGGTGTCCTCAACCCCCTCACCTGCTCGAGGAGCTGGATCTTGCCCGCTTGGTCGTCCAGCTCCTCCTCCTGATCATTGACCTTTGCCTCGAGGTCGCGGATCTGCTTGCGCAGGCTCGCCAGGGAGCCCTCGTCGTGCGAGCCCTGGGTGGTCACGTCCAGCAGCTCGTTCTCCAGCTGCGCCACCTTCTCGTTGAGCATCGTGATGTCAAACACCTTGTCCTGGGGGCGAGCGCGCGCACGCACGAACGCAACACGCGGAAGTTTTTCCACTGACGGGGCAAATATGTGCACGGAAATTTTTTTTTAACGGGGCGGTGTCAGGGGGCAAACAGAGAAAAATGCTATGATCGTCCGCTCAGACAAATCACCAGGCTTTCGGCCTTCACGTGAAGATGAAGCCGGAGGTGTAAACATTCTGACTCGTGAGCATCACAGACACCTGAGGCCGTGACATCCAAAGAAGGGAGCCGTGAACTTGTCGACAGCTGACTTGCTTCTCTGTGCATGCGTGCGTGCTGCAATGTATTTATGTGTACAAAGATTCCCTGCGTAGGCTTGAACACACCATTCGGGGCAAGTGCTGTTAGCGAGTCGGCACGGCACGGCACACGCGGGGGTGGACGGTAAACGCCACGGCTGACCGCCTTTGTCTCCCCAGTGCTGGTGTCTACACACCGTACCAGGTACTTCTATATGAAGGCCGAGTCCCAGAATCGGTTCAAATATTCGTCGCTGTTGTTGGGCCGCGAGCGAGCATCGAACCTCGGGTCCCCGGGTTCGCAGTGCGGCGGTGCGGCAGCCGCTGCACCACCGCTCCTCCACACATTTCTATTCATGCGCACGTGTGCGCACGTAGCATGCGTATCGTGCCACGCGCCGTCTCTCGTCACCTCCAGCTGCTGGTTGAGGCTGCTGATCTCCAGGGAGATGACGTCGCGCTCGTGAGTCAGACGCTCCCTCTGGCTCCGCTCGCGGCTCGCCTCCTCGAGCGCCTGCGCCAGCTCGCCGTCAAACCTGGCACCGGCGCCCAACCACCGGGGTAGAGCGGTAAAAAGCACGGTTGGCTACGTACGGTTCGCGAAAGAAGTTCAACGTACACGCGCACGTAGCCGATCCCCCGTCGGTGACATTTAACGACAGCGGCAGCGAACGTCCCCACAAAGATTTCGAGTCACGTGGCCGCCCCTCCCTCTGGGATGGATGTCCACACAGGAGCTGTGGACAATACCCGCGCCACGTTCAGAATCGGAATCAGAATTATTTATTCATACCGGAGGAGGAGTCCCATGAGCTATGAAGCTCTTTTTCACAGGTATTCAGTAGGGGCACGGGTTCAGAACGTTACAACAACAAACGATACAAAAACACGGTGGGAGTGCAAAGTATAGGAAAGGTAAAAAAAATCACTTAAAACAATATACAAATAAAACGAAACTATGTTTCATCTTACCAGCTAAAGCACACTGAGCCATTTGCTTCTTTTTCAGAAGCGACCTGGCCACAAATGATAGATCAATGAAGCGGCTGATCACGTGGGAATTTATAGCACCAAAATCATGTAAATAGTGTACTGTACTAATCTATATTTCTTAATACAGTAACACCTTGGATTGCGAGTAACTTGGTCTGCGAGTGTTTTGCAAGACGAGCAAAAATTTTAAATAAATATAAATTTGATAAACGAGCGAGGTCTTGCAATACGAGTAGTACGTATACGCTTTGTCTGCCGAGCGTCACGTGATCACAACTGATATACGAGTGCTTTGATATACGAGTGCTTTGGATTACAAACACGTTTCCGGAACGAATTATGCTCGCAATCCAAGGTTTTATTATACTTTCTGATCCACCCCTACTGGACATTTATGAAAAAGAACTTCATAGCTCATTGGATTTCTCCAGGATAAATAAGAGATTCTCATTATGATTATACTAAACCAATACTTTTCCTGGCACAGCGGGGTAATGGGAAGCAGCGTGCTGGGCTCGCTATCCAGAGGTCGCCAGTTCGATTCGACCTCCCGGCGCGGCAATTGTGATGACGGTGTGAGTCTCTTAAATCCCTGAACGACTGTGAAGGTTTTTCATGACACAGGGAAATCGTCTTCATCCAGCAGTGGATAAACCACGGCTGATGATGCTCATCATGCCGATTTGTGATTTGTTTCGCTGTAGATTGAAACAAAAGCTGTTGTTGATCGAGTTAACGCATAACGATTCGCATAATTGTCTTGCTGTTGACCCAAAATGATTTAGTTGATCTTTGCGAACGTGGCCCTTACGCCCAGGGATGCGCTAGATCACAGCCCACACAGAATAAATTAACGTAGCACATGAATTGGAAAATTGCAGAAACCTGAGGATAAATTCATCGCGCTTGGTGAGGCGCTTTCATTTCTTTTCCTTTCGGAAACCTTTCGAGGCTTTGTTTGTCAGTGAATAATCATAACGTCCGTGGGCCCAGATGGATGGCAGGGGATAGAGAAAGGGGGATAGGAGGTGGGACAGTGGAGAGGGCCTCGAGGGGGTGGGGGGGAGGGGGGGGCTGGGTGGCTCAGGATTCAGAATGGCACCCACAAGATCTTGGGTTCTCATCCAAACGTCAGTCACCCATTATGAAGCCATTTTCTCAAGTGCAGCGAGTTGGCCACAGCCCAGTGCGCCAACGGCTGCACCGAAAAAAGATTTCAGCTTTGCGCTTAGTTTGGCCAAATTCCACCCGCTCTGAGAATGAAAAACATGTATTTGACTGCCATGTGACTGTAAGATTTGTGTGTATCATGGCGTGTGGGACAGTTCACCCCTCCCCCCCCCCCCCCCGAGTGTTTACCGGACGAAAAGAGGTCACCCGAAGGGACGTCAGAGGCAGTTCTGTGGTATCTGCTTCTGCACGCCGTTCTCCAGCACGATGGGTTATACCGCCGCTCACCGTCGCTTTTCCGAGCGCGCACTAAAATCCCCGCGAGCCACGTCGCCGGCGAGAGAGCAAGGCGGATAAAACTGCTCAGGAGGACAAATTAAACTGAAACACTGCCTCGATTGGGAAAATTATTTGAAAACGTCGTTTTTTGCGCGGCGGTTTACTTTGAGGATTTTGCTGTCGTCCCCGCAGCTCTCTCGCTCTCTCCCAAGCTTCGCTCGCCGACCCCCGACCCCGAACCCCCTCACCCCTCACCCCTCGCCGCCGCTCCCCCCCCCCCATCCCCACCCCCGCACGCGTCGCTCACTTCTTCTGCTTCTTGTCGAGCTCGTGGTTGCGCGCCTGGTGCGTCTCCATGTGGAGGCGGCAGTCCTGCAGCTCGGCCCCGAGGCGCTGGCACCGGCGCTGCAGGTTCTGCAGGCTGCGCTGGGCCTCCTCGCCGCTCGATTGCAGCTCCGTCACCTGCGGCGGCACCGCGGCACGAGCGGGCGCGCGGCGATCACTCAAAGAGTTCTTAACGTGCCGTTCACAGCCCCGTCCAGAGATTTACGTGCTCGTAAACGATTGGTTTTGGAACCCCCCCCCCCCCCCCCTCCACCATGCAAACGCCTGGCCCGAAAATACGGAGAAATTACCAGCTGGGGACGGTGGTGTCGGTGTCGGTGAGACGCGGTGATGGCGCCGACGGCGAGCGTGCTCGCGGTGTGATCACGATTCGTCATTTACTCTCGGGCTAGGCCACGTTGTCATGGCCTGGCGATAATGTACGTCGTGAAAACCGAACTGCACCACACGCAAATGGTGTGCGTACGTATGTTGAACTTCTTTCGCACCATACGTAGCCAACCGTGGTAGTCGGAGGCGCGGGGCAAATTGTATTCGTCACGAGCGTCAAGCGCTGAACACGTGAATGTTTTACCTTTCCGAGCGGAACGTCGTTATGCAACAGAAAAACGCGGTATGCCTCGCCTCATTACGGTGATGACTGGCGCGTGTTAGTGAGCGCTTTTGTTACGCGTGGCCATGGCTCTGTCGGCTGGGCCAAGATCGTGATCACGTGGCCCAACGCAAACAACCCATGAGCAAAATCAAATCAAATCCCGAGCACGTTCGGTCCTTCCGGTGCCCTCCTGGCGCGAGGCCACCGGGAAGGCGTCGCGAGCGGTGGTGGGGGATGGTGGGGGGGGGGTTTGGAGGGGGCCCATGTTGCAATGTGGTTTCAAGCTACGTAAAAATGGAGGATGGTGGATTGGCTTGGAGATTATTTCATCCAGAAGTGAATAGATCATGGCCCACGACGGCCTTAGTAAGGGTCAGCTGACCTGCACTCTCGTTTGCTGGATCTGCACGTCGATCCGGCGATCGCCGTGCCACGGCAATGTTCCGTATTACTCCTCATTCTCACATCGACCTTTCACCATGGGGGAGTGGAGGCGGGGGGTGGTGGGGCTTAACAGACTCATGAGAAAAAGCCAGGGGGAAGGGGGCAGTGAGCAGCCATCCGAAGCCTCCACTTCCACCCCAAGGCGCCCTCCACTCCCCCCCCACCATCTGCCCTGAAAACCCAGCAACGACGCTCACGGTGGGAACGCCAGAGGTCACGACACGCGCGTCAAGCGGCCCGGGTTCACCGCAGCAGGTGCAACCGGGGGGGAGGGAAGTCGCGCGGGAACTCATGGACGGCGCAGCGGGTCACAGGCAGCACCCCCCCCCCCCCCCCGTCTCTCGCACACGTGCCCCGCGTGGAACGTGCTCGGCGGTTGGTAGAGCGAGTGGGCGGGGGAAGCGGTGGAGGTGGTGGTGTTGGTGGCGGTGTGGGTGTGGGGTGCGGGGGAGGCAGGCAACCCGGGAGGCCACAAACGAATCCCTCCTGCCCCACGGTGAATTTCTCCCACTTCGGCTTCCGTGAAGAGGTCCGCGCGGTCGAGAATTTGCTAAACGAGTCACAATCAGCAGCTGGCGCGAGCTCGCCGTTTAATAGGGGGCTTCCTTACGGCCACCGCGGCGGTCACACCGCAGGATATTGCCGCATAGTTTCGTGAGAGGAGTCGAAAATTATTTGCGGCTTATTGTGCCAATGCCCAGTTAACTGGCAGATCAGGCGATTTAAAAAAAAAGTTTATTGAACAACGGAAAGCACATTTTTTTATCCGAGCGTCTCCAAGTGAAAGGGAACTGCACGGCAAGCGAAGGCCACGGTTATATAACCCCACCACCCTCCCCGCCCCCCCCTCACCCCCCCCTCACCCCCGTCCCCCCCCCCCACTTTGAGTGACAGCACAAAATATTATCTCTGGGGAATGAGCGCAGCAGAGGGGCCAAGTGCCATTCCACAGGTCATTTACAAACCATTAATATTCCTCCGAATTCAGTTTTAATCAGTTAACACCCGGGCGAGATCTCGCGTCACGGAAATAACGTTCCACTGCCGCTTGCGCCGCCCCCGCTGCCACCGCGGCTTGTCAAGGGTCTCGGGTGCCCCTGTGGGGTGGCGGCGGCGGCGTCGGTGGTGGCGGTTAAAGTGGCGATAGCGGTGGTGGCGGTGCCCTGGCAAGGTGGTGGTAGCGGTGGCAATGGTGCAATCGTGGCAGTTGTGGTGGCGACAGCGGCGGTTATGGCTGTGGTGGTAGTTGGCAGTGCCGGCGAAAATGATTGGTGGTGGTGGTGGTGGCATCGCGGTCACTCGCGCCGCTCTGGACGAGCGGGGACCCTGCTCGTGAGGGCTGAACCGGCGATGGCACGGTTTAGCGGAGCGCAGCAGAGCCGTTCAGTAGAATTGGACATCATTGGGGAGGCAACAAAAAAAATATACAATTTAGAGAGGTACAGGAGATTAAAGTGACACGCAGCCAAAAGAATATTGGTTTCAATTGAAGAATTGAGATGATTGGACCGAATTGAAATTCCATTTCTATATATATATTTTTTTTAACAAAGCTTTGTTGGGATTGCTTGGATGGTTGAATATCTCGGCGAGTGGCGTTCAAACCACTGAGCCAGCGTGAACGGTTCGAGAGTTGGTGCTGTTTGTTGCTGGCCTCTTAGCCAACCGAGAGTTTGTTCGTCAATAATCAGCAGCGCTCCCACCTTGAGGTCCAGCTGTTTCTTCTGCTGCTGCTCCACCTCCACTTTGTCCTCCATCTCCTGCTGCAGCTTCTTCCGCGCGTACCCGTTCTCCCGCATCGCTCGCTCGTACCGTGACTTCCACTCTCCCCCTACAGGCGCGACGAGAAATCATAATAATAATGTATGGATGTCTATTCCCTATTAATTGTCTGCAATAATATCAGACCGTGAGATATATATATGTATGTCCCTCCCGTTTTGGTGGTCCCTGTGATGGACAAGTTCCGACATTTCGAGTCTTGAGATGCGAGTGGATGTTTTATGCATTTTTGGTAACTTGTTTGGCATGGCCACTGGATCAAGGAATGAGATGTTCCTTCCCCTCCCTTTCCATAACACGCGTCGTGCAGCATCAATCGCCAGCGGCGCAACTTTCCGCGGAGAGCAATACATCACGGCAGATGCCGCTTAGCGCAATCATTCAGGGCAAGCAGGCGGGCGGGTGGGCAGGCGGACGGATGGATGTGCGGGCGGGCAAGCGGGTTTTGGCGAGCAGGTGGACGGCTGGGCGGTCGGGCGAGCGAGCGAGCGAGCGAGCTCGACTTTTCTGCGATTTAAGTTTTTGTTGTTGTCCCTGGTGCCGGCCAGGGGATCTGCAAGGTCGCGTCAGCGTGGAGGGCTGGAGGGGAGAGGAGCCACACGAGGGGCGGCCGTGGCTCGGGTGGGAAGACGGATGAGACAGGAATGGCCGCCCCCCCCCCCCACGCGGCGACCTTGGTGAGAGACATCGAGACGACTCGTGAAATCCCTCATGCTGACGGGGGGGGGGGGGGGGGCAGGGGGGAGAACCCAACAACTACGGGCAGTGGGAATTTCGCGTCGCGCAGATTCGGTAACAGAGGGGAGGGGGGCGGGGCCTGACGGAGCTGGCACGGCCTGATCCTCCGTAAACAAAGCGGCGAAAGCGACGTCGCTGGGCCGCGTCACCGAGACGGGCGCGTTCGAGCCGCGTGGCGTCGCGGTGGCGCTGGCGCGTGGCTCGGCATCGACGGGTCATACCGTCGGCCCCGTCCATGCCCGAGCTGGCCTCGGTGGCGCGCAGCATCCGCGCCTCCGACACCTCCATCTCCACGGCGGCCGTCCTCTTCTTCAGCTCCTCAAACCTCACCTGCAACCGGAGGCGGCACGGCGGCAATTCATCCATTCATTATTCAGGCGAGAGTACCCGCGTATCCTGCCCCATCATTGCGGCTTTGCCGGTGTCCGAGAATGTACGTTGCCCACTGAATACGCTCCGTATTTGGGCAACTTTGAAAGTTACAATACAAGAAGATTATTGAATTTGAATCTACATCGCAATCGTCGCCGGCTTCCTGCGAGAACTTGGCAGGGCCCTCCTGAAAAAGAGTCAGTGGACTGCGTGAGCCTTTCCTGGATAGATAAGCGCAACAATAATATTTGTTCGCCGAGGAATGACATTTTTTTCGTGAAAAGTTACGTCCAAATCGATTAAATAGAGGCCCCCCTTCCAATTCTCCCCCCTTTTCGCAGCCCGGTGCCTGGGCCCCTCCAGCCTGTGGGTCTGCTCAATACCAACACAACTGGTGTGGAATAAATGGACGCACACAAATAATTTTGTTGCATGTATCAATAAAACCAAAAATCCCACGATGGAAATTCCGTGGCGATGGAACGTCTTTCGTTTTGCAAGGGTGGGACCCAAGGGGAGAGGCGGCCCCAGGAGAGGGAATGGGGGGGGGGGGGGGGCCTTACCTGCACTTCGCGTAACTCCTTCTCCACGCGGAGACGCTCCGACACCTCCACATCCAGCAGCTGCGCCGTCGTCTCGGAGAGCCGGCGCTCGTCCGTCAGCTCCGTCTGCAGCTCCGTGACCTTCGCACCGCGCCGACGCCACCGGTCATCCCGCTCATCTCAACCCCCCTCGACAAAATCAACCCAACGGGGCGCGCGGCCGGCGAACCGACGCGGCCGGCGCCGGCCGTCTTTGACGCGAGCGACCGCGCAAAGGACGGCTGACAATTGTCGGCATCATCCTCCAGGACAGACGAGACGGACCACGGCACCCTCCACCTGAGTGGCGTAGCATGATAAGCATGGGTCCAGGTGCACCGATTTAAATGTGGCACATCCCCACTCTCATATTTCTCCCTCCCCCCCCCTCACCCACCCCCCCCCCCCTCTCTCTCCGTAGCCTAGGCCGGGGTCCAGGTCCATCTACTTTCCCAAACGTGGTGTCGGGGGCGGCCTGTTCGTGGCGGACGGGCCCGCACGAATCGTTCGGCGAGTGTTTGGGCACACTTCCTGGCGCTCGCGTGTGCCGGTCGGAATCACGGCACAGGGGGGGGGGGGCCCATTAGCGGCCCCCGCGGGCCGTAGAGGTCGCACCGCAACCCCGGGCCGGCGGCGATGGCCGAGGAGGCGCGCCAGATCCACGGTGGCGACCGCCGGCTCGGCGCGAACCCACCTTGCTCTCCAGCCGGTCGCTGCCCTGCCGCAGCTCGTGGCGATCCTTCTCCGACTTCTCCAGGCGGCCGCGGAGCTGAGCCATCTCCTCCTGCCGGCAGAAACGCGAGCGCTTTGGTGAACGCGTCGTGGAGAGGGGCGGCCGGGTCGCCCGTGGCTCGGGGTGGGGTGATGGGTGGGGGAGGGGGGAAGGATTATATCGTCGCGTCGCATTGTTCTTTCCCACGACAAGGAAGTAGAACGGCAGCGTTGGCACGCGGGATGAGCGACGCCGCAGTGCCAGGTCGTGATGTGCCGGGCCTAGCGCAAGGCCTCACCTCCTTGTACTTGGCGGGCTCCTCCGAGGCTGCGGGCGGCACGAGGGGCCGCACGAGAGTGAACGCGCGCCACCAGTGCCACTGCCGCACGCTCTCCATCGCACGGAAATTCCTCTGCAGGCACCGCACAGCCAGATCCTGGACCTGGGGAGAGAATACAAACAAGATTCATGATTGGTGACGCGACCCCACCCAAATGATCAATTATCAATCAAAATGGTCAGTGCGAATAGCGTGCCAGACAACATGAGAACCATTGATCGGAATTAAGTTGTTATTATTTTTAAAATTGGGCATACTTAAATGTTTGTAATTGTTTGTTGTTGTTATTGCGATGAGTTCAGACATATCGAATACCCCGTGCCATCCCGTTGTCCTGAATGAACAGTGGTAGAGTTGTGTCTTTGCCCAATCATGGCCCAGCTTGGCCCGTAAACTCAATAAATAACAAGTCTATGGGCAATGTAAGTCTATGGGCAATGTAAATCTATGGGTAATGCACGACTTCAAAGGCTGAAGCAGCATCAGCACCAAATAATGTATAATTTTTTATACCGCTGTTATTTTAGAATGACGATTCACTTTTTTACTTCCATAAGCATCCGAGCTCGTGCTGATATATGGTATGATGAAATTGGGTGGGGGGGGGGAGGGGCCCTCTCGAGCTACGTGGGCGCCTTACGTCTGTGCACTGCACCTCACCATCCCCGCACCTCTATGCCCCCCCCCCACAGCTGCCACGGCCCCCCAGCCCCCCGGCACCTTTCTCTTCTGTATCCACTGCCGCACGATCTTGCCGCGACACAGCGCCTGGAAGTTGACGATCGTCTCGCAGATCTGAGAGTCCCGCAGGTATTCCAGACTCGCCAGCACTCCGGCTTTGAACACAACCTGCTCAGGGGGAGGGGTTGGTCGGGAAGGCGGGGGGGGGGGGGCAGTTCAGGTCGTGCAAGGACGGACACAGCCCACAACAGATGGCGTCGAACCGCTGCCAAGCCGAACATATTGCGGTGGCGCCTGCCACTGGCCACTGCGACCGCCCGCATCGCCGCTCCCCGCGGCCGTGCCACGACGAGGCCACGGCACGCATATTACAGCGCTCCACGTGCCGAGCCCGGCGCGCGTACCCAGCAGCAGCAGCAGCACCGCCATCACCGGCAGCACCGGCAGCACCGGCAGCACTGCCAGCACCACCAGCACCGGCAGCACCGGCAGAACGCGAAGGAGCTGCGCGTGCCCAACTTCTAGGGCAACGTGGTGGCGAGATGTTAACTACCTCGCCTGGAATGCATGAGGTCGTGGGTTCGATCCTGACCCGGATGCCTGCTGTACATTTGGAGTTTGCACGTTAATTCTCCCCCGTGGTCGTGTGGATCTTTCTCCAGGTCCTGCGGTTTTTTTGCCTCCATATTTAGACTCGACATCACGCGTTCAGAGTATTTGGCCGCTGCCATGAATTTCCACGTGACGACGATAAGCCACTTCGTCGCGATATAATTTGTGATGGGCAGGTCGCTTCCGAGCTAAGAGCTATCTTCTTGGCTCAGTGGGACCTCACCTGGTAAAAAAAAAAAATTAGAAATGGTTTAGCGTAGGCCCTGGCCTGCCCTCTGGTGGGGGCGCCCGACATTGCGGTTGGATCGTGTTGACCGATGCCCAACCGGTCGCGGGGACGGCGGCCCCGTGCGGGCGATCGCGACGGGCGATGCGGTTGTTTATCAAGCAGAGCTGGTGACGAGCCAGTTAACGATGAACGTTTCGGGCTGACGTTGGGTTCAACGGTTGGAAGCACCCGCCAATGTTTCTGGAACTGAAATGTAACCGTTGCTATAAGTCGAAGGGTTATAATCTTGAGCGAGCACGACTTACGCGAGAGGGCATTTATCGTTCAACATTGGTTCACGTTTGTGCAACTTTCACGATTCCCCACGCGCGGCGCAAAAAAATTTGCCATCGCGCCAATTTTCTACGTTGCTTCATTTTCCATGAATTCGATTTGATTCGATTTGCCTTGACCATCTGCGGGCGGGCCAGGTCACCGTTGCAGACGAGACTGCACCCTTGGCATCTCTTGGAGCGACCCGGCGGATCTTTGGTGAGCGTTGACACGACTCAGGGGCCTTGCGAGGGGGTCAGCCGAGGAGGGAAGGGGCAGTGGGGAGGAGGCGGCGGCGGCGGTGGCTACCTGGCTGACGCCCACGGCGTACGTGCTCCGTTCCAGATCCAGAGCCTCCAGGAGTTCCTCGGCAGCCTGCGCGGAAGACACCGTGGCGATATTTCAAGTGAGGGACATTTAACAAAAAATGTAACGTGGATGAATCGTGTTGATTTATTCATCGCCGTCGCGTCGCAAGACGGCGAGAGATGGCGGCGGGCTTGGTGAGGCCTCAGGGCTGCCACCTCTGAGGAGGAGAATAAAAAAACCCCGGGATATATCTCCTGTTCCACCATCCCACAATAGTGGAAGAGGAGACATATCCCAGAGGAGAGCCACATGTAAATACATCGTCTGGTGCAGTGTGTAAGAATATTTATTATTATCGTCATCGCTATCATTACAGTTTTCCAAGGACAGCGGCAGCTACCTCCTCAACAAGAGGATGCATCATGGGAAAATCAAGACAGGTGGCAACCCTGGGAGGCCTTCATCCATCAGTGGATAGATGATGGCTGCTGCTGCTGATGATGATAATAACGACGATGCTGATAAAATAAGAGAGACAGATGAAAATCAATCGGGAGATGGCCAAGGTCAGGGATCATTCACACACAACTCTGCCGGTTTTCACCGCCAGCTTCACGCGTGGTTCGTAGTTTACACGACGACCCCAGTTTAATTCCTGGTCACGGCTAACATCAGTGGCGAGTGACATCCGACGTTCTGAACCGGGGCTGCCCTCTCCACCACCCCCCCCCCCCCCCACCGTTCCCCAATCTGCAATGACCAGAGTGGTGAAGTACGGTTCAACCGGTGTGACGGACACTGCACGGGGAAGGCCTTCATCCGATATTGGATTTTTCTACTGGGCGGCACATTATGCTTTATTATGCGAGCATTGGCGGTATTATATGTGTCCTAGTTTCCTGCTCTCGTGCCCTTTTTAGAATACCATTAAGAATTGACATCGGCCACCCACTCGCCCGATCACTCACTCGTCCGCTCGCCCGATCACTCACTCGCCCGCTCGCCCGATCACTCACTCGCCCGCTCGCCCGCCCGATCACTCACTCGCCCGCCCGCCCGCCCGATCACTCACTCGCCTGCTCGCCCGATCACTCACTCGCCCGCTCGCCCGATCACTCACTCGCCCGCTCGCCCGATCACTCACTCGCCCGCTCGCCCAATCACTCACTCGCCCGCTCGCCCGATCACTCACTCGCCCGCCCGCCCGATCACTCACTCGCCCGCTCGCCCGATCACTCACTCGCCCGCCCGCCCGATCACTCACTCGCCCGCCCGCCCGCCCGATCACTCACTCGCCCGCCCGCCCGATCACTCACTCGCCCGCTCGCCCGCCCGTCCGCCCACCCGCCCGCCCGCACTCAGCTGAATATATCGCTTGTAAATCCTTGCCGTGCCGGCGATCTACGTCACCGTCGCCCGGTCAAATCGCACGCGCACCCACGCACACACACACACACAAACGCCGACATCGCTTTCTGATCAAAACTTTAATCTACACCCCGTGGAAGTGTTTTCGCATTTAATGCCGGAGTCCCGCGGCGCCGACGATGAGATTTCGCTCCGGCAGTGAAAAAGTTCCCCTCGTTTACATAAAGGGTGTGGAATTGAATGCCAGGTTTGCTTAGGGGGCTCGGCCCGTGATTTTGACGCTCGCCTGCGAACATGGCAGACGAAGGGCGACCAATAACACTGGTGGTGGGTGGCCAGGGGGGTGTGTGGGGGAGGCGTGGGCGGGGGGCGTGTGGGGGGGGGCGTGTGGGGGGGGTCACCGAGATTTTTCGCGACAGGGAGGAGATGAGAGCGTGGTTTTCGGAGCAGAGTACGAGGAGCTGACCAATCGCAAGCACGACTCCGAACCCCGACCCGAACCAATGCTCATAACCAAGGAACCCTACAGGCCACTGGGAGCTCGCATTAAACTATCCAATGAGCCAGCCAACTGCTGGTGCTAACCCTACCGCTAATACTGCCCGTTAATGTTGACCCTAACCGGCTCGCCATCCAGCGACCATAACTTGCTTTCTTATAGCCACACGAGCCAAACGAATGCTAGGCCTGCCTCTAAGCCTAGACAGGGAGCCAGTAAGCCCCTCGTACTAGCTCTACCCATAACCATAGCCAGCTAGTCAGTTACCCTGCAGGAGACTAACTCTACCCCTAACCCTAACAAACTAGCCAGTCAGCCTCTAGCGCGAACTCTAACGCTATTGACCACCTGAATGGGAAACTGCAGTTGTAGCTCTGCTTTTACATCAGCCATACGAAAGAAGAAGACTTCGCTCCAACCAAAACTAGCTCGCCACTTACCTTCAAGCTACTAACTCTACCCCTAAGAACTCCTCCTTTACCCCTAATCCTAACCTGGGGGTACAAATAATAAAATTTGGTGGGACGGGGGGGGGCAGGGAGGGGGTGGGGGGGTGAACAAATATTCGCTGGACGGAACAGCTAGCTTTGCAAAGACTTGTTCCAGGTGGAACAGACATGCGGGGGGGGGGGGGGGGGCCGGGGGAGGAGGTGGGAACCGATATCCGGGGCACAACGAACCCGTCGGTCGTCGGTGGCGATGTACTGCCGCCCGTGCTTCTTGCACAGCTGCGGAGCGAGGACCTCGAAGCCTCGGCGAAACTCGCTGAACGACATCTGGTCGGGATAACCTGGAAGCCACGGGGTGGGGGGGGGGGGGTTCAGACGGGAGAGGCGATGAGAACGGAGGGAGCAGTGGCGGTTACGGCTTGGCTGCCGTGGAAGCAGTCGCAGTAGCAGCAGTCGCCGCAGGCCTGGCTAACGGTAATAATATTTAGTTTTTTTTTATATAAACGTGCGACTGTTGCACCCATGGCGCACTATGGAAATAAACCATGAAAAAACTATTATTTTATTTTTCCAGACAAGGCGGAAGGCCCACCGAGATATGCAGCTCTTATTCAGAAGCGACCTGGCTACCTCAAATGATAGCCCAACGAAGCGGCTTATCACGTGGAAATGTACAGCAGCCAAATACTCTAAACGCTTGATGTTGATTCTAAACGTGGATGGAAAAAACCGGAGGATCCGGAGAAAATTCCATGAAACCAGGGGGAGAGAGAGAGAGAGACACGTAAACTCCAAACATACAGCAGGTGTCAGGGTCGGGGATCGAACCCACGACTTTCTGTATACCAAGCGACGGAGTTAACATCTCACCACCGTGGCGAAATGGGAATGGAGCCAAGGATAGAAAGCACGGGGCTGGTCCTCACCCTGCCTGTGGAGGCGTAGCGCGTCCACCAGCTGGCAGGCCCGCGCCTGCGCCCGGAGGAACGGGATGTCGACAGCGGCGGCGCCGGAGACGCCGAGGGCCGCGCTCGGCCGCAGGCAAAACACGAAGTGGACGTAGGTCTTCCGCACCATGTCCAGCAGCGCATCCTGCACGGGGCGGGGGGGGGGAGGAATAATCGAAAGAGTCGATTGTTAATGCGAGGCGGCGGTTGTGATCCAAATAAGCAGAAAATGTACACCGCAAATTATTCGTTTGGACTACAAGCAGGAATCATTGCCCCCTGCTGCGAAAACCTGGCAAGACCCTCCTGCGAAGGAGTCACGAGACCCGGTGAGGTAGTAACACATCTTGATTTGAAGCTTTCGTGACTGCAGGAATCCATACTCTTTGGTTCTTTCGGTAAAGTCACGTAGGTATAAAATAAATCACGACGTTTCGACGGACGCTTTCCCACCTGATGACGGACGCTTGTGTTGCGCCCGAAACGTCGTGATTTATTTTATTTTATACCTACGTGACTTTACCGAAAGAACGAAAGAGTGTAGTGATACATCGTCCCGTAACCCGACGCCGCGAGTGCAACCGGGAATTAATTTGGGAGAAAGAGAGCGAAAAAATAAAGATACCAACTCCTCCTCTCGTCCGTGGCCACTCACCACCTGCAGCTTGACGTGCGCTGCCAGAGACCGGCGCCTGCCGCCGGTGCCGCCGGTGCTGAGGCAGCGGCGCACGGAGGCGGCCCGGCGAGACGCCGACTGCGAGGGCCCGTCCAGGCCCGCGATGGCGCCGCCCAGGACCCGGAGGGCGCCGGCGCTGGGAGCGAACGGCTCGCTGAGCGCCGCCCTGCGAGAACGGCGTCGTCGGGGTGGGGGGGGGGAGGAGACGCGGTCGGGCGGGGGGGGTAGTGGGGGTATGGCGGGTGAGGGTCAGAAGGGTAAGGAAACCCACTAGCTGTACTGGCCGAGGGAGCAGGAGTCATCGGAGGGGAGAGGGGGAGGGAGCTCTCAGCTGGTACTGCTGAGATCCAGGAATTCGAATCCAGGGATCCGGGGTTCTCAAGCGCTGCGAGCGGATGGTCACGAATACTCAGAGCCGTCCCTAGGGGTACGGCGAATCGGGGCGACCGCCCTAGGCCCCACGCTTTGGGGGGCCCCCGCGCTTTAACGTCACGGTACCAGATGCAAAACTTCCGGTTTAGTTCGGGGGTCCCACACGGTGGGATTTGTTCCGCACTGCCCCCCAACCGCCCCGTCACCGACGACCCTGCTACCATATAATATATTTTTTTACTAAATTTCAACTTTGAGAACTCGTGTTAGCAATGTTAATAAGAGAGTTTCCTTCCAACTAAAATTGCGTCGCTGGCCAGCAGACGGCAGTGCAGAAAGGGGGTTCGCAAGCCCATCTGTGCAAACCGTTCGGTGTTAGCTCCTGATACATGTGGTCGCCGTTCGTACGCCGTACCCTCTGTCTTGGTCCAGCCGGTTACGGCACACCGCTGTGTACTGCCCCCCCAAAACCACCCCCACTGCACGCACCGTGCCCCCCCCCCCCCCCCACTGCACGTACCGTGCCCCCTCTCCCTCCCCCGCCCTCCCTCCAACTCACTTCTGCGAGTCCTGCAGCAGCGTGGCGGCGTTGTGGACCGAGGGGTTGTGCTTGGCGTGGGCGACCCACCCGCCAGCGTCGTACCGCACGGGCAGCGCACCGAGCGCGTGCCACACGCTGAAGCAGCACGGCTGGTCCTCCTTGTGCACCGCTGCCGCCGCGTCGTCTGTAAGCCGTGGGGGGGGGGGGGGGGGGAGAGAAGGGGGGTGGTGGGGGGCGTCGCAGCCGTAGGTCAAGGTGCGGTCTCGCCAGCGCCGCTCCTCGTCGAGTCTTTTTGAGTTCGCGAACGGTATCGTGGGCGGTTCGGAATGACTGTGAACTTTACGTATGTTCTACCACCGCCAACAACGCCGTCGTCATTGTCATCGTCACAACCACCACCCACCACCGTCATCACCACCATCAATTCCGTTATCTCCATCAATACCACCGCCAGTACACCTGTCATTACAACCACCACGGTCACCACCACCACCAATACCAATACCCGACATTCGCCACTAAGTGACGGTGACGTGGCCACGGAGCCTGTGCCAGGTGAACTTTGAGGCCACGTGAAGTGTGAAAGGGCTCGCTGACCGGATGTCACTCGGCAGACCCAGCTGCCATGGGTTGACTTACAGAGATGACCGGCAGATGCACCACCACCACCACGACCGTCACCACCACCACCACCACCATCAATACCACTGCCACTACCCCCATTATCACAACCACCACCCACCGCCGTCCCACACCCACCGAGCACCACCCTGCGAGCCACCCACCGGCCGTGTGCCCGTCGTCGCGGGGCCCGAACGCGGCGACGAATTTCTCGACGAGGTCGTCATCCGTGGCGCCCGGCGTGGCGGCCGCCTCGTCCAGCAGCCACAGCAGGCCGCGCCGATCGCCCCCCGAGGCCCCCACTGAGCTCCGCCCGCTGCCCAGGATCTGCGCACGACGAAGACGGCGTGAGTCCGGTGTGGAGGGGGGGGGCACCGCGACTTTGCCGGGCGGCCACGCGGCGGAGAGACGGTGGCGCAATTCGCCGCTTGCTGCAGCGGCGGGGGGCTCAAGGTGCGAGGCCAAGGCAGCGGGCCAGCCCTGGCTCTGCTCGTAACCAGAGTGAAGGCACGCGCCATTCAGGATATTTATTGATACTGGAGGAATTCGATTTTTCACAGATGTCCAGTAGTTCAAAGAAAGTTAACAGATGCCCAGTTGAGCTTGGGGGAAGGGTGTGGGATCGTCGTGCAAAATTTCCTAAATTACCCGCAAGTTTCTCGATTGGGCAAACCCCCAGTGGCAACATTGCCGGCTGCCGTGAAAGAACTGCAGGGGCTGTGTCCGTGAAACAACAGCGGCCCTTGCCGTGATTAGAACGATCGCACGAATACCGAGTGAACTGATCATTATTGTTGTTGTGCTGCTGGCTGCTGATGACCAACAACAACATTTTAATTTACCACCCCTTTTGTTCATCCACCCCCCCCCCTCCCCCGTCGTTTGACCATACTTCACCACTCCCGTCTGTGCGATTCGCCGCAAGGGCCCGGTGGGCTGAGGCTGTTATCTGTCAGAGTTGTGGCTGCGGCGATCGCACCACGCTACGAACCCCAGTGGGCACGAGTTGAACACCCCCCGACAACCCGGGCTATGCTAAACACGATCTGGGAGCGTAATGAGCGTGGGGGGGGGGGGCAGGCAGGGGATCCCTTGAACCCCCCCCTGGTGCCAAAGCTACGAGTTAGGGCCACCCCCTTGGCGACCACAACGCGATATTTTTTTCAACAACAGTTTAAAAGGACAACAACTTATTTAAAACGCGGTTTAAATTTTTTGTTACGAAAATGCCTTCATTTACGTTCTACGTTTAATTGGCATTTAATTACAGCAGTAACGTAATATTGCAAAAGAGGTAAGTACGGAGCTGTCGTTGCTGCGCCTCAGTGGCATGAAACGTCCGAGACCGTGAGCTCAACGACGGCGTGATTAAGGCAAGAGGAGCCCGCAATCTATAACAGCCTCGAGGTGCGACCGTGCGAGACGAATCAAAGCATTGGGGCCCCACCTGACCGATTTTCGCACGCCCTGAGCTGACAATGTCGTGACGAGGCCACTGACAATGTAGCTACTACGCCACTGACGCACGCAAAACACGAGGGGATACGCACACCCGCGCGCAAATTACCTACACAGCTGCCCATCAACATTGCCTCCCTCCTTGCCCACCCCCACATCAATAAAGTATTCATTTTAAAATGTACTGACTGCTGCCAGCCTCTATTAGAGTGGCAAAAGGGAAACGGCGCATCCGCGCGATCCCCCGCGTCGAGAGATGTGATTTTCGCAATGCGGCGTTTCGCAGAAAAGGCGCCCGCTCGCTCTTTAAGTTGTAGCGCCAGATGGTGATGGGCGGCGTTCACTCAGCGTGCGTGTCAACTCGATGCTCGGTTCGAGTTTGGGGGGGGGGGGGTGTTCATTTCCCCACTTTCTCCCCCATTCAACTCAAACCGCGCGTCTCACCGCCGCCACGTGGACGCGCACGCGGCGTTGCGTAACCTACAAAGACAAAGATCCCCCCTCCCAACCCCGTGTAGCCTCGACAGACTGTTGGGGCAAGTGCTGTTAGCGAGCAGCAGACCGATGAAGGCCTGGAAGGGCACACGAGGGGGTGGGGTGGCCAGCACCACGCTTGGCCGCCTTTGTCTCCCCAGTGGCGATGTACGTATGTTGACCTCTGAGCTACGCAAAGCAACATTGATGGATATACATTCTCATGAGAGTAAATCCCACACCACAGCAGCAGCAACAACAACAACAGCAGCAACTTAGAACTACTTGCAAAGAGCCGTCCGGACAGAGTCGATCAGTGATTCAGAGGGACTCGACAATGGGCAACATGCGAGCCGCTATGATGGACGTGGGTATATTGAACTTCTTTTGCACCGTACGTGCTAATCGGAGGTGCGGGGGGGGGGGGGGGACAACAAACTAAACACAGCGGCAAGTCGTTCTAAAGAAATTAGTTTTAAAAAAATCTATTTTGAGGCTGAGTAGTCCAGAGGGAGTAAAGTGGAATCAGCCAACGGTGTTATCATCGCCTGAAATGTCGCGTGATGCCAAGACAATCACAAGGGGACTTTGAGAGGGGGAGGGGGGGGGGGCTGTTCCTCTTTATAAGAGTTTTGTTTGGGTTCGATCGCGTGAATATATAAATGTGTCGTTAAACCCGCCACCACCCGACACGGCCAATTAGTAAGGTTTGTCACGTGAACAAAATGTGACAATTCGCTACTAGTTCAGCACACCCGTGTGTTGGAGAGTGAACCCACAACGTTTACAATTCTAGTATTTAAGAACGAAACAGGAGGATTTCTCCAAAAATCTGGCTATCGCCTGATGATGCTAGTTGCAATTATTGGCGAAACGTCGTACTCAAATTGTAAATGTTGTGTGCTGTACTAATAACGAATTGGCACGTTTTTTGTTACGTGACAAACCTTACTAATTGGCTGTGTCAGGTGGTGACGGGTTTAAGGACGAATTTATATTCACGTGATGTAATCTGAAAAAAACCCCTCGATTATGGATGATATTGGTCGCGAAAAGCCTGCGACACGTTCCACTATTCCTCTCTAATATGGGACCTTTCTGGTGCGGATCAATTCGTTTTAAAGACAATGCATTATATATTATCGGACCATGTTTTTTTGTTTGCATGTTCACCACAAGCACGTGCGGTTAATGCAGACGTGACTCCTTGAATACGGATTCTATTTGGTGTTTTAACATCTTAACGCAGCTGTCGTATTGCCAGAAAGAGATCAAACCTATTCTTTTACTTTGATACTGGCAAGAAAGGTCCCATATTAGAGCATGTTTTTGTTAGCATGTTCACCAGAAGTACGTGCGGTTAACGCGTACAGGGTTCCTCAAAGAAAGGATTCTGTTTGGTGTTTTAACATCTTAACGCAGCTGTCGTTTTGCCAGAAAGAGATAAACCCTATTGTTATGTCCGGCCTTCTCTGTTCGGGCTGAATTATCTTCGAGCGGCCAGGCGGTGACACTGTGGCACCGGGAATGAAGTCTCCTCCCCCAACCTCGCGAAGCAAAGAGAGTCGGCAATATAGAAAGAAAAATAAAACCTCATCCAAATAGGTTGCCCATTCATCGGCTAATTTAAGCACTATTCATCCACATATTTTATTTAATGTGATTCTCATCAGGCCCCGTTGGTGTGAACAAGTGCGATCTCCATCTCGTATCCTCTCTGACCTCTCTCTATTCATGTGCTGTGAAGGAGGGCCATTGCCAGAAACGTCGCCTAGGACACATATTTTTGCGTTGCATTTTAAGGCCACACACACACACAGTGTCGTTGAAGAATGCGTTACATTTGTTGCTACTGTTGTTGTTATTTGTGCACGACAACCATTGGAGTATCGTCAAATAATTTGAGATTGGGATGCGTTCTCTAACCCAACCACTAACTTCTTGTCTCCCGGTGTGACTCCGGGCACCGCTCCTGTGTCACCACTTTTTGGCCCTTCCGCTCCCATCGTCTTCGACAAGGACCGTGCTGCTTTGGACTCGTACGTCACAGCGGGCAAGTCAAGAGACGTCGACGTTGAACGTTACGGCGGGGGGGGGGGGGGGGGGGGACAAAATAAAGTGAGCATGCATGGGCCGGAGGGATTATTGGCCAACGGTCGAGGTACACTGGACACTGGATGCGGGTGAGCCGGGTGCGGATGTATTTCCCGGGCCGCTGGACGATGAGAGTAAGTGGAACGTGCCTTTAAGGTAGCGGCGTGAAGAATACTGGACGCGGTGTGCGGGAGTGGGTAAATGCATCCCGGGCCGCTGCTCGACTGGAACAGGTGGGCACGTGACCAGCGGCAAGCCACAAATGGGAAGGGAGACGTCGCAGCGACGGTACCACTCCGCTGCTCCCGACGCGGTTGTCTGGCTTGACCGCCCGAATGTGATATTGTCGTTGTGTTGCTCTGCCACGGCTCACTAGCGAGAGGTGGTGTGCCGGGGGTGGGAGAAATATATCCCGGGCCGCTGCTTGACCGGATTAGGTGGCACGTGGCTAGGGGGCAGGCACTGGACGTGGCGTGCCGGCTTGGTGGCGCGACACGCCGGCGTGATGGTCACCTGCGCGGCCTGGGAAGCGGCGTCCACGGCGCTGACGGACGGCGCGCAGCTCGGCGGCTCCTCCTCGACGGCCACCGCGATGTTCTCCTGTGGGGCACCGCACGCACAAAGACAAAGATCCCCCCGTGTAGCCTTAGCAGACTGTAGGGGCAAGTGCTGTTAGCGAGCAGCACCTATGAAGGCCGGTAACGGCACACGAGGGGGTGGGTGGCCAGCACCACGCGCGGCCGCCTTTGTCTCCCCAGTGGCGATGTTTACACACCACACCAGGTACTCATTTGAGGCTGGGTCGAGCTAGGGGAGGCCCAGGACCGGTTCAGATAATCGTCACCGGTGTTGGCCGTGTGCGGGAATCGAACCCGGGTCGCCGGGTTCATAGCGCAGCGCGCTAACCGCTACACTACCGCTCCCCACACCGCACACACACACAGACTGTCACACACAGTGCCACCGTCACCGTCACGTTCACCGGCTCTCTCCGCGGTGTCGCCGTGTTTCGCCGGCGTCGTCGCCTCACTCTCTCTCTCTCCCTCCCTCCCTCCCAGGGGCTTCGTTTCTCACCGAACCTTTTCTCGGGTCGGTCCGTGACTATGCGGGAGCCGCAGCCCACAGCGAGAGGTCATCCTGGATGTGGTGCGCGGGAAATATCTCTCTGGGTTGCCGACCAGGATGAACCCCGCTTGTCTTCTCGTGTCCAAATGCCCGATTCACAACAACGGAGGAGGAGGCATCATCACAGCAGCGAGGCACCACTCCGCTACCCACTCCACGTAACACTTACGGTCGTTGCTCTGACGTCAACAACGGCGGTATGATGAAGGGACCTCAGAGAATCACGCGAATTAGACCCGTAGACTGTTGTTGTCACTGACCCCGTGCCCGATACTGCACAACTGTGCAAAAGAGCTTCAGAGCTCATCGGATTCCTCCTCCGGCACTATAAATAAAGATTCCGACTCCGACGGGACGTGTCCACATCGCCCACTCCGTTTCCTCCTCTTTGGTCGCCTGCCACGGTGCGCGCGGTGACCTGCGACCTTTGCCCATCACCCACGCACATTGTCCCAGCGTTCGGGTCAGGGTCCGGGTTTGTTTATGAAATTGGAAATTAATGCCGCTCGGGGTTGGAAATGCCGAATAAATCCCGCCACCGCCGGCGGCGCTGGCGGTGGTGCCGGCGGTGGCGGCGGCGTCGATCTGCCCTGCCGCGGTAGATCACCGCCGAGCGGCGGAACGCCGTTAAATTCCGCCCCCACGATGTAAATTCTCTCCCCTCCGTTTGCTCCCCTCCGTGGCCCGTCGTCTATTCCGGACACCGTTTACTCTCTCCGCCCATTACTCTCCCCGTTGTTTGCTCTCCGTGCCGTGTGCGTTTCCGCGCCGTTCGCCGTCCCCGCCGTTTACGGCCGATGTCATTACATCTGCCCGCGCCGCTCACTCGTGCTGAGCCGCTTACTCCCGGATGTTTACTCGCCACCCGCGGGTGGATCCGTGCGGGCGTAACGCAAAGCCCCGTGTCCCAGCGTAGGTGCCGGAGTTAGGGTCTGAGTTCCACACCGCACTCACGTGCGCACACAGGCACACACGCGCGCTCGCACACTCGCCCATGCACTCGCACGCTCGCTCTCGCGCTCGGTTGTAAGTATGCTCGCGCGCACACATACACTCGCACGCGCACCCACACGCTCGTACACTGGCACACTTGCACGCGCGCTCGCACTGGCGCGCACCTCGCGGAGCCGCTCGAGCGGAGCGGCGAGCGCTCGCTCGTGGAACAGCAGCTGCAGGCGCTCCTGCGCGTAGTTGTGCACGAGGTCGGAGAGGGAGCCCGCGGGGCGGCCCTGCCCGGCCGCGCCGCTCGTCCGGAACCCCGGGGCGTCCACCAGCAGCACGGAGCTTAGCGTGTGCTGGGACGAGCTCATCGACCTGCGGGTGGTCAGCCCCGGCCACACCACCACGGGCAGCAGCGGCGGCGGCACCATCAGCATTTTCATCTTCTACCAAATCGCTATACAAAAGCCAAAGTGGTTCTCCTGCCCAAGCGAGCGTTGCGTCATTTGTGCTCGGCACTCTCCGCCTGTTTACGGCCCTGAGCCAGGACATTGTGTGCTGGCATCATGGCCTAAATTGGCCAAATCTTTTTCCAAATTACCAAATTACCCGCAAACTACTGAATCGGGTTTATACAGAGCAATCATTGGCCCCCACCCCTCCGAGTGGGTGAAACTTGGCAGGACCATTCTGAAAATAAATCACGAGACTCGGTGAGGATTTCGTGGTTAAAACAAGTCTATCAATACTGAATGATACTCATAAATATACCTAAACATCAGCACTATCGTCACATACCGAATCATCATCATCATCATCTTTGCCGTCACGAGCATCATCGAGTACCGAAAGCATGGTAATTATTATAATCTCGTCACCGCCGCCAGCTGGCACGCTGCGAGCGCCACGCGGAAGGGAGGGGGGGGGGCGCTGCGATGGAGCCTCCTCTTCACCTGTTGATGAGCGACACGACGAGGTTGAACACTTCTCCGTACAGCCCCATGGCCATGCCCTGCAGGCACTCCAGAGCCGTCAGCTTTGGCCCTGCGTTGACACACACAGACACACACACGCACACACAGATAAAGATCCCCCGCCGTGCGGCCTTAACAGGCTGTTGGCGGCAGGCTGCTGTTAGCGGGTACCCCCGCACACACAGAGACATACACACAGACATACACACGGACACAAAGATCCCCTTCCCACCGTATAGCCTTAACAGACTGTTGGGGTGGGTGATGTTCGCGAGCGCCTTTGAAGGCCGGCACGGCACACGAGGGGGTGGGTGGCCAGCGCCACGCCGGGCCGCCTTTGTCTCCCTAGCGGCGATGATTCGCACCAGGTACACGTTTGAGGCCGAGTCGACCGAGTGGAGGCTCACGACCAGGACCGGTTCAGATATTCGGCCATTTGACGTTGGCCGTGAGTGGGGAATTGAATTCGGGTGTTGCCGGGTTCGTAGCGCAGCGTGCGCTGCCCACGGTGGACACGCACACGCGCACAATGAGTGCGCGCGGTCGCCGGCGTTAATTACATCCGGGCAACGCTCAAAAAATTAAATTTTTTCCTAATTGCGTGCCATTAGCGTCAGAGGCGCGACGCTGTCCTGAGATGAATAAAATAAATTGTTTACGCGGAGCTCTTCTCGAGCAGGGCAGCCTCGCGCCTCGTGTCAGAGAGCGGCCGTTTGGAAAGGCGGCATGACAGAACTGCGCCTGCGGCTCCCTCGATTGCCTCTTGTCCACATTCGGCGGTGGGCACCGCAACCCTTCTCTCGCGCCCTTCTGGAGCCAGCGATCATCACGCGGCAAATCAAGCCAAACGTGGCAGCGGAACTATCAGCTGGAATCAAGGGACGAAGCAACATCCGCAGCGCCGTCGTCGGGGACCGGGCTGAGGCCGTCAACTCGCTGCCACTTGAGAATCCGGATTTCAACGACAGGCGGTCGAAACCTCGACTGGGAATTGTGAACCTACCGAGGGCGCCCGGTCACTGCCGGATCTAGGCACCAATGTAAATGGCGACGTAATAGTCACGCTGGTGACGCTCAGCTCGGCGATCTCGTGCCATCTCTGGCCAGGAAATAAATAAATATATACAAAAGGCAACACCGAGGTTAAGTTCAGACAACCAACACCCCCGACGTGCGCCGGTAGGCACATTTTTGCCGGCTTGCCAAATCGGATCGTTACAGCGGCTTTCCACCGCACGGGGCCCTGCGATGCCGTCCGTCCGTCAGCACCAATCGGCAAAAAGCCGCCCCGCCGAGATTTCAACCTCCCGCCAGCGGCGCCAGGTGCCGCTGGCGGTGTTAAAAACTCCGCCGCTCAATCAAATCCGTCGGGTGCTTCCCTTGAGAGGAAATTTTCAGAGCGGCACAGATGGTGGTGGTGGTGGTGGTAACGGTGCTAGCGATGTTGGTTGTGTTGGTGTTTTGGTAGTGGTGGCGACGGCGGTGATGGTAGTGGTGATGAAGGTAGCGATTGGGGCAGCGGCGGCGATTGAGGTGATCGTGCCGGTGTAGCAGCGATGGTGGCAGGGGCCGCCTGAAGGCGACAGTGCCAGTACGAGACAGCAGCAGTGGCGGCGGCCGTGTCGCCGTGTGGTGATGGCGGCGACGGCGGTGGCCGAGGGGGCGGAACGTTGGTCCCCCGTGCTCTCTGCGCCCCTCCTTCCTCCTCCATTGTGCGTCTGTACCTGGAGTGCTATCGAGCGAGGTCTCATCCAGGCAGCCGTGGGCCCCCACGGACGAATGTCGCCCCCCGCCGCCGCCGCACGGCCCCAGCCCGATGTTCCGCAGGTGGTGCTTGAAGGTGGCGGTGGACAGCTCGTCCAGCGTGCAGCCCAGCAAGTAGGCCACCTTCTGGGCCGACTCGTGGCGGGCAAACTGCTTGCGCCCCACTGCGGCGACACGCCACGACATCACGCGCGGGATTAGCGTACAGGACAGGTCAGGTCAAACTCTTGACATTGCCCGCTACTTGCCCACTCACAGGCCAGGTGCCGAGTCGGCTGTTACCCGCATAGGGACAGCTGCCGCTGGGGGTGCTGCCCTTTAAAAATGATTGACGTGTGTGTAAATTGCCTTTTTCCGCGTGTCAAGTGCTCCAAGATGCCCCGGCATAAAGGACGCCCGATCATTGTTACTGTGAATAACTTTGGCGAATGATTGACATCGGTAAGGCCACCATCCAGCAGTGGATTGATCATGGCTGATGATATGTTCCGTTCCCGGCTATTGCCCTTGTCCTCGTGCCCCATTTATACCGATATGGCCATTTTTAATAATACAAATTTAAATTTCATATTGCGTCATTCATGCTAAGAGCATTCCATAACGCTGTACATGAATTATATATAAGGACCAAATCCCATATACAGACACTACCAAGCAAGTGAAAATAAATAAACAAAAATAACAAACATGTCAGATGACCCTCCACCACCTGACAGCCCAACAAATAAAATTGTCAGGTGCACAATACTCGCAGCCAAATTGATCAAATTCCACACGAGCCCTTTTTGCCTGAAACCGCGGCAAGCATCTTCAGCACAAAATCCAGGAACGGAGTCAAAAAAAAATCCAGAACTGACTTCTCTTCCCGGATTTGATTCTGATACCTCGGAGCGGTTCCGATATCACTTGTCACCGATGTCAGCCGTGACCGGGAATCGTCTAACTACGAACCACGACATCAGAACCGGTCCTCCCCCTCCGCATCCACCCCCCCCACCCAGTGCCGGATTAAGCTAGTGCGGGGCCTGTAGCATATGTAGATACTTTTGCTATGAGGATCATCCGGCACTGCCCCCACCTCCACCACCTTCGCTCACCCGTACTAACCAGCATAGGTGAAGTATGGTAAAACAAAACAACCCCACAACCAACGGAAACGTGGGCTGTTTTCGCCTTTTGTAAGCGTCTGTAAATGTATTACTTCTTCTCTTTCCACCCTCTTCTTTAGCTTCAAGCACTTCACACAAAGTGCCGAGGCTTGTTTACGAGCGACAACAACCAAAACAACCAATAAACAAACGACGGAACAAGAGACACACACACGGGCGTGCTCTCCGTAGCGGTCGGGAAACGGCGCAAAAATTATCTTCACTACGGATGCTGACAGAGGGGCCGAGCAAAATGTTTTAAACATGCTCTGGCTCAAGCCAAAGCGCAGATGGTGGATTTTGAAGATTTTTCTTCTTTTTTTTCCGTCTTTGTTATCTCTTTTTTTGTAAACCAAACACCCAAAAAAACAAATCTACATTTTTACCAGAGGGAGCGACGGCGCTATGAATTATTCAAAGTCCTGTACAACACGGGGGGAAGCCGTGCACGTTAAATACAAACGCAGCCTGAAATGAAGAAAGGGTGTATGCCCTGTAGATCGCAGCAGCAGACACCGCCGCTGCGTTCCTGCGAATCCGCGGTGCCTCTTTACCCCCATCAGCTCCACCTTTAGCTTTACCTTTAGCCTCCCCTTCGCGTGCGGCAAGATAAACGCGCGCCGTTGATGCGTACGTCCTTCAAGTACTCCTTTCCTATTTATTTATATGTTGAGGAGGGGGGGGGGGGGGGGGGGGCTGGCGGGGTTGAGGGGTTCTTTTCTTAACAGCGCAAACGGCCTGGGTGGAGTAAATTATGGCGCGATAACGCGGATATCAGGCCTCGAATAGAACCGTCGCGAAGGAGATGAAGGGTCATCCGTCTCGCGGCGCTTAGATTCCCCCGCAAGCCCCCGCCGCGCTCGATGGTTACAGGAAATTAGCTCCTATTTCTTCAAAACGGAATGATGAATTATGGTGTGTGCGCACGTGCACGCACGCTACCGTGCACGGTGCCGGCCACCTTTGCGTGCCGTGCCGCCCTTCCGAGTGTGTGCGTGGCTGACAGCGCTTGCGCCCAGCAGTCTGCTAAGGCTACACGGGGGACCTTTGACTTTGTGCGTGCGTGCGTGCGTGCGTACGCATTAGGAAGTAAACCCAACTAAAAGCGTTTGCCTGGAGATATTGGGGGGGGGGGGGGGTGGGGGGGGGGGTTTCTCACCCCCCGTCCGTGCACCGTCGCCTAAAGTGGTGTTTCCATGGCGACGCGAGCACCGATTAGTTGTGACGTCAAATCATCCGCCTCGTGCCCTTTCTCCCGTCCGCCTGCCCGCCTCCTCCCGCCCATCCCTCTCGGTTGCCCACACTTCCCCACCCCCCCCCCCCCACCACTCTCTTCCCATACTCCCCCCCCGTACCACTTCATCGACCGGAGAGTTCCCCCTCCGTTACAGCGGAGGGGGCGGGGGGGGGGGGCTGGAGGAACGAGCCACTGGTCGGAGCAAAGTGCCCGTCAGAACGCCCACCTCTCGTTTGTGACAAGTCCCGTTATGCTGTGGGGGTTTGAAGGAGGCTGAGCACCCCCGCCCCCCCCCCACCCCCACCGCCACAGCCCCTCCGTCCCCCGGGCACCACCTAATCATGCTCAAGACTCAGCTAGCGCCTCCTAAATTCTTATAATAAAGTAAACACAAAATTTGGCGCAATGTTAAACACCGGTGGTACTCTTTGTTAATGCACACTTTGGGGTGGGGGCCAGAGCATAACGCACGATAGGCGAAAGCAGATCGCAACTTCACTCATTCTGTGGAATGCAGGCAGGGGGTTTAATGGTCGTAATGTGTGCAATCATTGGCCCAGATGAATGAGAATAACATTTTGCATTGAGCATGCAACGGTTAATCTGATTGTTTGTTGCAGCGATGTCACGACACCTGGTTAAGAAGCGGGGTCAGGTGACACGGCTATCATTCCAACCTCGCGGCCGCTGACCCGAAGACACTTGACGCAGTCAAGTTGCGCTATCTAATGAGCTGCATTTTGGCTGTGAAAACCGTCCTCAAAGTCACCCGATCGTATGAGCTGAAGCAACAATAACTGGCGCGTTGTCAAACGCTGCTTACACGCGAAGACTACGTTTTTGTTCGGCTGCGTCGGGCGGTGGAGGGTTTTACAACAAAAATTTGGACGCATCACTGCAGGGCCTTAATGCCAAAAAAAATTAAATATGGATCGTTTAACATTGTACCATGTCGCGGCTCCCTTGGGTTGTTTTGCCCTCCACCACTCCGCCGCCCCCCCCCCCACCTTTTAAACAAGGTCACACGACAGGACGTGATCGTCGGGCACGATCCGCCCGAGCTCGCGACTCATTAGAGCGAGCGGCGCTCTCTGCTACAGCAGGGCCCCCTCTCGTTACCTCAGCCCCGTGCCCCGGACCGCGTGGCTCGTTACAGGCACGCCCGCTCGTTAGCCGTCGCCCGGCCCGCCACATCACGCGATCGCATTTAGACGGGGGAGGAGGAGGAACACCAAGCCCCCCCCCCCTCTCTCTCTGTCCCTTGAAGCCCTCTCGTCGTGGCCAGTAGACCTCGACATTGGCATTGAGCTGCTGAACCCACATTGCCAATGCCATCGTGTGCGCGGACAGAATAGAATTTAGACGCCATATGAATACAAATTTCATCGCCACCCAGATCCCCAACTGCCCCCCGCCCCCAATTATGTTTCCACATCCCGAGTGGGGGCATGGAAATATTTTCTGCAACTCAGGCTCGGATAGCTCCAGCTGATTGTAGCTGCCCGCCCCCGATTGCATCTAATAATAACAAATATTTTTTTACCAATCACGTTCCAACGGTGTTGAGCGACGACGTTCATTGGGAACTCTCGGAAGACGGAGTCACGGAACCTGCTCGTCCTAAAATAATAATAATTAAATTGAAAAAATAATCTTACATTTATCTGCCGCATTTCCGTGTCTCCACATAAGACAAAATAACATCGCGTTTCTCACACGCACCCTTTGGCCGCACGGTCTTCTGGGAGCGCGCCACCTCGGCGACGTTGATTCGGTGCAGGGAAAACTCCGGGCAGGGTTTCTACGCGCGGCGTCCTCATCGGCAGCGTCGGCCTCGCTTGCGTCAGGCGCCGGCCAACTGCCGGCGCTCACAGGCATGGGGCCCTTGCAAGCGTATCAAAGCTGCGATTTCAAGGCTACGTTTTAATTCTCGCCAACGCTTCACGGTCAGCCGTTGTTGTAATCACCACGCGTTCGAATAACCTTGCCCCACGCCGTCTCGACACTTCGTCCATGTGCACCGCACCGCGTTGCTTTTTATGATCCGAGTCTGCCTCGAAAGAGAGACATTTATTATCTCGTTGGGCTCTCGCCTGGTTTTTTTTAAAATAAAGCCTTTTGTTTCTATCGATATGCTGTGAAACCGCATCATTAGGGTTGTTGTTGTTGTTTTGAATCTACACTGGGGGCAAAGATAACCTTTTTATACGTCCTGCGGGGAGTGTTCGATGCCTGTCAATCCAAGCAAAAAAATGTTTAATTCTCAGGGCTAGAACAAGCCAAATTAAGTGAAAAATCTAATGAAACGTGATGGGTTTTTTGTGCAGTCATCGGTGACCGGGCTAAGTGGCTGGGACCATCGACTCGGCCACGCTTGAGCGACCCGGTCTAATCACAGGCGGCCTCCTCCATCCAGGATCTCAGTGGTACAGGCTCCGTGTCCCTGACCCCAAAACCCCAGCCTCCTCCTCTTCTTCCAACTCTCACTCCCGGCTAATCATGTATGCTCACGTTGAACTTCTTTCGCACCGTACGTAGCCAACCGTGCTAATCGTTGGTGCGGCAAAAAGACAACAAACTACGCACAAAAAAGCAGTTCTAAAGACAAAGAGTAGTTCTCATTATCTCGGGACCCGCTCGCTACACAGCACCCCGCTCAAGTAGAGTGGACCAGGAACCACCGTTAGGGGTGGGAGATCCAGGCACTTGCAACCTACACCAATTTTTTGCACAATGTGCCAAAAAGCACAGCCGATGCTGCTGGAGGAGAGGCGCGGCACGGCGATTGTTCTCCGGTGCCACTGCTGGCGGAAAGGCCCTCCGCTGGAGAAAACTCTCGCGAGGGCACTTTCGTCTCCTCTTCAATGCTGCCCGGCACTTATCGGAAGCGGTGGGAGTACGCACATATTTACCCCACCACCACGCGCGACCTGCCGACCGACCGGCTAACCACGGCGCACTCGTCAACACAGCTCGGTTGGCAGAGGCCGGCGGGAGATCGAATCGGGATCCGGCGACCTCTGGATTGCTCGAGTCTGGCGCTGTGAACCATTGCACCGCCGTTGCAACCGGCACAAAAATCCACGGGGGCTTTTAACCCGAGGGCAACTTCGAGGACTGCTCCGACGGTTGGGTTTTTTTTTTCGTGTCGTGACCCGAACGGCTCGAGCAACCGCGGCACGTGCAGCCAACCGCTCGCGACAACGACCGGCCCGTCGCACAGTCGCCCGTCGCCTGGGGGCCCTTTTACCTTTGGTGGCGCCGGCGGCGCCCAGGTGGTAAATCGCGGCGAGCACCAGCCAGAGCCCCCGCTGCTCCTTCTCGTCGAACCCCAGGGTCTTCATGGCGGAGAGCAGCCCGGAGAACTCCGAGGCCGCTGCCTGCCGCTCCTCGGGCTGGTGCGGGCGACACGAACGCGGGAGGTGGGCGCCGTTATAGCGAGCGCCCCGCCGAGGGCCGATGCCGCGAGCGTACGAGGTGGGCGGGGGCGGGGGGAGGTGGCCGAGACGCCACGACAATCGGCGCCCGGCCGGCCAACCTCAGCCTGACAGTCCTTCACCGCACGGCATGCGGTGCTCGTTTCGGGCTGAGTAGACCCAGTGTAAGCCCAAGCCAATTGAAAAGTGTGATGCGTGTGACTGTTTTGAATTAAAGCCAGGGTGCATGGCCTGCGTGTGGGTGGGTGGGGTGGTGAGGGATAGGCCTCCTCGAACCGAGTCACCGCCGGCTCTCGCATTCACCAGCTCTCACACACGGCCTACACAGCGAAGCCTCTCAAGGCCGGACTCAGCGAGAGCGTGCAAGGTGGCAGAGCCACGCTTTGGGCCGTCACAGACGCTGGAGCCACGGCCCTTTGATTCGTCGATCTGCCACGCGCCCGGCCGGTGGCAATGCCGAGCGCTCTCCATATTTCGGACGTTGCTTAAATTAAAAGAAGTCGACAAAAATAATCAAAAATTGTATTTCAGGCCTCGTCAGTGGATATTCTCAGACGCTGGCGGCACAGGCGTCGCAAGGAGACACGCACGCCCGTAATGGCGCGCAGGCGCGTTAATGACGGCAACGTGAGAAGACGTCATTTGAAGTGGCAAACGAAAGTCTTCAAGCGTCCCAGACGAAGCTCGGCCCGCCGGTCAGGAAAAACCTTTGAGCAACCACCTGCGCTCGGGCGCCCACATTTATTGGTTCCCAAGAGAGAGCAGGGCGAGACAATAACAACAACAAAAACCGCACAACAACATATTTTATTTACAAAATAAAAAAATCTAAATCCAGCTGCGTGCTGAGCCCACGTTTGAACACGCGATTGTTGAGCAAACCTGCGTCGTCATCATGGGACCTCCTTTGCCAGCACCAAAATATGAGAATAGGGTTTTCCCCTTTTATCTGGCAACAAAACAGCTGTGTTAAGATGTTCAAACACCAAACTCAAACCTTTTACAAGGAATCATGTTTGCATTAACCACAATGATTGTAGTCAGAATGCAAACAAAAAAAATAGTCTGATAATATTATGCATTGTCCTTGAAACTGAGGATGCCAAAAGGCGTACCGTCTGGTCTAACACCGTTTGAGACGAGGCTCAAAAGAAAGCTGTCTCTGGTGTGGACCAATCAGTTTCAAGGACAATGCATCATATTATCAGAGTATGTTTTTTGTTTGCATTCTGACCACAAGTATTGTGGTTAATGCAGACATGATTCCTTGTAAAAGGTTTCAGTTTGGTGTTTTAACATCTCAACACCTGTTTTGTTGGCAGATAAAAGGAGAAAAACCTATTATCAAATTGCGTCGTCTTTTTGATCGGCGATCCGCTTAACGAGGGCAGCCGAGTGTGCGCGTTGCGAGCTCCCCCCGCCCCCACCCCGGTTTGATGGATGGCAATAAGTTAATTAAGCTCCGGTGATTACGAAGCAACTTTCTTTCCAATAGCCCGTGAGAAGCAGCAGCTTGCCTTTGTTAGCGGCGTGATTCCGAACGCGTTCATCTCCGCAAAGGTGCCCATGTAGAGCTCCGTTCTGGAAACACAAATGGGGGGGGGGGGGGCATTGTGGAGAGAGACAGCAACACGTGGTGGGATTACGTCCAGGGTTATAAAACAATGATTATAGTAATAATAATAGGCGACGCTTTACCCTTTCCGCCAATAATACAGGAGGTGTGAAGATGTTCAAACACCAAATAGACACACACACACACAGCTATTGCAAGGCATCGAGTCTGCATCGAAGTCTGCATTAACCGCACACCGAGCCCGCGGTAAAACATGCAAACGAGCACGCTTTGAAAATGTACTCCCATTGTCCTTGAGAAACCGATTGGCCTACACAAGATCTCAAGCCTCCTTCACGGCTTTGTCTCGCCGGTGCTAAAGGGCAAAGAACGGCAAAGGGCGGACAGCGCACGGACGATGCAAACGCCAAAGCATTAACGGCTCGGGTTAAGAAGTTGTAATAATCTCGCGACAGTGGCGATATGTTATCGACCTTCGCATGGTATACAGACAGAAGATCGTGGGTTTGATCCCGACTCTGATGCCTGTGTATTCGGAGTTTGCATGTTCTGCCTGTGGTTGCGTGGATTTTTAATTGGGTCCTCCGGTGTTTCCCCTCCACGTTTAGAATCAACATGCTGCTAAACATTTTCACAGGATGAGCCACTACGTTGAGCTATCATTTGTGGCCAGGTTGCTTCTGAAAAAGAGTTATATAGCTCAGCTATACAACTCTTTTTCAGCGTGTTGTGATGACGTGGGAGCCGTGATGGCGGGGAGGAGGCCGTGATGGCGTTGAGGAGGCCGTGATGGCGTGGAGGAGGCCGTGATGGCGTGGAGGAGACCGTGATGGCGTTGAGGAGGCCGTGATGGTTGTTATTGCTTGACTTGCATCACACTGGGATTTTAGCACGCAGCGTTGTAATACGGTAAATAGTTCAGTAAATAGTTCAGTGCAGGCTTCTTTGCTTTGCCACGAGTGTACCGGCGTCACCCACAAAAAAATGCGCGCGAGCCAAACGCAACAACAAAAGTCAAAAGAGACGAAGCAGCAGAGAAACCAGGAGCGGACGACGTCGCAGACGCGGCCGCCACGCATCCCTCGTGACCGGAGCGCGGTCCGCGGTGACATACCTCAGGGCGGCATCGGCTCCTGCCATGAGCTGCTGGAACACCTTGAACGGACGCTCTCCCTCGGCCCTGTGCACCACGCACAGCCTGTCCAGCAGCATGGTCTGGGGGGGGGGGGGGCACCAAAGACAACGATCCCCCGCGTAGCCTTTAACAGACTGTTGGGGCAAGTGCTGTTAGCGAGCAGCGTCTATGAAGGCCGAGAGGGCGCACGAGGGGGTGGGTGGCCAGCACCACGCCCGGCCGCCTTCGTCTCCCCAGTGGCGATGTTTACTACACACCGCATCAGATACTCATTTGAGGTTGAGTCGACCTAGGGGATGCCCAGGACCGGTTCAGATAATCGTCAATGGTATTGGCCGTGAGCGGGAATCAAACACAGGTCGCCAGGTTCGTAGCGCAGCGCAGCGCTAACCACTACACTACCGCTCTCCACACACGCACACAAAGGTCCCCCCTGTAGCCTCTACACAAACTATTGGTGGCAAGTATTGTTCACGAGTAGCACCAATTAAGGCCTGGCATGGCCACATGAGGAAGTGGTGGGGCCAACGCCACGTGCGGCCGCCTTTGTCTCCCCAGTGATAATTTTTAGACACCGCACTAAGGAGGTGAGGCCCAGGACCGGCTCAGATATTCATCACCGATGTTGGCTGTGAGCGGGAATAGAACTCGGGACGTTGCTTTCATAGCGCAGCGGACCAACCACTGTGCCACTGTACACACGTGTGCACACACGTACAAAGATCCCCCGTATAGCCTTAACAGACTATTTAACAGACTGTTGGGGCAAGTGCTGTTAGCGAGCACCTATAAAGGCCGGCACGGTACACGTGGGGGTGGGTGGCCAACACCACGCCCGGCCGCCCAGGTACTCATTTGAGGCTGAGTCGACCTAGGGGAGGCCCAGGACCGGTTCAGATAATCGTCACTCGTATTGGCCGTGAGCACACACGTGCACAAACGTGTACACACACAAACCCTGATCGAGATCCGGCGTCTATTCAGCACTGCTGCACGATATTTACGTTCGAATCAACGGGACAATTCTTCGCGTGTCCCAAAACAAACCCGTTCACCTATGAAGAAACACTTCAAAAATGCCATTCGCTCAGCAAGACAAAATAAAACAAACCGCAGGTAAAAAATATGAAAATCTAAAAACTCACTCGATCGTGCAACGGCAAACTCAGCAAACAGTGTGCCGTTAGGCGGAGAGAGGAGAGGGAGAGAGAGAGAGAATGTGAAAATACAAAGAGCTCGTCGTTCACGGGGTCATACTTCCCCTGACCTGCACGGAGGCGGCGGCGAGACGGCCTGATTGGTTGAAGTCGAGCGAGAGGAGCTGGGCGAAGCGCGACGATCCGCCGCCGCCGCCGCCGTCACCGCCGCCCGTCATCGCCGCGGTGGCGGTGGAGGTGTGACCGAACGACTCGAGCACCGTGAACGCGGCCCGCAGCCTCCCTGCTCCGGCGCCGGAAAATTGAGAACACAAAGCGGACATGATTTACGGCGGTGGCGGTGCGCGGCGCGATAGAGCGGCGAGCGCTCAGAGCTGGCGGGGGAGCGGGCGGGCGGGCGGGCGGGCGGGCGGGCAAGCGAGGCCACGAGCCGTGAACGCGAGAGCCGTTGGGGCACCCCCCCCCCACCCCCCGCCCGCCCAACCGCCACAAAAATGAAAATTCGAACAAAAAATCTTTTCACTTTCACAAAGCAAACGAGCGAAACGGAGGATTGAAACAAAACGCGCGCCAGCGCAGTGCGGTGGGCGCGCGGAGAGACGGACCAGAGGAGCCCGTGGCTTTGAATGTAAATCTGTGATGTGTGTTTTGTTGCTTTGAAGACGTGTAAAAAAAAAGTAACAACTTTAAACATAACCAAAATAAAATGCTGCCTGTGTTGCAGAGAAGCCCTGGTGTGTGTCGCTTATCACCACCCACCCACCCACCCCCTTCCACCACGAGTAGCCAACAATTGTCAACGCGTAATGCCTCGAGAAATGCGGCAAAACAACAATAAAAAAGACATTGAAGTCTCCCACTACTCAAATGAGCGGCGTTGGGTAATGCTCATCTCTGCTGGCATTCCTGACTCAGCGGTGGAAGTCTCTCCCACATCACGAAGAGAGACGTGTTATTGATGGGGAACAAAGCGAAGCTGCGCTTTGGAATTTTTTTTTATTTGACCCGGTGGCTCAAAAGGTCAGAGCAACCCTGAGCTTGCATCGCCGAGACGCTGGGTTTGAAGTGGGGCCTTCAGCCGTCTGTGTTCTAAATTTGGATCGAAAGAGCAGCGCAATGATGGCCTCACCGACGAGCGCATTAAAATCAAATCCCACGATGTTAAATTCGATCTGTCGTTTGACGCGGCGGCGGTGCCTACGCTGCTGCACGCGGCCTGCAATCCCGCACTGTGGAGGGAGCAGCAGCAGCGGCGAGGGTTGTCGGATCGCCGCACAGATTGGTGCACCCGCTCTGCCAGAGTGGGATAGAGCGTTGCACCCTCGCACGCGTGCGTTTACTTCCAGGTGCTGCGGTTTCCTCCCGCATGTAAATGCTCAGTCTGATAACGCCTTAATTTACAGAAGACCGCAGAGATTGGGGGGGTGGGAGGGGGATTTAGAACGAGTCCTGAGTCAACACGTTCTCGAACACAGGGCTATTGCACTGCTTATCGCTCGTGTTCCGAATGGACACGACTCCGTCTCATGACACCGACAGCACTGTATCGGAATAAAACAGGCGGGGGGGGAAGACCCAAAAGAATGTTCAGGATTCACGTACCGGGCGTGTTCACGTCACATCTAAAACGGGACCACGTCTCAATGCGCTCCACATATTCATTCGGCAGAAAGGAGGCAGTCGGTTAGAGGCAGAGGAGAATGGGCAGCACGAGAGGAGTGTGGGCCACTGGCGGCCCCTGGTGGTCTTTAGTGCGGCCCCTGATGTGCAGCTTCCCCGACAATACACAGATTGAAAACAACCCCCATCGTCATCATCATCGTGCTGCTGTCAAACGCCCAATGGTTTCACATGCGTGGCAGCCCTCACACTGTTGATGTTTTATCAGCGAAAATGAGTGAAGAACGCTGCTGTAGCGAGAGCCTGGACTTGAATAGGGGCAGGGAGCTGACAGCACGGATGGCTGGGGGGGCGAAGAGGGGGGGGGGTGGGTAAGGGGCGGGGCCGGGGGTGGGTTAGGGGCAATTCCAGCCCGCGGGAGTCAAGACCGCGGCTCGCTCACCGCCGATGTTCTTGCAGGGCTCGACGACGTTCCTGCCGCCGCTGGGGCGGGCGCCAGCGAGCGATCCCGGCGGGCCCGCGCCGGGCCCGCCGTGCGCCGCGAACGTGGCCAGGTACTCGGCCGCGTGCCGCGCCGCCGTGGTTTTGCCGGCGCCGGCGGCGCCCAGGAAGAGCAGCGTCTGGTCCTGGCGGCTGCCGAGCATGCGGCGGAAGGCGGCACGCGCCGCCGAGTAGATGTGGGGCGGCGGCGGCGCCTCGCCGTGGCAGCACCGCACGGCCCGCATCGCCTGGGGGGACAACAGCGGAGACGATGAGGACGACGACGACGACTACGGCGACGACGATGATGACACGTGCTTGCTTTTGAGTTGGGCCCATGTGATTGTAGTTTTTAAGATTCTTGTTGCTGAACCCTCCACCACCCGACGAGATTTGTGACGCTAACGCGGGTACCGTTTGTCCACGTGGTGCCGATGTGTTGATCACATGCAGCTCCTCCTCCTCCCCCCTCCTCCCCCCTCCTCCTCCCTCCCAATTTCTTTTCACGACCGAATTGAACATCGACGAATGACGTGTCGCTCCAACCGCTCCGAGCCACCGTCGGGCGGCCTCGCTCGCAAGCCGAGCGAGGCCGCCGTTCCCGTCAGCCGCCTCCGCGCTCCGAGGGCTCGCCGTGACATCGCCGCCCGCCAGCGCGTGCGCGGGTCATTTCCATCGAATTTGTGATTAGGGGCCCTGCTACCGTTAATGGGTTCGTTAGTGCCAACGTTTGCCGCCGTTGTTTTTATTTTATTTCTGGTGGACTACTCCACTCGGCTTACCCCGACACAACCACGCTGTGTTGTTGTGGAACACGCAGCAGTCTCCACTCAGATATCACCCAGGATGCCGGGGAATGGCTGGCGACGTTGAGCACGTGAAAACTAACCATCGCAGCACTGCCGCTTGGTTTCAAACGCCACACGAAAGGAGGAGAATTTCAAACATCTTCAAACGTTAATTCCAGATTTGAAGCTTTCGTGACTGCAAGGATCCATACTCTTTGGGTCTATTCGGTAAAGTCACGAAGATGAAAAATAAAAAGAATAATAACGAAAATAATAAATTGAAAATAACTCAATTCAATCGGGCGCAACGCAAGCGTCCGTCATCAGGTGGGAAACCTTTTTTATTTTTATTTTTCATCTACGTGACTTTACCGAAACAACCAAAGAGCATCTTCGAACGTTGCGCGGACGACTGGCACTGCCCCGCACACTGGCCACGCGCGTCACCTCCGATTGACGACGGCTGGTTACGTACGGCGCGAAAGAAGTTCAACGTGCACACGCACGTCGCCGCGTCGCGAAACGTCGGCCATCGTCGAGTCTCTGGCTGAATGTTGCTGCTGCTGCTGCTGCGGTGCGGGTTTTCCTCTCATGGGAATGTGCAGGGTGCTTCAAAAAGATGTTAACACTTCCATGGGACTATCATTCTCAACGGAAAATGAATGGATGAAACTACACTGTCAGGGGCCGTCCATAAATGACGTCACGCGATTTTAGACGATTTTTGACCCCCCCCCCCCGACGTCACGCGGCGTCACAAAAAGTCAGACCCCCCCCTCAAATATGACGTCACAAAGCTCTGCCCCCCCCCAAAATAAAACATGCTTCAAATCGCTTTAAACGATTGTCATTGTAGCGTGTATTGAATGTGGCACTGCACTCTGATGTTGTAGGAGAAAACATTTATTAAAAAGTCTATTTAATTAAGTAGAACGTGTCGTCTGTATTTATTTAAAGTTGGGCATTTTGATGTGACGTCACATTTCTCAACCCCCCCTACCCCCTTCGTCACACATCGTCACAAATGTCTGACCCCCCCCCCCCAGGTGCGTGACGTCATTTATGGACGGCGCCCCTAACATGATAACAAATGTAATGTTAATAGCTTCAAAAAGTCAAAGAGTCTCCCACGTGTTCGCCATCGTTGTCAACACGTGGCCTGGAAACTTCTCCAGGTCGTCTCCAGAGCCCGGAGGCAGCAGCACATGTCACGTGGTCTTGTTGCAAAGTCTCCGAAGTGTTCACATTTTTTTGAAGCATCCTGTATATCCATCAGTGTTGCTTCGTGTATAGATCAATGTCTCGGTGGAATACGGTGAGGCCGGATGTCCCAGTCATTGCCGAGCTTTGTCAAATTGTTCGCTGTTACATCTTACGCCTTTTGATGAAACAATGCCGTGCGACTTCTGGTAGCGGTGAATTATTTTGTATCCTCCTTTTACCCCCTCCTCTCTCCCACCCCGCCCCCCCCCCCCCCCCACAGCGCCCCCCCCCCTCCCTCTTAAATGAACCAAACTTAAACCCTCGCAATTTAATAGGGGACCAAGAGCAGATGGCGGGAGACTTTCAGGGCAGATTTTGGAGGGTGCTGCGCCGCATCGAATGTCCGCGCAGCAGCTGCGCGTCTGGCAGAGGGAGTGAGCGAGCGTTGGCGGCGATGTGGTGCCATCGTGGTAGGGACGGCCTTGGCCACGATGGACGCTCAGGGGAGGGAGCGTGCCCAGAGAGAGAGAGAGAGACAGACGCGCACTGTGGAGTGTCGTGTGCAGACGCGGGGTGGATCGATGCGTCACGCGACTGTGAAAGATCGCGGTGGGCAAGGGGGAGGCTTTCATCCAGCAGTAGATTGATCACGGCTGATGATGATGATGAATTTAAGACAAGCTTCTAAACACCTGGTGGAGCGGTGGCGCAGTGGTTAGCGCACTGCCTTACGAAGCCAGCAACTTAAGTTAAAACGCTCATTTCCCAGAGCAGATCTGAGCTCCATGTTCCTGGGGCAGGGACTAGTCTATCCGTAAAACTTGTGGACGTTCCTCACAGTGATGCCCGTTTTCGTCAACCCCTGAGTAATGATGATGGAGGGCGGACTCGGGAATTGAACTATCTACCCCCGGCGAGGTTACAAACAACTGGAACGAGGCATGGGCGGGACGAAGAACATCTCAAGACACCGGAAGAGCGGAGCACTTCCACGTAAATGTATCGGGCTAGAGTGGTTCATCGCCACCATCATCGTCGTCGTCGCCATCATTGTCGTCATCGTTATTCCACAACCGACGACCCAGGGGAACGCAGCCACCGCTGGTAACCCCGTCCCCCGTCCGCGAGCCACGTGCCCGTCTTCCCGTGGACGGATGGGCCTCGTGTCGGCCCCGCTTCCTTCGCAGGGGGAGAAAACGCGGAGCGACCCCCGACTGCCGGGGGATGCAGCCCCATGTCACCGCAATTACTTCCACCGTATTGAACTAAACGCGGTCGCAATCTCAGTTTATTTAACCAACATCTATTGCAATTAGGGGCCCCGTGACATCGATGAACTGCTAATGCGGCTCCTTTAATAACGCAACCTTCGATTCCCTCCCTCGCTTGGCAGGTACGTAAAGAGGTTCATTAACCCTAATGAGTGCGAGAAAGGTCACGGTCAGCAGATTTACGGCACTTTGAGTTTCCTACCAAAGAAACAAATAATACCTCTCCCCCCGGCGCCACCACCTGCCCCGCACCCCCCATCCCCCCATTCCCTGGCACTGCCTCCAGCACCCCGCCATCACCCCCCATACCCCCCCACAATATTTATCTTTACCCTGACAGTGGTGGCTACAGAGTGAAGTGGAGCGCCCTTTGGCGGTAAATTAATTTTGATTTGATTTTGTTATTTCCCCTGGTCACAATTGGGATTTCAACCAAAAAACCGTCTCTCTCTATTTTTCTTTCTTCTTCTTCTTCGTCTAAAGTGCAATTAAGACAATTACCTCTCTTTGTAATTAAAGCCCAGGCCACCCAGGGCGCCGCGTGTAATTTCTACTTGGTAATTGGCCGCGGCTGCCGCCTGACAAAAAAAATAAAGGAAGGGAGGCCGGCGACGGGAGAGCAAAATGTTACTCCGGCCATTAAAATTGTAAATACATGGGACTCCTCTACTTACGAGCGAGTGAAGTTCCAGAGGTCTATATTCTTAGCTCTTTCGGTAAAGTCACGTTGAAGGGAAACAATAAAATAATAAAATATATATAAAACAATACAAAATTCTCACGACGTTTCGACCATAACACAAACGGTCGTGATATTTTTTTATTGTTTTATACATATTTTATTATTTTATTGTTTCCCTTCAACGTGACTTTACCGAAAGAGCTAAGAATATTAATTATTGCAGTCACGAAAGCTTTAAATCAAAATTCCAGAGGTCTGTTCGTAAGTCCAAACTTTACTCCCGTCGATTCCAAACATGTTGTACGGCATGCACACTAAACATGGGGAATGGATTTAAAAGTTGTAAAATTTCCTGAAGATGCCACTGGTTTTTCATGTTCTACAGATATAGATGTCACCATTTATTGTGCGCCGGTTCAACTTACGACTCTGGGGTCCAAACAGGCAACTGGACATTTGGACAGGTTTGTTCGTATCTCTGGAAGTTCGTAAGTCGAATGTTCGTAAGTAGAGGAGTCCCTGTATACATTCAACGACTTGTGTGGGAACAGTTGGAGATGCTCGTCGACACGGTCAATGGAGCCAGCGCCGTCCCCGAAAGGTAAAAGGAGGAGCTCGCCCAGATATTTATGATCAGGCGGGGGGGCGGGGGGATTGAGACAATAATCACAGTGCCCCTGCTCCGTCCACCAACTCCGGCGCTGTAACCGACCGGATTCTTTGAAGCGTCACGATATTCCCTCGCCCATCTCTCTCTGGTCTCGTGCCGGCGCGGCTTGTGAGTTCACGCAATCGTTCGACTGTCGACTGATCTCCATCTGTTTTCCATCTGTACGGCGAGAGAGTGTTGCCTCCCCTCCCCCTTCCCCGCTGCTCCCTACCCCTCCCCCCCCCCCCCCCCCCCACGTGTATGAACAATTCACGAATTGTCTGCCTCTTAAGCCGTAGATAGTCATGGTGTGGGTGTCCGGCTGGAAGCGTCCCACCATCCCGACGCCCCCTAACCCCCCCCCAATCCCCCCTTACCTCGTCGGTGTGCAGCGGCGCCCCGCGGGCTGGGGCGAGCGCCAGCAGGTGCGTGCCGGCGTACGTGTAGGGCTTGGCATGCGCGAGCCGCGAGCGCAGCGTGTGCAGCAGCGACGACTCATTGAGGAAGAGCAGCGACGCCAGCTGCTCCGCCTGCTCCAACTCCGCCGGGTTGGCCTGCGGGGTGCGGACGGTGTGGTGGAGGGGGAGAGAGAAATGGGGAGGAAGGGTGGGGGGGACATGCCTGCGTCCAGCAGTTGATAGAGCATGACCGATAATAAATATAACGCTAGGGCCCTAAAATCACTACAATCCTGCCCCGGGTGATACTGGGCTCTGGAATCCCACGATCCTGAGCGGGCCCCGGTGCTATTCAGCAGACGGTGTCAATTAGTAAATTTGGCCGGAAAATTAGGGAAAGTGATTTTACCGTCGCGCTGTGCTCGCTTGAGGAAGGGTCACAGCGAGGAGGGGGGCAAAGCTCACAGACTGGAGACCAATCGGCTCGCAGGGGCGTTGAACAGAACCCACAAAAACCTCGTGTGACTCGTGCTCAGCGTTCAGGAATGGCTCCGTTAATTCCACGTCCCTTGTGCGGCCGGCCGAGAAGTTGCGGTTAACAAACAAGGGGGAAAGGTGGGGGGAAAAGTGGGGGGGAAGGGGGGGGGAAAAGTGGGGGGGGGGCGGGGCGGGCCTACAAGTGGAGAGCAGAGGGGGTCGAGCAGTTGGTGAGTGTGTGAGCTGAGAGTCGTTCTCTTCTCCTCTCCTCCCCTGCTGCCACCTGCTCAGGTGACGATGGCCAAGGAGCCGCACGGGGAGGGTGGGCCGGTGGGGGGTGGGGGGGGGCAGTGGACGGTGGGGGGGGGGGAGAGGGCCCAATGGCCATGGCGCTAGAAATAAACCTGAGATTACCGCGCTTAAAATAAATTGGGAGCGGCGCACGGGATCAGTGGTGGCGGGGGAGAGTTTTCCGTCGCTGTGGCAGGGTAAATGGAACCGATCGCTCGTTCTCGTCTTTTTTCATGAGATTTTGTCAAAAACAAAAAATTTCGACCGATGAAGGAACGGCAGCCCAAGGACGGAACGCGTCCCGAGGGCACCGTGCTGGGCGCGACGTCGCGGTGAGGGCGTCGCAAGAATGCTGCCAGCTTGAAAGTACTTTTTTTTCAATTTTTACTCTCGTTTGCGGAGCTCCGAGCTCATAATGACAGCCTCTCGGATCGGGGTGTTGCTACAAGGCAAGAGCCGTCAGGTGTTGTGGGCTGCGTCCTCCTCCAAAACGTGAGCCGTGAGCTGGGGCCAAATCTCAATCGTGACTGCAGAACGGCGAAAGGTCATCCGGCGACAAACTGATACGTAAACAAGGTGGCAAATGAATTATAAGCCGGCAAAACGCGCACACTGTGATATGCCACGGTGGCATCGCAGGGAAGAGGAGGTGTTAAGAGAGGAGGAGGAGGATGATGAGTAGAAGAGGGGTGGAGGTAGAAATAGAAGAATGAGTGAAGACAGGAGGAGGAGGGAGGAGGCGGAGGGAGGGGCTCTACCTTCTCCACCTCCTCCTCATCCACATCCACGATGGTCCCCCGCTCCTCCATCTTGAGCTTGAGTCTCCGCGCCGGCATTTCCGGAGTCCCAACATCGGGTTTCAGCTCCGTCGCTGCAGACGCACGCAAAGAGATGCAGTCGGGAACTCCATCGGGTCGATCATCGAGTGAAAAGACGGCAAGCGTACAGCGTGCTGTCCACCCACTGGGCGGTGAGGGGAGTGGTGGGGAAGCCCAGGATCGGTTCAGATTCATCAATCTCTGATAAATGTTAACCGTCACCGGGAATCGACTCGGGTTACAGTGCGCTAACCACAGTCCCACCACTCCACCCAATATATTGCCTCTGCATTGCACTGTCCTGCCATATGTTGTGGGGGACACCTACCCATTAGGGTCGAGGGGGGGTGGGGATAAAACTTCTAAATACGTGAGGGCCACACATCAACAAACACGCAGCTTGGTCACTGCCACCATTGCAAGAGAGGCCCTGGCAAGTGCGGTGGCTAGATGTTAACTACCTCGCCTGAGCTACAGGTGGTCGTGGGTTCCATCCCGAACCTGACGCCTGCTGCTGTATATTTGGAGCCTGCGTGTCTCTCTCCCCGTGGCCGCGTCGATTTCTCTCCGGGTCCTCCGGGTTTTCCCTCCGCCACCTCCAGACGCACGCATCGCTCACACCCCGCACGGCCCGACCGACCGGGTGCTTACCTCTCAACCTGTGACCCGTGTGACAATAGCCCCCCCCCCCCACCCGAACCACTCTTAGCGCTAATTCTCTCTCCCGTGACATTCCATAACCTTAACCCTCAGCGCCAGCTCTAATCGCTACGAGTTAAGCCCCGCACGGCGGCGCCCCGCTGCCAAGTAGTATTCGGCGCGTGTCGTCGGGCGCTGACAGCTTCCCTGGGGCGGAATTTTTCCTCCTCTTCCTCCTCGGCCCACCTGTTATTAAGCCTCTTGGTGGGTGGTGGGGGGGGGGGGGGTCTCCTTTTGCATAGAGCGGAACCTTCTGATCGCCTGCCAGGCAGCTCTAATCTACGGGTTTGCAGGATTCCGCGGCCGATGTAAATTTTTAAGTGTTTTATTATAATAAAAATATAATTCGGTTTGGAAGAAGGCATTCAATATTTATTGGGGGCGAGAGGCGGTCTGAGCCTAGGCGATGGATGCAATCTCCTTTCTTTTGTTTGGGGGGGGGGGGGTGGCGGTGGGGGGAATAAAAATAAATCGCGGAAAGTAAACAGAACGGTACTCGCCAAAGGAAGATGATGAGGTTTATATTTTCTGTACGTGATTTCATTTCTTTTTTACTTTACTCGTCTTGACATTGTTTTTGGAAAGAGGGAAGGATGGGAGGAGGGAAGGAGACTGCTCCGTTGGCAACGATCACCGAACTGATTTTCTGCACCTCCCCCCCCCCCCGATCCTCAGGGTACTTACAGTCATAACAAGCCGTGGCGTGACCACTGCTGATAATGACGATGTTTAGAAGCTGACGATGCCACTACTCCGCTTTGAACGAAGGCTCTGACGCCGACGCGCCTGATGCGTGCACGTGCTCCTGAGATCCAGCGCTGCGGCCACAGCGAGGGTCGGTGGACCTCCGCACGAGCTGTTGTGAAACTCCCTTTCCCGTGGGCGTCGAGGAGCTGCTTTAACCCAGCCTACAGGGTGCATGCGGCACCCTGTAGGCTGGGTTTCACCTGTACGGGGGATAGAGTGTCCACCCCCCCAACCTCCCCTCTAGCGCACGCGTGTGGCTTGTCTCCGGGTGCTCCGGTTTCCTGGCGCACGTGTGAATACTCTTGATTGGGGTGGGGGGGGAACACCTTAATATATAGAGTGCAGACGTTGGGCAATTATTGGTATGGCCACCTCACAGCCTCCTCGAGCTTGTTGCTGATGGGGCAAAGCTTGTCACGAGGTTTTATTATTGCAGCCGTAGGTGTTCCGCGAGAGCATAGTGTTATATTCGTGAGAACGAGTGACGGGAACTCAGACGGACGGTCGGAGGGAAACGATGACGCATTATCCCTGAGCATGGAATAAGGGGGCTGACAGCTCCCGTAATGTCCGTGAAACCAACATCACCACATCGGTGAGTCTGCGAGTGCTACCGAAGGATGAGGTGCGCCTCTGAAATGTTGACCTTCTTTGACGAGGGTTTGGCGGCAGAGCCACAGATTTCATGAATTTCGGTCACCAATCAATCAGGCCCACAGGCGACAGCAGCTTCTTAGCAAATGCCAAGAATCTTACAAAAAACGTGGACCCTTAAAAAAAATATAGATGACATACCGCTCGTTAAACTAGGCGTTCATGTGAGTTTCATGGTCTCGGTCAGGTCACCAACAATTCCTGCGATAATTTGCTTTTTTTTTTTACTTATTTGGCCAGATTCCATCTCTGAGAATTCAAATCGACACGTTTTGATTGCCACGAGATGATGAGCGTCTCTCCATGGCAACGGCAGGTGACGGGTGGCGGCCCGTAGCAGGAGCCATCGAAATGATAGGGGCTGCGTTGTGAAAACATTCTTAAAACCAATCATTCTGTTTGCTTTTTTTTAGTTTAACACATAGGCTTTCGCGACCAATATCATCCATAATAGAGGTTTTTGTTTGGGTTAGATCGCGTAGTTGTAATTACTGGTGAAACGTCGTACTCAGATTGTATATGTTGTGGCTTGGCTCTCAAACACATCGGTGTGCCGTACTAGTGACGAATTGGCACGTTCTGTTTACATGACAACCCTTACTAGTTGGCTGTGTCGGGTTGTGGTGGGTTTGAACAACACATTTATATATTTACGCGATCTAACCAAAACAATCCTCTATTATTCCTTCTTTTATTTTAATAACGTAAAAAAAAAGTTGAGGTGCGCAAGGTTGCCACTAACAGGGCTCGTCGGAGCCCAACACCAAGCGGTGAGCTCACGCTCCATCGCCGAGTCCGGCTTCCAGAGATTTAACGGCACGGGGCCGCCATATTTGAATGCCGCGGCCGGCCAAGAGAGTTGATCGCGGGGGGGCCTAAGCCCCCGTTAGGAGCCCTCGCCAGCCTCCACCGCTGCCACCTCTACGCGGAGGATACGCGCGGACGGCCGGGGAGGGAGATTTGGACGCGGATAGCCGTGGAGCCGCGAGTCGTGGTGTGGCGTGCACCCTCGATGTCCTCTCACCGGCCACAAAGCCGTCCTTCCGCACCAGCCAAACCTTCTCGCCCTCGAACCAGGCATAGAAGCCCTGCTGCTGCTGCTCCTCCTCTGTTCTGGGCTGTGCGGAGAGATCACGCGAGGGTCAGGAGATGGCAAAACCACGCGGCACCCCCGCCGCTGCCGTCATGTCGCCCCGAATGGTGTCGTCGCCGTCCCGTCTGGTGCTAGGGCCTCCGGAAGACCGCTCCTACCATCTCGTCGGCACCACCGACTGACATTGAGCGGTCGACGTGGACTAGCGGTAGCGCATTTTGCCGCTTGTAGATGTGAGAGTGGGTGATTGCGTGCGGGGGCCAGTGTCCACATTTGCCAAATGATCCACATTATTACTCAATTGGCAGACGTACGCCTCAGGTCACTCTTGCAAATGAGACTGAATCTGCCTCTAAGTCTCACTCTCTGTCGCCAACTTCTCATGCCAAGAGGTGGTCACATGTGTGAAGGCAACGTTGTCACGTGATCAGGTATTTGTATGGGGGGAGGGGGGCAGCACTGGTGTCACGTGACTAGGTGATCAAACACAAAAATAAAAATCACATCATCACGCATGGGGCAGTGCTGGCGTCACGTGACAGCGATGTCAGATTATATGGTGCCAAGTGATCGTACGTGGGAACAGCACCAGTAACCATAATGTGACAAGGCGACCAATCGCGCGGAAGGGGGCAGAATCATGGAGTGTGCATAGTCAGGGAGAATGGCGTGGTGGTGGCGGTGGTGGTGGCGGTCGTGGCGGTACTGAGATTTTAGGTGTCACGGCCATTCGCCGCGGCGCCATACCAGTTCAGGCGAAGCCTTGGCCTCCATCTTCTCTGGCTGCGGCGACGGCGGTGGCAGTGGCGGCTGCTGCTGCTGCTGCAAGGGCTCATGGGAGGGCGTTGGTTGCTCGGTAATGGCGAGCACCGGCTCGAGCTCCACCTAAAGCCGACAATTACAGAGAGCACGCTTTCGGTTTTCTTATTAAAGTCACTCATCTGGAAAAAATAAAACGTGAAGAAAAAATAATAAAAATAATAAATGGCTCGGACCATTACTAGCATCTGGTGCAAGAAGATAAAACAAATTAACTGTTTACTTTATGACAAAATGAAGAGTTATTAAGAGCAAAAAAAAACATTCCCCACTAACCTTGGGCGCTTCAGACGCAGGTTTATTCTCTTGCGTGGGAAGGGGAAAAGTCATCTAATGCGACACACAGCGCAAAAACATTATTTCCAATTACACTCTATATTACTGTGTCAGAATCAAATTGCTTTTTTTCCACGGTCTCATCTTTTACAACATAATTTTTATTATTACTTTTTTTTCTATCTGCTTGAATAAGGCCGGCGGCGGCCACTCCGTTTTGGATGACCTCACCTCTTGCCTAACGGGCTCCGAGGCGACCAACGCGGAGGGGACGCTGCAAATCACCGCATCTCGGGTGTCGGACGCGTCGCGCCGGTCCCCCTGCGGCAACAACGGCAGCGGCTTCACAACCGGCGCGCGGCACTCGCGGGGTTTCCCGCTGTCCCTCGGACGCCCCGCGAGTCGTAGCACCGTCGCCACTGCCGTCGTTGAAGTTCACGATCGCGGACTCCCCTTCGCGGCATGGGAAGCCATTGAGACGACGACGCGGCGATCTCATCGAATCATGCCGCCACAGTGCTCCCGATGCGGTCGCATCTCAGGCACGCTGAGAAGCAGGCGTGTGCCTCGACGGCATTTGATGGATGGGTAAACCACCGGTGCGCACAACGCAGGTGCAGTGGCTGTTCGTGGGCACGTAGGGGACGGTTACAGCAAACTCCATTGCCCCACCCCTCCGCCTTCACCAACCGGCGATGTGAAGTATGGTCGAAACAAACCCTCGCTGCCTGCACGGTGTGGGGAGAGGAGCCCCATCCTAACTGGACACATTGTGACAAAAATAACTTTACGGCTCATCGGATTCCTCCATTATGAATAAACATTCAGATTCTGATCATCCAGCAGTGGATTGATGTACGACCTAGGTCGGCGCAGAGGGAGCCGACTGACGGAGCTTGAAGATGGGAGATAACTACAAAATTCAAAACGCGGAACAGAAATGTCCGCGGGGCGTGTGGCGGCACTGTAACCAAGGAGGGGGCGCAAGCGCAACGCGGCCGTGAGAGAGCCGTGAGAGAAATCGACAAACCCTGCGGGGTTTGGCGAGGTGCGCCTGGCGTCGTCTCCTTGCACGATGCGACGGACCCCCCCTAACAAGCCGAGGCCACGGTCCTACTCCACATGCAGGGATTTTTATTTTATTTTTATAGCAATTTTGTCAATCACACCACGCGGCCTTGAAGGGGGAAATACAAAGTATACACCAACAATTGGCCAAGGTCTGAATTCCGCTATTCATCAAGATGTTTTCAGCCAAATAGTGAGTTGCTGAGACAATGTTTGAAGCAAACTGGAGCGCCCGGAGAAAACGCACGCAATGCGAAGGGGGAGGTGGGGGGGGGTAACGCTCTATTCCATGCAGAAGGAACAGACAGAGATCAGTCCGCACTTTTCTGTCACCGCTTTCTCCGTGATGTCAAAGGGCTGTGAACCGCCTAATAATTTGAAACAGGTGCGAGAAGCGAGCTCGTGTCTGACAAACATTGTCCAGGCTCGGGGTGCGGATCCAAACCCCCAACCCCCGAACCTCAGCGGAGAGATGGCTCCTTCAGCTGCCCAGGCCCCAAAATAAATCACCACCCCAAGCAGGCGCATACAGACAAAGTTCCCTCCCGCCCCCCCCCCCCCTGTATAGCCTTAACACACTCTTGTGGCAAGTGCTGCTGGCGAGTAGCGCCGATGCATTGATAACCAACAGCAGCGGCTTGAGCGGCCACACAATTAACAAACACAACAACAAGACCACAACGGCGACTCGCAGCCTCCCCATTCCTGTAACGACGGAACCCAAACGGCGTCCTCGTTCGTTCTACCTGTGCCGTCTCGTCGATGGCGGGCACCGGCCCACCCGGGCGTGACGGGGCCACCTCCGCCTTGCCCTCCTCGCCGGGCGGCTGCGGCGACGGCGACGGTGCCACGGCCGTCGCCGCCTCCTCCCCCCTCCGCTCCACCACTCGCCGCACCCTCAGACGCGGCTCCTTGGTCTTGGCGCGCGACATGAGGCTGGCCAGGCCCTCGGAGATGGCGTCCGGCTTCCCGTTCACCACGGCCGCAGGCGCCGCCGATGTCGCCGGTGCCGCCGGTGCCACCGGGCCGTGCTTCGCCACGACCCCGTCCGACCTGGGCGGTCGCTCTGCCAATTTGGTGACCTCCACCGTCATCGACGCTGCGGGTGATCTCCCACCGGCGGTGTTGCAGCTGGGCGGTGGCGGCGGCGGCGGTAGCGCCGTCAATCCGGCATCGTTGCCGATCGCCGGCGCGCCGCTCGGAGCGTCGGGCTTTCCGCCGTCCTGCATCTCGGCGTCGGGAGACCGCGGCTTCCGCACGACGCGCCGGACCACCTTGATCACTTTCTTCTTCACCACGCCGCGCAATCCCGGGTCGTCAGCGGTGGTGGCGGCGCTGTCTGTGGGTGACGTGAGGCCCGGCGGCGGGGAGCCGATGTGGGAGCCGGGCTGCCCGTTGGCATAAATCCCCGGTGGGCCGTCCGAGCTGCCCTGAGAGATCTTGCGCACGCGGTTGGAGCCACCGTTCATGACGAAGGGCGGCTGCAGCGGAGGGGACAGCACCCGCGATGGCGGCCTCCACCCCGGCGATGGCGGCTGAGAGACCGGCGATGACTTGCACGCCAAACAAAATAAACAAACACGCACGCAAACGACAACAAATTAACTAGATGTGTGCGTACGTGTGTGTGTGTATATACGAAACTAAACCGATGGGCTACGCACGACGAACGCTGTCGATCGAAAGGAAAAGTTTTTTCTACTCGCAGCAAAAAGGAAAACCCCCAAAAAAACGATTAAAACATTACATCGGTGCACAGGACACGATGTTGGAGAAACGGAGATGTTTATTTCTTTAAGACTGCAGCACGCGCGCACGACCCGGGGCGTTGACGTTAGTCTACGGCGTTCGCCACTGGCCGTGGTTGCCGCGGGGCGGCGTGCGTTACCGGCTGTTCCAACTTCATCTGCTCCTCTTTGCTCCTGACGGCCTTCTTTATGAATCCGGCTCCATTGGGAATGGTCGTGGCGGCGGTGACGGCGGTGGCCGGCTGCTTCAGCGCCAGCGGGCTGCTCTCCTCGTCCTTAACCTGATTGGCCGGCGGTCACAAGGCAGGCCAGATTATCTCTCTGAGGGCCCGGCCCGGAGAAACGGACACCGCCGGCACAGCCGTGGGCCTTTCCACACACGCACGCATGGACGCACGAAATCTACACGTGCCTCACCACCACCCCCCCAACCGGTGACCACTAGTTACAACTGCGGTGGGCCGAGAGAGGCAGCTCGTCGCCTGACTTGAGAGCCGTTTGCGTTCAAGTTGAAAAAGGTCGTGGCCGACTGCTCCGTTGAGGCTGCCTCACACACGCCTCATCGCCACCGCTTCCTTCCTTCTGCCAGGTCACGTGGCAAGTGGATGGTCGACCCCTCGTGACCTGCGAGGTCGGCTCTTACAGTCTCACGCCACCCACAGAGCCGGTGGGTTTTTCTGCCCCCCCTCTGAGTCACCTTACGTGGTGCACCCCCCCCCCAACTCTTTGCTGGGCCACCCCTCCCCCGCCAACCCTCCCCGCCCCCCCTCAAATTCTCCCAATCTCTCGCGCTCACTGCCACTGGTCGCACCCCCACCCCCCCCCCCTCCCCTGCTGCTTAGTTCACAAAACGGGCAACCTTCTCCAGGCGCCCAGCCGGTGAATACTCATGTATTTACCGTCCCGCTCGCGCGCGTAAATCTAATGACCGCCGTCAGAATCCGAGGACACGACGGGGCCCGCTGCTAACAAGTGCGCGTGAGTCGCGGCGAGCGCCGCCCCGTCAACGGGCTGGCGGCCCGTCGGCCATAACTGGCGCTACGGTGGTCGCGGCTCCGAAGCGCGGAGGAGCCGCGGGGCGTAAAAATAGATCGTCACTCATCGACGCCGACTCCATGCTGCAGCTGTCACTCCCTGCGGCCGCGCGGTTCGGGGCGGTGCAGGCAGCGCTGCTGCAGCAGCAGCAGCAGCTGCCGTCCGATTCATCACGAGCTGTCACGGCGCTTGCAGGGGGCACCCACCGCCTCACCGCCTCACCGCCAAACTTCCACCGCACCACCCAAGCCACAACCACCACCACCACCACCAGCGCACCACCCTAACCCCCTACATTTCTCACCGCACCACCCGCCGCCGCCACCACCACCACCAATCCCCACCCCCCCCAACGCTTCACCGTTCCCCCGTGGTACGAATGCACCACCTACCAACGGCGTGGACACCCTAAAGCCACGTCACCCAAACGTCCAAACGTGTCCACCGCTCCAACGCCCAAATAGACCCCCCCCCTCGGCGACCCCACCACCGAGAACTCGCCACCGTGACCCAGCCGCCCCAACGGCACCGCCAAAAACGCGCGGGCGCCCAACTGCGCCGCTAGCCGCCAAACTTCTCCACCGCCCAATGGAAGCACAAACAACGGTCTACGGCCCCGCAGCTCAAAGCAAATTGGCATCGCTGTGACCCGTGCGAGTTTGAGGTTTTTTTTTTTTACATCGCGGCACTGGGGAGCAAGTTTGCAAAAATAGAAGGTGCGCGTGCACACGCACAGACGCACGCATTACTCACCAGATTCTAATTTTAAATGCGATCGCCCGCCACCTAAATACACTTATTGCGTTAAATGTCCAGCTCTCTGTCTCTCCCTTTCTCTCTCTCTCCAGTAAGCGACTGGGTGTCGTCGATCGCCTCTCGCCCGCTTAAAATGCGGGGGGAGCGTTTTTGCGTTCCGAAATGTGATCGCCGTGTAACGACAGAGGCCTTGAAATGAGTCCCCTCTCATGGAGCTGCTGTTTATTAAAGTGCCGCGCCGAATAAAAACGACGATGAATAAGAGTCGAGCATTTGTATTATTCTTAGCGGAAAATGTCGACTTTGGGACTGCTGCTGCTGCTGCTGCATTTTTATCAAAATCTCATTGTGTAAAAATATGCCCAAAAAACATTTTGACTTTTTTGTCGACGTTGCATTTACATGTGAAAAATAAAATAAATATACAATTTCTAATGCAGCAGCTATTGAAAAGTAACCACCATTCATCGTGACATTAATTTTCATATCCGCTCGAGAGAGAGAAAAACAAACCCCAACACCCACCGTAACCTTCGGCCAAATATAATACGGCTCCGAAAACACAATCACGAGTGGGAATATGGAATGAGAAAATAGTGCGCAGGTGAATTGTGGGAGACCGCCGAATGTCAGGCTGTGGCATTTTCCGTGGTCAGACGCGTTTAAAAAAAAAAAAATGCACTTACACCTTGAAATATGTGAAAAGACGGCCGGCCCTCTCCTCTCCGTGCGTCTGTGTTTCTATGCGGAGGCGCGATTCCCAGCGGTGTCGGCGCATCTCGCCAGCCCCCCTCCCCTCCGCCACGACACCCCCCGCCCGCCCCGAACGCCGCAGCTTTCAAGCCGGCGCAATAACCGTGGCCTCACCGGCCATCGCGGGGCGGACCGAGCGTTTGAAATATTGCGACGCGACCTTTTAACGGTGAGCGGGTTACATACACGCTGGTGGGTTTTTTTTCTCTTTTTGGCGAGCGCTAAGAAATAGAAAATAAATAAATCGCTCGCGTTTATTTTTGGGGGGGGGGGAGGGTTGGTTCCCCCCCCCCACCGCCCCCTCCCTCCCTCCCACAGGGTGCTCGGCGTGACACGGCGAGAAATAAACACGGCGGCCGACGACGACAAAAACAACAAAAACCAACGAGAGCAATACATAAAACGCGTAAATGACAAAAAAAGAATGCGCGGAGGGATACAACGGGGGGGGGGGGGTGGGGTAGATGCGATCGAGAGGGGGGGGTAGATGCGATCGAGAGAGGGGGGGTAGATGCGATCGAGAGAGGGGGGGGTGCTCGCGGGACAACTCACGAGCGGCGCTTCACTCCCCTTTTGCTCCCAGAAGGCGAATCGGGAAGAGAACGCCATGGCTGGACATGAACGTCTGCGGGCAGGCGGGCAGAGACAGGGTCACAGGGGTCGCCCGGGCCTCCGCGGGACTCTGAAGGGACCGGGGGTTCAGTGTCGGTTGGGGTTAAAGGTTTAATCATCGGGGGGGGGGGGGGGGTGGTGGTGGTGGTGGGGGGGGGGGGGGTAAGAGAGAAGGGGAGAGGGCGACCGATGGATTCATTCAGAGGGGGTGGGGAGCGTCGTCGTAGGTGGCAGTCCCAGCGATCGGCCAGTGGATGCGTCCACCACTCAAGACTCCCGGGCGGGAGGGGGGGGGGTAGAGGGGGAGCAGGGGAGCGGTGGGGGGCTAGATCACACGGGGGAGTGAACGTGGGGGGCTTGAAGGAAGGTCATAGCTGAGATACACGCACGCATGCACACAAAAACAAACACTGTACAGAAACAAAGACAAACACCCCCCCCCCCGTCTCTGTGCGGAATTTTGGGGGGGGCAAGTGCTGAATGCGAGCACCTGCAAAGGCCAGCCGCGGTGTGGTCTGCACCACGCCTGGCCGCCTTTGTATCCCCCAGTACTGAAGTTTACGCACCGCACTGGGTAACTCAGGACAGGTTCCCCATTTGAGATAATCAACAACGACGTTCTTTGTGGCCAGCGGAAAAAGACATCCACCCCACTGCGTCACCGCCCTCCACAACAAGTACGCACACACACGTGCACGCACGTGCACATACACAAAGATCCCCCGTATAGCCTTCAACAGACTTTTGGGGCAAGTGCTGTTAGCGAGTAGCACCTTTGAAGGCCGGCAGGAACACGTGGGGGTGGGTGGCCAGCACCACGCCCGGCTGCCTTTATCTCCCCAGTAGCGATGTTTACACACCGCACCAGGCACTCATTTGAGGCAGAGTCGACCTAGGAGAGGCCCAGGACCGGTTCAGACAATCGTCACCGGTGTTGGCCGTGAGCGGGAATCGAACCCGGGTCGCCAGGTTCGTTACGCGGCGCGATAACCGCTACACCACCGCTCCCCACGATAACTGGCACACACACACGCGCATGCACACGCACGCACGCACCACACACACAGAGGTGACGAGCCGAGGGACATCCACACAGCCAGCTCCTCCGTGCCAACATTGTGTCGTCGTCGCCGTCCTCATTGTTTCTCGTGACAATCGTCGGAGTGGAAATGCGCTGCGTCCGATTCCGTGACAATTCTCACTCGGTGCAGCCGGAACCTCAACACCCCCCCTCACACCCCGGTCAGCTCCCCCGACCTACGCCCCGGCATTAATCAGGGCACTAATTAATCAATTACCTTAATTAATCCCTCTAATGAGTGACTCTCACGGCACGTTAAGTACGGATATTGTACAAAGGTAATAATTGGTCACGGTGTGTGTGTGTTCAGGGTATGTGTGTGGTCACGGTGTGTGTGTGTTCAGCGTGTGTGTGTGGTCACGGTGTGTGTGTGTCGAGGGTGTGTGTGTGGTCACGGTGTGTGTGTGTTCAGGGTGTGTGTGTGTGGTCACGGTGTGTGTGTGTCCAGGGTGTGTGTGTGTTCACGGTGTGTGTGTGTGTTCAGGGTGTGTGTGTGTGTTCAGGGTGTGTGTGTCCAGGGTGTGTGTGTGGTCACGGTGTGTGTGTGTTAAGGGTGTGTGTGTGGTCACGGTGTGTGTGTCCAGGGTGTGTGTGTGGTCACGGTGTGTGTGTGTTCAGGGTGTGTGTGTGTTCACGGTGTGTGTGTGTTCAGGGTGTGTGTGTGTTCAGGGTGTGTGTGTGGTCACGGTGTGTGTGTGTTCACGGTGTGTGTGTTCAGGGTGTGTGTGTGGTCACGGTGTGTGTGTGTTCACGGTGTGTGTGTTCAGGGTGTGTGTGTGGTCACGGTGTGTGTGTGTCCAGGGTGTGTGTGTGTTCACGGTGCGTGTGTGTCCAGGGTGTGTGTGTGGTCACGGTGTGTGTTCAGGGTGTGTGTGTGGTCACGGTGTGTGTGTGTTCAGGGTGTGTGTTCACGGTGCGTGTGTGTCCAGGGTGTGTGTGTGTTCACGGTGTGTGTTCAGGGTGTGTGTGTGGTCACGGTGTGTGTGTGTTCAGGATGTGTGGTCACGGTGTGTGTGTGTCCAGGGTGTGTGTGTGGTCACGGTG